CCGATCTATATGAAACATTCTTCCTTGCATATTTTGAGACCAGCTCATGAGCTAGTAAAACATTTTCACCAATTAACCTGCCTCTAACAAATGCAGTCTGATTCTTGCTAATCAGTAAAGGAAGCAGAGCACTGAACCTCCTTGCAATTATTTTCGACAAGCATTTATAGAGTGTATTGCAGCATGATATAGGCCTAAAGTTTTTCATTTCCTCAGGATTTGGAATCTTTGGTATTAAAGCAAGAATAATGGCATTTACCTCCTGAGGTATCTTCTTTGTAGAAAAACAATATTGTACTGCTTCCACTATATCAACACCAACAGTCTCCCACGCATACTGAAAGAATCGAGCATTATAATTTATAACCATCTGGCCCTGGACTCTTATCCCCGTTCCTTCCAAATATAGCTTCTTTAACCTTAGCTTCTGTGATAGGAGCACATAATGAGCAGTTTGCAAAGGAGTTACTGTCTGCTTAAGGATAGACTTATAAAAACTCTACAGTACCACCCTAAACCTCAGTATTAACCTATCCCTGTCACCATTATCAGATAGAAGACTTGTGATAGTGTTCCTCTTCTTCCTCGTTCTCACAGAATCTATGAAAGTAATTAGTGTTTAAGTCAACTCCCTTCAGCCAAATTTCTCTTGACTTTTGTCTTAAGAAAGATTCCTCGGCCTTCATTAATGTGTGCAATTCCCTAGCTAGTTTCACTGCCAACCCAGCCAAGTTAGGGGAAGGATAAGCTAAAGTTAGTTCCTGGACTTCCTCCATCTCACACTCCTTATCTTTAACTCTATGCCTTATATCTGAGTATTCCTCTCTATTAAGAGCTTTGAGCAAACCTTTTAGTATACGTAAATTCTTATAAACTCTGCCCATAGGAGACCCTGCTACCTACTGAGACCAAGCCTCTTCCAGCAACTCCCCAAATCTTGGATGCTCCAACCAGAAGTTAAAAAACTTAAATGGTTTAGGAAATGATTTCAGAGGAACCTCTGTTTAAACCAGAACTGGGCAATGATCCGAGACCCCAGGCTTTTGCATGTGAACTGTACTCTCCTTAAAAACATCCAACCATGCCAAATACAAACGCCCTATCCAAACGCCTAGCAATTGAATTGTTAGCTTGTCTATTTAGCCACGTAAACCATGGACCAGTGGACTTGTGCTCCTCAACTTCCATTTATGTGAGCCATTCATTAAAATCAGCCATACTGGCAGAATGTGTTGGGTTGTTCGACCCCTCACTTGGATCCCTAATTGCATTGTAATCCCCCATTAAAATCTATGGCCTATGCTGCACCTTTAGCCCAGCAATATACCTATACATCTCACGTCTTCCACCTTTTAGGTTAGAGGCGTAAATAAAGGTAGCAAAGAAAGGCATGGTATCTCCCACCATAACATGGACAAACTGCTCAGAGAATCCCAGAACTTGCAACTTAACATCCTTCCTCCAGATCAACCACAACTTCCCCATACCACTGTCATTATAGAAAATCTTCTCCTGCCAACCCACAAATTTCTTCTTCAACATCTTCTTATCATCAGATAGCTTTACCCAAGGCTCTAATACTACTACTATATCAATAGTATACTTTTTTATTTTATTAAGTAATATATTATACTTACTATCATCTACAAACCCTCTAGTATTCCATGATAATATTCTCATTAACGATATCTACCCCTTCCTCCACCTCTACCCCCTTTCTTCTTAACCTCAGGAGGATCAATCAAAATTTTCTTCCCCTTGTTTACTACACTAGGGACCTTATTCTCCTTATCAAGAACACTCAAACCGAGAGCCTGAAAATACTGTAGCCCGAGCAGTGACCTGAGTTTTTAAAATCCCTTCCATAGAAGGTGATTTAAAGCTCTGGCTGTTGCACAGGTGTGACAAGGTTCCCAGCAATAGCTGATGACCCTTTCACCACCTCTGCAAAGCTTACTCGAACCCCCCCAGTTGGTAAAGGGGTGATAGATTCATTCACAGTAGTCAAAGTCATCTCCTGAACAGGCTGTGAAACCACCACCTCCTCTAGGCTTGGAAAAGCGCTTTGCAAGTCTATACCCTGCAGTTCTTCCTCTTTCTTAGCCTCGACTACCGCATCCCCCTCCTTTTGTACCTCAGTAATTACCTCAATCTCCTCAGCCTTCTTCTTCGGGATCCAAACACGCTGAGGATCCACTTCACAATTATGCCCAAACACATTACACTTAGAACAAACCTTAGGAAGATTGCTATATTCAATCCCAATATCAAAAGGAGGATCATCATCTGGATAAATTCGAATAGACGTAGAAAACGAGTAATCAGCTCTAAGTTCCACACAAGCACGCGCGAAACCCAGTTGCCCTCCCACCCTTGTCTTTTGATCCATCTAGAGGGGCTTCCCAATCATACTTGCAACCCATTCCAACGCCAAATACTCTAGAGGAAGTCCCCAAATTCTAACCCAAATTGGCAGCGTTTCCACCTTCGGTACCACTGGCTGAATTCCCAATTTCCACTTTCGAAAGAAAATCGGATCACCTCGATAGTGTCAAGGACCCGACTGGAAGACCCAATCGCACGATGCAGAAGAAGGAAATTGAAACACCAAGGGCTTCGCCCCAAACTTCGACACTAGAACAACACCATCACGTCCCCAAAGCGCGTTGGCCCACGAGTGAAGCTCTGGTATCTTCGCACGAGAATCGACGAAATGCCCGATTAAAGAATTCTTCCACCGCTCTGCTCCCTTCTCCTTCACCTCTTTCGGAAGACGAAACCCCACCTGAAATTTGACCGGAGGACGATACTCGAGCCGATTCTCCGGAGCGACCTCAAATAGCTGAGCCCAAGAGGAATAGCCCTCGCCATCCGGAGCGGCCGACGACGGGGGATCCATCGCAAACCCTAGAAATTAGCAGAGAAGCTCGGGAGAAGAGAGGGGAAAAAACGATTCGTCTGTTTTAAATTTTATATGAAAAGAAAGAAGAATTTTTTGTTGTTGTTATTTGTGTGTTTCATAATACTAGAACAATTAAATTCTATATGAATGGGGTCTTGAATTCTAAATCTACACAAATTAAACAAGTATGTACATACATATAACCATTTTAAAATTCAAGTGGGGTCCTAGGACTCCACCCCCCCCCCCCCCCCCCCCCCCGGCCACTGATTGTGTGATATTACCACACTATACCAAATGATATTGTATAATATTGTGTGATGTTACCACACTATACCATATGGTAGTGGGTGGCAGTCGACACCAATTGCGAGAAAGAAGAGTTAGAAGACAATGAAGAGGGAGAAGAAAGTGATGAGTCGTAATTGTATATATATATTGAGATTACCACACTATACCATATGGTATTGTGTGGTAACGAAATATATTTTTATGGGTATCATGTTTTACCACGTAATACCATATGGTATTGATGATATTTAGATTTGAAATTTAACTTTTAGCATGTTATACCATATAGTATGGTAATTAAATTTGTAATTTTCAGTACCATGTTTGACCAGGTAATACCACATGGTATTGTATGGTCTTTTATTGTTAGCAAGTGATAATCATAATCATATTTGTAATTGTTGTCCATATCACTAAATTATTTAATTAAAAAATTATTTTTCAATTTTTTGAGTTGGAATTAGAGCACAGATAGTTGGGATGCTTAAATTCATTTTTGTTGTAGAGATAGAGTTAGAGTGTAGACAACCGATGCATTTCTCTTCCTCTTTTAGTTGTAGATGAGAAAGAGAAGAAATCATATAAATTTTCTTTTAATAATAAAACAGAGAGAGGGGAACACGCATGGGACGTGGAGTGGGGTACGCGTCTGGTCAATAGTTAGCGTCAGCATTAAATGGGGGTGTAGGCAATTGACCCTAATGCCCCTCCATATTTAATTTAAATAAAAATAAAAGACTGACACGTGGGGGCCATGGGAAGGGGTTACTGATGGGAGGCTTACTGACCCCATCCGCTCCCCATTGGCCCCGCATGTACGTGGGCACCGGGCCGTGCCGCCCACGAGCTAGCACGACACGGTTAGAGAACGACACGAGCACGGGCACGAAATAAATGGGCCAGCCCGGCATGAGCACGAATAATTTATGGGCCGTGTCGGGCCTAAACTTCAGGGGCACGAACACGGGCACGTCACGGTATATAAGTGGGCCGTGTCGGACCTAATATTTTCGAGACTTTATTGAGTATAAGAACAGACATGACATGAAAATAATATTTATTTGATAGAAAATAAATATAAAAAGAATTAAAGGTTCAAATATTACAAAATACAAGTAGAAAAAGAATTATTTGTTGCTGTTAGAAGTGTCATAAAGATATATACGTAATTACTACCATAAGTAAAAATGGACGAAGAATTAAACAAAGCCAAATCACACTCGTTATACTTCCAATTTTCTTTCCCCCCTTATTTGTTACTTTTCTCAAACATTATCGGTTAATACTATCTTTCTCCGTCCAATTTTCACATTCTTTTTTATTCTCTCTTTTGTTTTCTTCATTTTCATTAAATACGAATACGAGCATGGCACGAGCACGAATAGACACGACACGATTCGAACCATGCTCGGGCCTGGGCTGGGCCTAGCAAAGTTAACAAATGGGCTTGCATGACACGATACGAAATCTGATGGCCCGTGCCAAGCATGACACGAAATAAATGGGCCCAAAGTGTGCCTGTGCCGTGCTGACCCAAGTACAACCCCGCACATGCTTTCATGGAACTTGCTTGATTGTGTTTAATTGGTTCAACTCTACGTAACCACCGTGATGGCAATGGAGCGGATGGGAGAGGGTAACTCAATACCCCTGCCCTACGAGAGCAGATCAGGTGTATTACCTTTTGGTCAATAACCCATGCATAAACCAAACAGAATCCGTCACATCAACGCTCATTCTCTCTTCTGGAAAGCCTTTAATTTTCTCCAGCTTAATCTTTAACGCACGATTTCTCACTCGTTTTAAGTAGGAATTTAAATTTTTATGCACAGTTAGATCAGATTAATTGTGCTCTTCAAAATGATATCCACTTTGATATATTTTAGAACAAAAAACTTTGGGCCAATTTTACCAGTCTATACCATATGATATTGACTGGTATTAAATAAGAGCATACCATATGGTATGAGAAATACCACCCCATACCAAGGTGGTATAATATTATATGGAGTTGGTAACGAGAGGTATGAAAAAATTTTCACTATTTTTTTTTGAAATCCAATAGATCATGATTAAATCGTTTCTTTTGTGCAAAAATTTCTGAAAATGACTAAAAACGAAGAAGATATCATATGGTGTGGAGTTGGTAACGAGAGGTATAAAAAAAATTCTCGGAAAATATTGATGGATCGCAAATCCCAAGTTTGTCTATGAAGAGCAGATCGAATTATATTAGTGTCTAGCATTGATTTCTTCTGTGTAATACTAATCGATAGGGCCTCATTTTGTAGAGCACAACGAACTCGTTCTATCTATGCAAAAAAATTTGAAATCCGAGTTAGAATGAAGAAGCTATGATCCTATTAAGAAAAATAAAATGTCTTTAATTTACAACCCTTAGATCTGCAGCCACTTAAAAGAAGGGTCCAGATTTGGTTACTCATGTTAAGCACCCTAAAGTTATACACCCTATCTTGAACCATGCCCCGCCCCACGCTACTGCGGGTGGGGGGTAATACCTGTGTGGGTACGGAGCGGGACAGGTTGACCAACTCTTACATGCAATTTGAAAAAAATACATGCGAAATTCACTTTCTTGATAAAACGAAGGGGAAAACACTTTATGAATGAAAATAGTGATAATAGAATGAGTAAATGAGTCTAACTAGTTGAAATATCGAGTCTAATTAGTTGAAGAACAGTCAAAATATGAGAAGTATGAATATATACTGTATGAAATTGAGACATAATGGGCCAAGAACGAGTCGGGGCATGGCAAGGCAGGTCGGAAGTAGATACCCATGCCCCACCCTATGCTACTACGGGTCGGGTAATACCAGGCACCAACCTCATCACGGATCAGGTCGGGTAAAATTTGGCGGGGCGGGTTTGCCATCCCTACCATCTCATCATTAATGGCCGTCAAATGTTGCTTTAAAAAGTTTTGGGGCGAGTTTCATGAAAAAGACCGCACTGAATTTTCAGCATCCCTATGATTCTTTTTTTTTTTTTTAAAGTGTGGTTCATTTAGAAAGCAATGGGCAAGCCCAAAGGAAAAAATACAAATAGTGAACTACATGAGTTGAAAATCAGAAAAAACAAGGCTCACCAGAACCCAAAACCCAATAGGGCCCAAAGTCCAGGACCAAAACATAATCTACTAACCCCAACCCTAGCAGCCACTGCTCCCATCTAGAACCACGTCGTCGACATCGAAACCGCCGCCGCCGCTCGGAACCAATCAACGCCTCCACTTTGGAGATAGAGGAAGCAGAGGAAAAAGATCCACCACCCGAATGGCCGGACGATGAAGAAAAGAGTTTCAACCAAACCCACTCCAGGGACCGGTTATGGTGGATACTTCGTGTTAGTAACCACGGTGGTTACTAGGGATAAGAAGGGTATTTTGCTTCCATCCTAATTCAAACTACCATTTTAATTACGCAATTAATTAGGAAGAGATAATTACGGTAATTAATTATTAGGTAGTTTAATCAGCGTAGGGCTTTTAGAATGCCACGTTTTTTGGCCGGCCCTATTTCTGCCGCCGTGTACACTTCGAAGTCCACCTTTTTTTGCCGGCGTTGCATCATCGCCGACGTTGCATCAATGGCGACCGCCGAGTTCCATGCACAACTCCACCGCCACCGCCACCGCCTCCTCCACCATCGAAGCTCGGATGTGAGCTCCCGTCGCCAGCACCAACAATGTCGCCGCCGCCAACACCCAGCTACCACTCGCCGCAATCCCCTCTGCCGCCGCCTCCACATCACCAAAGGCCTCCTCCGCCCCATTCCATGCAGTGGTAGTCCTTTGATGCAGTGGTAGTCCTTTCATGCAGTGGTAGTCCTTTGATGCATACATGTTTCGGATTGGTATTGTTACGTACTTGTTTAGGAATAATGGTAGTCCTTACATTGGTATAGATTGGATTGTTATTGGTAGTTCGTATCGCATTGGTATTCGTTTGATTGGATTGGTATTGGTTCTGACTTTTGTATTAGCTACTACAATGGTAGTTATTTTTTGGCATATTTGTAACAAATGGTAGTGCTTTGTTAGTTGTAGTATGAGTTATTGGAATGGTAGTGATTAATTGTTGTTCACATGTATGCAGAAAACTACCAATGCATGAATGAAAACAGTAAAAAATTACCAATCGAAATGAAGACTACCAATCCAACATGACACAACAATGCAAAACAGTAATAAAACTACCAATCCAAATGAAGACTACCAATCCACATCAAACTACCAGATTCACATGTATGGAGAAAACTACCAATGCATGAAAGGAAACTACCATTAAAAAAAACTAAAAAAACTACCATTCGAACAGAACAGTACCAATCACATCAAAAAGCACGGTTTCACATGTATGCAGAAAATACCAATGCATGAAAGAAATCAACAGCCGCAGTTGGGAAACAAGAGGAACCGACAGCGATTATATCAGCAGGAGAGAGCGACTCTCCAACGCAAGACGGGTTTCTCGATCTATTGGCGCTCGTCTCGACCTTGTTGCGGCGTTGAGGAGAAGCCATATTGACAATCGGGACGTATGGGATTTGCCTAAACCGGAACAAAGGGAAATTTTCCTCTCGCTGCTGCACCGATCGGAAAAAAAAGGGGAAACTTCAGGACCTGTCTCTGCATTTACTTGATTTGTTTGGTTCTACCGTTTGGTATATTATGGAATACACTAATCTGCCTATTAACTTTAATCTTTCTGACCTTCGGGAGGATGATGGAGGCGGCCGGCGGGAAGGGAGGATGGGTGGGGTGAGCTGAAGGCGGCGGGAGGGTGAGGGAGGCGGACGGCGGGAGGTGGGAGGGTGGAGAGGGTAGAGGTAGGGTTGGAAAAGGTAGGTTATAAATATAGGTAATAATCTGGTGTGATAATATTTTGATTCCCAAATTATCCTTAATTTAATCTTGACCGTCATTTTAAAAAAAGGAAAAAATAGAGCTAATGAAAGGTTTAGATATAGGTAGCCACAATGGTTACTAAAAAACTAATATCCACCCTAACTCATTCCCCCACTCCAAGCCGCTCGAACGTTGGCCTCCCGCCGCATGAACCCCAGGGAAAGCCAAACAAACTCAAACGGTCTGATAAAGAAGGAAGCAGAGGGGAGACGATCTTCTGTCTTCAAGCTCTCTAGACTGCATCCGTCATCAATGGCTGCAACTTCGAACCACCAAGATCTACAAGGTAAGAGTAATGAGGTAGATTTTGGAAAGGAGAGTAGAAGATAAGCAAGATCTGAAATCAGATCTCTCTAGACCGCATCGTTGTACTTCTCTAGATGGTACTTTCCAGCAACTCGTAAAACACCATTAACATCCTAAAATTCCATCCATATTTCTTCGCAGATCGTCAATCACACAATTTCGCACTCGATTAGCTTCGCCTATTGCATCGCGGCGTTATTTTTAACATGATGAACATGTGAGGTCTTTTTTCCCCCTAACAACAAGTACATACTGCTACATTGTTTTATTGTTAATGGAGGGCAGGCCAGGGTCGTCCTTTTAGCTGACTTCCTTTTTATTCGCCTTTTCACCATTTTATAGTGCACGAAACGACAGAAATACCCCAAGCAATCTGCAATCCCCGACCGAAATTAAAAAATAAAAATAAAAATAAAAATACAACAAGAATACTACTACTTGTCCTTGAAGAAGTCGTGAATATGGTTGGTGACTTGTTGAGGGCTCTCTTCGTTGAGGAAGTGAGCCACGCCCTCGAGCACAACCACCTCCTCCAGCAGAGGAACGTCGGCTTTCATCCCGCCACCAACAACGTAGTCCTTCATCCTTGGGAACTTGAGTGTAATGTCCAGCTCTCCCACTATGAACTTCGTCGGCACGGTCACTTTCGCCCCTGTCCACGGCCCCATCACCTCCCACGATCTGCATAAAACCAAACAACAACAAAACAGCTCAATCAAAACTTAAAAAGAGACACACGCAAAAGGAAAAAAGCATGGACGAATAAGGAAAAAAATGGGTGGTGGGTTAACGTACAGGTCGATGGCTCGGTAGTAGTTGAGCGCACCGGTGAATCCGGTGCGGTCGAATTTGGAGGCGAAGTAGTCGATGTCCTGCTGGGTGAGCCACGAGGGCAGGGCCGGAAGGTCGGGGATGCCTCTGAAACCGACGTGCTTGGGCAAGCACGGCGGGTCCGGGTTTCTGGAGGTCAGTATCTTGGCCAGTAGCTTCCCTGTTTCCACCGCCCCGAAGTCAGCTTCCGCCTCCCCAACTTCCTGTTAATTAAAAAGGCGGTCGTAGACTTTTTAGTGTGTTATACTTATATCTGCGGCCCACCAGATCCTTCAATACGGACGACATGAGAAAGAAAGAAAGTAGATCGTTTTTGCCTTTTTTGAGTATAGTGTTTGATGGCTTGAATATTCATGCTTTAAGATTTTTTTTTTCTTTCAGTCGGTGGAATTGGAAAAATAATTTGTTTGTTTGTTTGTTTGTTCTGACTTGAGATTTCCAAAACTTCACTATTGTGAAGCCCGCACTTACATTAACAAAAAGAATTCTAACTTCGACAGTGACATATCAGGATCACAAATCTCAGCCTATTTTTACACATTCATTCATTGACTATCAAATCAGTTAATACCAGTTTTATCTATTCTGAAGACCAAAGTTAATTGGCTGGGTAATTGGTTGGATTTGTTTTTTTTTTTTTAAATTTGAACTCAACACAGTACACCTGTAAAAAAAATTCGATAAAATACGGACTGAATTTTAGAAGAAAAATCCTACCCAATCCATCGGGTATCATGGATTTTTTTATAGACATACCTGCAAATAGTTTCTCCAAACACCTACATCGTGGTAATATTATTGAATTTTTTATATACAAATATATCTTAATTGAGACTAATAACATCAATAAACTATTTATATTATTATAATTATATTGTCATGAAAACCAACGTCTCTAATTTATCCATATTATTAAAGTAAGATACACAACGGCTTCATTTAATTTTATTTTGGGTACATACAAAGTGACATCGAGCAGTATTTTGAGAATACCCACACCCCACCAATTTGAAAAACGGGCAAAATCCCACCCAACACTAAACCCATCACCATCAAATTTTATTTAATCTTGACCGAAAATCAGAACATATTAGTCATTACATAATCATAAATTCGACTTAAATAACCCGAACCCAATTCTCCGGCCCGATTGCTATGGCTCACCTAACTAGATATTTCCCCATCACACGGTCTAAAAGCTAGATATCTATGGACATGCTAAACCATTTTTGTCAACAATTCATGGAGTTGATTATGACTGGGCACACCACAAATTACAAAATAATGACTATTAATGGACAATTAATAAAAGTGATAGGACCAAATGAGATGTATGGATACAAAAAAGGTAACTAAAGAGATATGGAAAAAATAGCAAAAAAAGCAATATAGAGATCTCTGGTTAAATGTCACATTTGGTCATTGAGATTACTAAATCATATCATGTTTAGTCACTAGAAAAAAATAATATTAATTTTGGTCACTCGAATTACTGAAACATGTCACATTTAGTCACTCTCCCGTTAGTTTCCGTCCAACTCCGAGGCTAACGGAGAGTAACTAAATGCGACATGTTTCAGTAATTCGAGTGACATTCATAAAAAAAAAGTAATTCGAGTGACCGGAGTTGGACGGGAGAGTGACTAAAGTTGACCTGTTTTAGTAATTCGAGTGACCAAAATTGATATTAATTTTTTTCTAATTCTAAACCTAACACGATTTAGTAATCCCAATCATCAAATATGGCATTTACCCTAAAAAAATCATAGAAAAAAACAAATGTAAATTAGGAATTAATAGAAAGAGCATGTGTTAAAATTATGACCGACCTGGAACCTGCACATATAGAAGTCGTCGCCGAAGACGGCCCTCATCCCGGCGAGCAGCGACGCCTTGGGGTGGCGAGGCGTGAAGGGGACGCTGGTGTTGACCAGAGCTTTGACCCTGTCGGGCCTAAACAGGCAGAAGTGCCAGGCGATGATGGCTCCCCAGTCGTGGCCCACCAAGAACACCCGCTGGATCCCCAGCCCGTCCAGCAGGCCCACCAGATCGCCCACGATGTGGAGCGACGTGTACTGGGCCGCCGGAGCGGGGCAGTCGGTGTCGCCGTAGCCCCGGAGGTCCGGGGCGATGCAGCGGTAGCCGAGGGAGGAGAGGGAGAGGAGCTGGTGCCGCCACGTGTACCACAGCTCCGGGAAGCCGTGGAGGAACAGGATGGCGCGTGGGCCGGTGCCGATGGAGGCAACGTGCATTTTGATGCCGTTGGTCGGCACCGTTGTGTGCTGTATCTTGTCCATTTGAATTATGGCAAAGGAAGTGACGAAGAGATTACTGCAAATTCACGCTCTCGAGCTCCTTCAATATATATAGCACAACAGAGCGTAAACTGTTGATGGAGATGATGATAAAATGATGGATCTCAGTCTCAGCGGCTAGATCAAAGCTAGATGGGCCTAGCTAGGCAGAGACGAAAGTAGTTTGGCCAGTTAGTGTGAAAGACAAATGGGAAAGGCCACGGTCCAGCTGGGCCTTCTTTCCGAACTTATTGCATTACATTTACATGCACGACTTTATGGTCTAAGATGAAAAAAACGTGGGGTTTTGGTAAAATGTTCATAGGTTTTTGCGAAAATGTGTTTACAAGTGTTTTTTAGTTGTTGGACTTGGACTAGTCGACATTCCATTGTAGTTTGATGGATCATGGATGCGATGATATTTTTGAAAATAAAATGTTATATCGTGTTGTCAGTTGTGAAATATCTATGCGATTTGATAATTTTTTTGATGGTTACCACTTACGACTTGAAAATTACAGTTTGCTAGCTATAAGTACGTTCTTTTAGAGGTTATGTGAAGTGTGAACGGTATTATTGATTTGAGAACCTGATATGTTAATTGCAAGGAAAGTTGTAAATCGTATCATCCAAATATAGGATATATGGAATTGGGTATTATGTATAGATTTCACTTGTATGCTTTCTTCTTAATCAATACTAGGTCAGAAACCCGCTTTGCGGTGGGTTATATATTGATTTCTTGTTATAAAGTGAACCTAGATACTGAAATAATATGTTCCTTAGTACCCGGTATTCTATTGATTTAAGCATGTAAAACTCGCTTACCCGGTTCAACCCATTGATTTAAGAGTGTAAAATTCGTTGTCGACCCAAATTTGTAAAAACCGAGTTCAAATCGCTTTAACCATGTCGAATACCATTGAGTTGGGTTCAATTAGGATTCAATCATCACAAGTTAATTGATTAGAATGTTAATAGCATAAAATTAATTGATTAGAACCTTAATGACATAAAACTCCTCCAAACTTTGGTTAATTACAAAAAGAGCAGCCCTTGTGATGGGACACTATACAATAGTAACTTCTTACTTGTTCTTTTATAGAGATAATAATAATAATAATAGCAATAATAAATCTAAACTAACCCAAATGAGTCCACATAATTACCCCTAATAACACAAAAACTCCTCCTTTCTGTGGTTAACTACAAAAGATCACTTCTTGTGATGCGACTCTACGAAATAGTGTTTTAGAACTCTTTCTAATTAGTTTGATAAAGCAGGGTGAGTTTCTAACAAAATCCACACATGACCCAATCTCTTGATCACAAAAGCTTGTACAACTCGTCCACGACCCAAAATGCGTCAACACTGGATTCACCTCGATATAGCGGAGCAAATTTGTAACAAAATCCACACTCGACCCAACTCATTAATTACAAAAGTGAATAAAATTTATCCCCAACCCACTATGCGGCGACACTTGTATCAGGTCGAATTAGCTTGAATAAACATGAATTTGGGTTCAATTAAATTTTCATAAGACGTGGGTTCGGTTTGGGTACAATCCCAAAGCGGCCAAAATTTTGTGAAAATTGGATTCAACTTCCTATGTCCGGTTTGATAAAGCGGAGTGAGCTTTTAACAAAATCCACTTGCAACCCAATTCGTTGATTTCAAAAGCGGTAAAACTCGTCCCCGACCCAAAATTCGTCAACACTGGATTCAACTCGATAAAGCAGGCCGATTTTGTAACAACTATCCCCACCCGACTCAATTTGTTAACTTGTTAACTACAAAAGCGGGTAAAATTTGTTATCGATCAAAACTCAACAAAACCGGTATCGGGTCAAATTAGCTTGAACACACATGAATTTGGGTTCAACTGTCATAAGAAGCAGATTCAATCACAAAGTGACCCAAAATTTGTGAACACACATGAATTAGTTTGAACTCACATGAATTTCTCTGACCGGTGTGATACAGCATGGGAGTTTCTAACAGAATCCACATGCGACCCAATTCGTCGATCACAAAAATGGGTAAAATGTGTTTTCGACCCACTTCGATGATTTCAAAGGTGGACAAAATTCATTCACGCCTCCAAAAGTGTAAAGGGGAAAACTCGTCCTCTACCCAAAATGCGTCAACATTGAGGTTAACTCGATAAAGCGGGGTTTTGGGTTCAACTGTCATAAGAGTCGGGTTCAATTTATGTTCAATCTTAAAGCGACCCAAAATTTGTTAACACACATGAATTTCTTTGACCGGTTTGATAAAGTGGCGAGTTTCTAACAAACACGCGATCCAATCTGTCGATCAATAAAGCAGGTAAAGTGCGTTCTCCACCCAATTCGATGATTACAAAAGTGGATAAATTCATTCACACCCCTAAAAGTGTCAAGGATAAAACCGTTCTCGACAAAAAATGCGTCAATACTAGATTTAACTCGATAAAGTCAGATTTTGGGTTCAACTGCCATAAGAGGGGGGGGGGGTCAATCCTAAAGTGACCCAAAATTCGTATACATCGACTCCGGATCAAATTAGGTCGAACACACATGAATTTGGGTTCAATAGTCATAAGAGAAAATATTTAACTGATTGGTAAAATTCCTTCACGACCCAGAATTCGACAATTCCAAAACTGGGTCGAATTATGTTAAATATATATGAATTTGTGTTCAATTACCAGGAAATAATAAAAGCATTTGATTAATGAAAGAATAGTAAGCAATAAAATAATCCTAGTTGATGTGACTCTACCAAATATTATCCCAAAACTTGTTCTTTTAGAGAGTTTCAAGTTCGCAATTAAAATCATCTAACCCCTATAGTCTCCAAAATCATTTGCAAGCCTGACAAAAAAATTTCCTAGACCCAAAATTCGTTAATAGCGAGTTTAACCCATTGAGTTAAGAGTGTAAAATTTGTTGTCGACCCAAAATTTTAAAAACCAAGTTCAAATGGCTTTAACCATGTCAAATACTTATTGAGTTGGGTTCAATTAGGATTCAATTGTTTAAGTGCTTAGAATGTTAATAGCATAAAATTAATTGATTAGAACTTTAATGGCATAAAACTCCTCCAAACTTTGTTTAATTACAAAAAGAACAGCTCTTGTGATGGAATACTATGCAATAGTAACTTCTTACTTGTTCTTTTATAGAGATAATAATAATAATAATAAATAATAGTAATAATAATAACATCTTGAAGTTTGGTTTGTATATGCTATTTATGTTGAGGAATTTTATAATGTTATATAGTATTGGTGCTATAGGTTTTTGCCTTTATGATACAACTTGAAATTGTACCTTTAACATTATGGTACAACTTCAGATTGTACCTATACTTTTTGTACAAATTCTTTTATGGTACAACATGAATTTGTACTTTTATGTGATGGTACAACTTCAAATTGTAAAGTTGTACCATAACATAATGGTATAATTTTTTTATGGTACAACCTAAACTTATAAATTTATTGTTATAGTACAACTTCAAGTTGTACATTAAAGCACCAATACTATATATCATAGTAGAAGTGCTCATTTATTTTTTGTGTTTTAGTAACTGTTTATATTGGGAGTGGAGACTCCACTTGAGAAGCTCTCTCCTTTCGTTAAATATATAGACATACTTGTACTAAAATTTTATGGAATGGATATATACCTAGATCTAGATCGGATATGTAGGCCTAATAAAGGTGTTCGGCCAGTTAGCCTATAACAAATGGAAAAAGTCCATGCTCTAGCTGCGCTTTCTTCCTTGCATATTACGAAACTAGACTTTTATTCAAGCTTTTCATAATGGTGTCTTTTTTTTTTTAATAAAGCTTTCATTCATTCATCCCGAAAGAGGAGAGGAATTACAGCAGAGGGGCTACAATGGATAGAACAGATATCCAGTCCCGTGGAAGGTAAAGACAACGCGCATTACGCGCAACCCAATCAGCACATAAGTTGAAACGACGATGGGTGAAAGAGAGATGAATCCAGTGACATTGCCGAAGTATGGTCTTAATGTGAGAAAGAAGACCAAAACATCGCCAAGGCCACATGGACTCATCCACCAAAGATTTACAATCCGTGAAAATAACAGTAGGGGTGTTGTCAGAAGCAGCAAAACGACACGCTTCCACGAGGGAAAGAGCCTTAACCTCAATCGGAGAAGAACATATGACCTTTCCAGCCTTCCCATCACAAATATGACCTTGGGAATCAGTAATAACTATCCCAAAAGCCGCCTCTTGTGATCCGTGGTCAAAAGACCCATCACAGTTAATCCGTTTCGCAGGATCTCTCTGCGGTGGAGAAGATTGTGGTGGAATGCCCCTAGACTGGTGATTAGGGCAACGAGATGGATGAGCAGGGAAAGGCTCAGACGCCTCTCGAAAGGCAAAAATTGAGGTCATCATTGGGGACATAGTGATACCTCTGAAAACGAACTCGTTCCGAGCCTTCCAAATATTCCATAGGCAAAAAGCCTTGAACCGAAGTGAAGAAGGGTCCTCCTCACTCTTCATCGCGAAGAACCAATGGTTGAAGTTTTGTGGGGGAACCAAAGAAGGAAAAGCTCTTGTCCAAGTCTCCCTAGCGTGAGGGCAAAGGAACAAAAAATGGATCAGAGATTCTTGCTCGGCATTGCAGATTTGGCATCGAGGATTGGGGAGCAATGGCGATGATGGAGGTTGGCTTTGGTAGCTAAAGCATTCCGTAAGCACCTCCAGAGGAAGAATCCAATCTTTGGAGGAAGCTCAAGTGCCCAGAGCCATTTCCAAATGTCATCTGATCATGAGGAGGCTGGTGACTCACTCCTACTGTCACTCTAGAAATTGGCCAAGTGGAACCACTTCCTAAAGCGTAGTATAGCGGGTTTGGGTTTTAATGTCAACCCGGGTCCTAGATTTGACGACTAGCCGGTGAATTCTTGTTATCTAGCAATGAAACTTTAATGCAGGTCTAAACTAACAAACAAGCAAAGCAACTAAACGGTTGTTTTCAGGTTAAGAGAGGTCACCCGGATATGGTTCCCCCTAGACTGCAGTTAAGTCGGATTGCAATTACCAAGTTCAATTTCTATGATAGTTATACTGCGGAAGGTTCTTAAGCGGTCTGAAGTCTCGACTAAAGGTCTCCAGACCCTCTCAATCTGAGTCTCTAGCGGGCGACTAACCTCCACCGGAGTAAAAGATTGAGGCCCTAACGAACAAAACCTCCACTACCGAAGTGACTTCGGTACAGAATAGTGAGTTGGCTCCTCGACTAAAGTCACCAACTCCCTACCTTCTATCAAGGATGCTCTATCAACCTAGGCAGATATTCTCATTCTAGGTTAAAGCAGAAACAACAGGAATATGATCAGGATTCATGCCATTCAATCATTCAAACCTCAATTGAATATAATCAAATCATAGAATCAGTACTTGGGTTCATACAATCAAACCTAACATACAAATCTAGGGTTTCCCATACCCAGATGAATAGGAGAACTACTCCATGGAGAAAGAAGCAAAAGCAGATTCAGACGCGGAAATCATATTGTGAAGGATGGATTTCTGCTCCTGGACGTTGATCGGCACTCCTCCAAGCTCAAGCCAAGCTCCAATGGTGATGAAGATCAAGCTAGGGCACTTGGGAACTCTTGTTCGTCGCTTTCTCTCTCTAGGAATCGCTCTGTCTCTCCAAAACTCGAATCCCCCTCTGTTTTGGCTGAAATCTGCTTAAAAGGGCATCACTGGGCAAAACACGGTCGAGGGCACGGCCGTGTTCTGCTCCAGCCCGCCCGTGCCCTTGCCAAGTGTTAAATACACGGCCAGACTTTTGGGGAAAACACGGGCGTGCTTTTGGTGGACACGGCCGTGTTCTGTCTCAATCCTGCCCGTGTTTTGAGCTAGTGTTTGACAGACTCAGATCAAGTCTCGGCAGTAAAAACACGGTCTAAGGAACACGGCCGTGCTTTGATTTAGGCGTGCCCGTGTTTTGGCTCCAGCTCGACCGAATGACTTCCGAATGTCCCAAAACTCGTGCTTAGCCTTTCCTTCGACGTCTGTGACCTGAAATATGACAAAGTAGCACAACCCGGCGTAAAAGAGTCAAAAAATTCACGACTATGCCCATCAAACGGATAAGAACTAGGGGTGCAAATATGTGCAGTTACATCTTTATCAAATTCCCCCACACTTAACCGTTTGCTTGTCCCCAAGCAAACCAAGTCAGACACAAGGTAAGCTCAAAACGTTTCAATCAAGCATGCTTTAGGGCATATCATATAGGCACAAAACACGTGGATCATACTGGCTTTCGATCATTAACACATGGACAACCTCAATGACAACCTAGACAACCACCATAGATGACATTCGAATGCAGTAAAGTCGAGCAAAGGAAGAGTTCCCTTCTGTTCACCAACCAACATAGACTTGACTCAACCACTTATACCACTTATTCAAAACAGTAACGTCATGCACAAAGCTCAAGATATCAAAATTAAAACCTAGCAATCTAGGTCCTCACCGGGATAAAGAGTATAGAGAATATGAGAAAATGAATCGCTCACTCTCGACCAGTGGGGTCAGGACAATTTGATGCGAAAAGTGCGCATGCTTAATATCTCAATCCCTAACGTCTCTTCACCATGAATGCAGCCTCTAAGTGCTGGAGTTCACATATGGGGTGTCACCACTAACTAATCCGGAGGTCTTAGACACAGGTTCAGATGACTGGCTAGGGTCTTGGACATGGGGAAAAGGCCTTTTAGGTGGTGGAAGTATTCATACAGCACAAGGTTCCACATTTCCCAACCCAACAAACTCACAGTCAATCAAACCAATAACTTTCTTTCTGCTATTCTGCATTACTCAAATTCTTCAGAGCACAAGAGCGAAGGAGGTCACATAAATGCTAGTATTTCTAAGCCAGACTGCTAAGAAACACTACTTAATGGGCACTATTAAGATTTTTGGTGGTGGCTCTCTTTTGCTTTCATTTTTTCTTTGTTTTTCTTTCAGTTTTTTGTTTTTTTCATTTCTTAAGAGAACCACCACCTCTGCACATTTTCAAACACCTGCCCAACTTTTAAGCATTACCTCCAACCCTCACATTACGTTTAGCAGAAACAGTAGAGAACATGTAAAAATCACTCTGTGGAACCTTCTAAAAGATGCAAAAGGGTGACTTTTCAGTGAATACCGAAAGAAAGGAAAACACACGGCTCAAAGGGGCTGACTAGGGGGTATGACACACCAGGACAGTCAATTTGGTCGTGGGCTAATCCTATGCCTCCATCATCCTAGCTAATGACAACGTGAATGCTGCATATCATGGAAGAGGAAACTATCGCACAAGAAAGAAACGAGCAGGCTCAAGTCTCACATGGCTACCTATATGCTCTATCTCTCGTTCTGATTCCTTAAACTAGATGCATAAATGACTGTCAAAAGCAAGTGATCAAACCAAGTCACATTTGGTGAGCAAACAGTTGAAAAACTGAACCCCTACACAGTTCTACTGCACATCTCAGTCATCATAATAAGTTGTCTAAGTCACACTCAAGTTGGCATGCATCAAGTCAAAAGCCATTCAATTCACTAATCACATCCACAGTGCCAATACGATTAAACATTAGGCAAACAACGGTGCTTGGAGCCCTCAAATCTCGAGATTTGGACAGTGGACTAGGCTCCAAGCACACAAACAGATCTAATGCAGTCAAAAGATAAACACCCCCCCCACACTTAAGATCGACATTGCCCTCAATGGAGAAGAGGGAAAGATAAGGAGAACGATGTTATAGGTGTGCACGGACTACATGAGACTGGAAGCGGACCCTCCGAGTGAAGCGGACTGGGGAGGGACCAGTCTGGACCAAAGCACAGCTAAAGGGGAACAAAAGAGCTCAAACACAATATGTTAGGTCCAATGGTCAGCCCAATAATACATCATCCAAAACAAAAGAAAACAAACCAAAACCAAACCGGTTTACAATCCGACTCAAAACACAAGAAAGAAAGTCAAACCGTGGTGGGGTTGCCTCCCCACAAGCGCTTCTTTACCGTCTTTTAGCTGGACGCCCATGGTGGATACTCAGGGAGGTGCAGGAACAGGTGCCTCCAAGAGCGGATCCACGTCGCTCTTGAGGTACAGCTTCAGGTTGTGGCCATGCACACGACGCATGCGACCACCATCATCGTTTAGCTCGACCTGGCCATCCGGCAAGATGCAGGCGAGTGAGTACTCGGACGGCCAGGGTGGTCGTGGTGCAGGAGGTGGGACCAGCTCATAGTGGTCTCCACCTTTCTTCCGAACAGGCTTAGCCACCTGCGGCTTCGGCCGCCACTCCTCCTTGAGCTTTTTGTTCGGAGGCGAGACTGGATGGAGTGGCGGAGAAGGAATGATAGGAGGGTCCTGAAAAATGAGAGGTGCAGAAGGATACAAGACAGGCTCGTGTACCTGATTAAAAATGGCATGCACAGGTGTGACAGCAATCATAGCACAGTGATCGAATTCAGTCACAGAAAAAGTAGCCTGTTCATTCCCAGCACGCAGGATCAGTTTACCATCATGCACATCAATAAGTGCCTTGGCGGTGGCAAGAAATGGTCTACCAAGAATCAAAGGCACATCCACATCCTCATGTATATCAAGAATAATAAAATCAACAGGATATGTGAATGCACCTACATTAACAAGTAGATCCTCTATGATCCCCCTAGGATGCACAATGGAACGATCAACTACCTGAATGCTCATCCTAGTAGGGCTAAGTTCACCTAGGTCTAGCTTTTATACAACTTATATGGCATGACATTTATGCTAGCGCCTAGGTCCGCCAAGGACTTGCCTACATGCATGCTGCCAATAGTAAGAGGGATAGTAAAACTCCCTGGGTCCTTGCGCTTTTCGGGCAGCTTGTTCTGCAGGATAGCAGAACACTCCTCACTCAGCAACACTATCGAGAGATCCCCAAGTTTCTTCTTGTTGGTGAGGAGATCTTTCATGAACTTCGCGTACTTGGGCATCTTCGACAGTGCCTCCACAAACGGTATGCTGATGTTGAGCTGCTTCAACATTGCCATAAACTTGGCAAACTCAGTCTCCAGCTTGTCTTTGTGTAGGCGAGTGGGGAAGGGAAGCTGGGGTACATGCTCCTTAACCATGGTTGTGGCTTGGGAGCAGGGGCTTCCTTCTCTACCCGCACTTCTGCATCGTCGGCTGGAAGTGCTGAAGCAGGTATTGGTTCCTCCTGCCTGGCCGGGACAGGATCAACGGATATGGTCTTACCTCTCCTGGAAAATGTGGCATCCAGCTGCTGGTGCGGCTCCCGTGGATTGGGGATGGTAGTGGCAGGTAGAGTTCCCGGGGCCCGGGTATTAATTTGGCGAACCATGTCACCCATATGGTTCTGCAAATCTTGCAAAATGGCACCTTGGTTCCTCTGACCTGCCTCCAGTGCGGCTTTGCTCTGGGTCAGTCTCGTGACAGTTGCCTGAGTGCTAGTCATGAATGAAGCTAAAATATTTTCCAGCTTCGTCATCTGATTATCTGGAGCCGGAGCTGCTGCTGGCTCGGCATACTAACACTAGGGCTGCTGGAATGGTTGCCCCTGCCTAGGCTGGTAGGGCTGCTGCTGTGGGGATGGCCCCTGTCTAGCCTGGAAAGGCTGCCTCTGCTCAAAACCACCAGCTGGTGCAGGGAAACCAGGTGGTTTAGTGGTGTTACTATTCCAAGAGAAGTTGGGATGCTGGCGCCACCCCTCATTGTATGTGTTACTGTATGGATCGAGGCGCCGCGCATTGGCGATGAAGGCCAACTGCTCCTGGGGTGTAGAGGACTCCCGCATAGCCTGACAGTCCTCCACAAGATGATTCGAGCTCTCACACCACTGACATTGAGCTACTGGAGGTGTAGCCAATCCTCTGCCCGGAATAAGACTGTTGGGTTGCTTCAATGTCTGCACTAACTCGCTTACTTGCTGCTCGAGCCCGGATCTGGTTTCCATGGCGTGCACACCACGGTCCCGGGAATGTCTTTCTCTGCTGCTCTGCCCCCAGGAATGATCTCTGGCAGCCAGGGTACTGATCATCTGGTTCAGTTCGGGTGGAGTCTTAGTAAGAATATCCCCTCCTGGGCATAGAGACTCAATCACCCTCTGGCTGTCCGGAGAGAGAGCGATGTAGAAGTTCCCCACTGTGAATGCATCACTGAAGCCATGATGGGGACACTACCAGAAATATCCCATGTACCGCTCCCATGCATCACGAAGTGACTCGTCTGGCTCTTGGCGAAAGTGATTGATCTCCCGCTGGATCTCTGTAGTCTTCGATGCTGGGTAGTACCCGTGCAAGAACTTATCAGCCAGATCATCCCAAGAAGTGATGGACAATGGGGGCTGGGTCTCCAACCACCTCTTGGCATTCCCCGCCAGAGAATGGGGGAAGAGGTGAAGGCGGATGGCATCATCAGGGACACCGTTCAGGTTGAACCCGTTCGTCAGCTGCAGAAAACGGGAAAGATGTACCCTTGCCTCCTCATCCTTCAAGCCATGGAACTGGATAGAGGATGTAATGAGTTGAATCCAGCATGGCTTGATCTCGAAGTTGTTTGCTGGAATAGGCGGGTAGAGGATGACCGGGCGGATGTCAGCAATCCGTGAAGTGTAGTAGTACTCCAAGGTGGGACCCGGCGGCGGTGGATGATGATGAACCCCATCTGCTTGGGGGATGGGGTTGTTCCCCAGGACCGGATTCACCGGAGGAGCCTGCTGAGGATTCCCCTGGTGTGGATTGTAATCTTCCATCTCGTACTCGTCCTCGGACTCGCTGCTCAAATGGCCGTCTATGCGCTCCTCCGTAGCCAGTCTAGCTCGCTGTTGTCTCCTGAGTTGGTGACAGGTGCGTTCAAGCTCTGGATTCAACAGCAGTAAACCTCCCGACTGGCTACGGGTCATGCACTATCTGCACACGATCAAGCAAGCAAACCCGTGAAGGCACAAGTGGGACAAAGCAAACAATGCGAAAAGAAAAGCTAAATTAACAGAAATCACTTTTCTTCAACAATCTAGCCGTCCCCGGCAACGGCGCCAAAAACTTGACTCACTCCTACTGTCACTCTAGAAATTGCCCAAGTGGAACCAGTTCCTAAAGCGTAGTATAGCGGGTTTGGGTTTTAATGTCAACCCAGGTCCTAGATTTGTTGACTACTCGGTGAATTCTTGTTATCTAGCGATGAAACTTTAATGCAGGTCTACACTAACAAACAAGCAAAGCAACTAAACGATTATTTTCAGGTTAAGAGAGGTAACCCGGATATGGTTCCCCCTAGACTGCAGTTAAGTCGGATTGCAATTACAAAGTTCAATTTCTATGATAGTTATACTGCCGAAGGTTCTTAAGCGGTCTGAAGTCTAGACTAAAGGTCTCCAGACCCTCTCAATCTGAGTCTCTAGCGGGCGACTAACCTCCACCGGATTAAAAGATTGAGGCCCTAACGAACAAAACCTCCACTACCGAAGTGACTTCGGTACAGAATAGTGAGTTGGATCCTCGACTAAAGTCACCAACTCCCTACCTTCAATCAAGGATGCTTTATCAACCTAGGTAGATATTCTCATTCTAGGTTAAAGCAGAAACAACAGGAATTTGATCAGGATTCATGCCATTCAATCATTCAAACCTCAATTGAATATAATCAAATCATAGAATCAGTACTTGGGTTCATACAATCAAACCTAACATATAAATCTAGGGTTTCCCATACCCAGATGAATGGGAGAACTACTCCATGGAGAAAGAAGCAAAAGCAGATTCAGACGCGGAAATCATACTGTGAAGGATGGATTTCTGCTCCTGGACGTTGATCGGCACTCCTCCAAGCTCAAGCCAAGCTCCAATGGTGATGAAGATCAAGCTAGGGCACTTGGGAACTCTTGTTCGTCGCTTTCTCTCTCTAGGAATCACTCTGTCTCTCCAAAACTCGAATCCCCCTCTGTTTTGGCTGAAATCTGCCTAAAAGGGCATCACTGGGCAAAAGACGGTCGAGGGCACGGTCGTGTTCTGCTCCAGCCCGCCCATGCCCTTGCCAAGTGTTAAATACACGGTCAGACTTTTGGGGAAAACACGGGCGTGCTTTTGGTGGACACGGTCGTGTTCTGTCTCAATCCTGCCCGTGTTTTGAGCTAGTGTTTGACAGACTCAGATCAAGTCTCGGCAGTAAAAACACTGTCTAAGGAACACGGCCGTGCTTTGATTTAGGCGTGCCCGTGTTTTGGCTCCAGCTCGACCGAATGACTTCCGAATGTCCCGAAACTCGTGGTTAGCCTTTCCTTCGACGTCTGGGACCTGAAATATGACAAAGTAGCACAACCCGGCGTAAAAGAGGCCAAAAATAGACGACTATGCCCATCCAACGGATAAGAACTAGGGGTGCAACTATGTGCAATTACATCGTTATCAGCTGGTGAGTACTCTGCCGAATATGATTCCTCAGCCTATGATAGGCGGATCTCACCGAAAAGCTTCCATTAGGAGTAAATTTCCATGCCCACTTGTCCTTGGAATCCGTTGGCCCAACATGAATCTTTGCAATAGCTTCAAAATCAGAAGGAGAGCAGTGGTTATGAATTAAATTCCAATTCCATTTCCGGGAATCCTCCTCCAAACCAATCACATACTCTAGAGTGAGGAACATTTGGGGCTGAAATCACATGATTTTCCAAGGATGGAATCCACGGATCTTTCTCAAACCAAGTATCGGTCCCTGACCCAATGACCCGGATGGCCCCCAAATCCAAAGCCTTCCTCGCATCACAAAGACTAGCCCAAATCCACGAGGAAGCACTTCCCTTCTTTGCCGATCTGAAGTCAGAATTGGGATAATAAAGACCACGCAGGAGGCGAGCCCATAGGGCATCTGGTTCATTAATAAGGCGCCAACCCTGTTTTGCAAGCAGAGAGAGATTAAAAATGCGAAAATCTCTAAAGCCAAGGCCTCCAATCGACTTGGGATCATTGAGAACTTCCCCTTTCTGCCAAGGAATTGACCGTTTCTTCATGGATCCTGACCAAAAGAAATTGCGAAGAAGAGCATCCATCTTCTTTGTCAAAGAGGCTGGAAAACGGAAGACACTCATAATGAAAGTCGGGATGGCCTGAATCACAACCTTCAAAAGGGTCTCCTTCCCGGCATGGGATAAAGTCAAGCTTTTCCAGGACAACTCAATCATCTCCATCCTCTCAATAAGGAACCGAATTGTCTCCTTCTTCGACCGTCCCCAATCAGTCGGCACCCCCAGATACTTATCATGAAGAAAGTCCGTCGGGAAACCAAATCGAGAAGTAATTTGGTGCCTCAGTTCTTTCGGGGTATTCTTACTGAAGAAAACAGAAGACTTTTCCATATTAACTTCTTGTCCCGTAAGAAAGCTGTAATCATTAATGATATGCATAATGGCCTCTGCTTGTCCCACTTATGCACGTCCGAAGATAACAGTATCATCAGCGAAAAGACAATGAGACAGGAGGGGACATTGTTGTTTCATCTTAAGACCATTAATCGCCCCCTGCGAGATACCTCGTTCCAACAGAAAGGACAAGGCATTTGACATTAATATGAAAAGAAAGGGAGAGAGTGGGTCCCCCTGTTGGATTCCCCTTGTCGGCGAAAAAAACTCAGTAGGGCCGCCATTGAGAAGGATCGAAAAGCGGACTGTTCGCACACATTCTCTAACCCAACTACACCAAGTTTGATTAAAACCATAGGCTAGCAGGAGAGTATCCAGACAGTCCCAATCAACCAGATCATATGCCTTGCGCATATCCATTTTGAGCATCATTTCGAAACGCCGCACATATTTACGTTTCTTAAGATGATGGAGGACTTCATGAACAATAATGATATTATCTTGAATCATCCTCCCTCCTGTTAATGATTCTTGCATTTCAGACACCAAACCAGGAATCATATCCTTGAGCCGAGTAGCCATGATTTTTGAAATCACCTTATACTTGAAATTGCAACAGCTGATCGGCCGAAACTAACCAATATTCTCCGGATTAGGGACTTTAGGGACCAAGGCGATGTGAGTATAGTTCCATCCCAAAGGAAGAGAGGCTGTCATAAAGAAATTAGTGACTTCTTGACAAAGCTCCTCTCTCACCACATCCCAATACCACCTGAAAAAGAATCTGTTAAGCCCATCAGGCCCGGGGGACTTATGAGCAACAAGAGAGAAAGCAGCCTCTTTAATCTCCTCATTCGTCACGGGTTTCATGTGACTTTCATTCATTTCCGAGTTGACCAGCCGAGGGAACTCATGCAACAGTTGTTCATCAAAACCTGTCTCCTTCGCTGTGAACAAATCACGAAAGAACTCATTTATGTGGGAAGAAAGAAGTGCAGGATGTTAGATCCATTCCCCATTTGATCCTTTAAGGCCCAAAATCTGGTTAAAATGACGTCGGAAGGTCGTAGGATTATGAAAGAATTTGGTGTTGCGATCTCCCTCCGCCAACCATTGAATTCTCGATCGTTGACACCACATTTTTTCCTCGTCTTTCCAGAGTGAATCCAACTTAGCAAGCAAACCTTTTTCCTCTTCAAGAATTTCATTGGTTCTGAATAAATTAGTAATAGCCTCAAGCCTGCTTTTAATATGATTCTCCCTCTGATGTTGAGCTTGTAGCATGGCTTTTGCCCAAGATTTGAGGTCATTTTGGCACTTTTTGACTCTTTGTGTATGAGTACCTTCCGAAGCCCAAGCTTTCATTACTATCTGATCACAACCTTCCTTTCCCGCCCATCTATCATCAAACTGAAACGGTGGGTATCTCCTTGGGTCTGGGGAATGGAATTCAAGTCTCAAGACCCTGTGATCCGAGCCAATGTCGCTACCATGGAAAACATAAGCTTCATCAAAACACTCCCTCCAAGCAGGGGTACCGAGAGCTCGATTGGAGTCTTCCTTTCACATTGTGAGCACCTTGTCTTTTGTTGTTCCACGTGAATTGGGGACCATCAAAACCAAGGTCAATGAGACCATTATCAAAAAATAAAATTTTTAAAAGGTTCCACGGAATCCCTACGCAGAGGGCTGCAACCTTGTTTTTCATAGTTAACTACCATGGCATTAAGATCACCAATCACAACCCAAGGGACACTAACATCCATTCTAAAGCTAGAAACCATCTCCCAAAAGACCCTCCTCTCATTGGCAATTGAGGGGGCATGAACAAAAGACATGAAAAAAGAACACCCATAATTAATAAAAATATCAATAAAATGCCGACCACTATCCAAAACTTGGAGATCGAATCTGGCTGTCCACCACTAGGCTAAACCTCCTGCCGAATTCTCCAGCTCGACGTAGTGTTTGTTCTGAAAATTGTTTTGTATCCGATAATCCTCCATAGTGGCTTCAGAATTCATTGTTTCCATCAAGAAAACAATAGATGGGCGGAACTTTCTAACCATCCTCTTGAGATGATTACTTGTCTGAGGAGGCCCAATTTTTCGACAATTCCAACTAAGGCAACTCATTCTGACTGTGGTGGCTTTTTGCAGGCCACCTGCGCTTCAGTTTCTTTGTTGGACAGCTGATCTTGGTACTCTTCTGCCTCACCTGTATTACCCTTCCCCTCCTTGTTTTTGTTACCTTTAATCCTGATGCGAGCATTCCTTGGCTTTATAGATCCCTCTCCTGGAGTAAAATATGGGCCAGCAAAATCAAGAGCTTCCCCTTGCTTTCTTTTCTTGGGCTCTTGCTGATCTTCCTTTGAGTAGTTGGCACAACACAGATGATTTTCCTCTGTGGGCTTCCTGTTCAAGTCCATTTTTTGATTCAAATCCAGCATAACCTGATTAAGGTTTGGCCGAGAATGGTGAGTTGGGATGGAAGAGGATAGTGGATGGGTCTGGTATCCCTCAGTTTGGATTTGAGATGAATGGGCCTGGTTTATACCAGCCCACTGTCCTTCACTGAGCTCAACAGCCAGATTTCGTGCCACCGAAGGAGAGAAAAAATGGTGGTTGTTGCGAGGGGAAAAGAAAGCAGCAGGTGGGACCCCATACATCCCTATGTTTTGAGTTGGAGATGGAGTCTGGAGCCGTTGAGAGTAGGGACCCGAGGCAGAGTGTGGAGCCGTTGGAATTGGTGATGGGATGGCTTCTGGGAACGGGTGCAGGGTGAATCCCGGAGGATCGCGAACGGTCATTCCCCATTCTCCTTCCCTCGCCGAAGTAAGACCTCAGGAGCTGCAGCTTCGAGATCCCGGCGATCCCATTCCAGGCACCCAAACTTGATTCTGGACAAATCCTAGAGAGCTTGAGCTAGAGCCATCATCTGTAGGAGAGGAAGGAATAATCCGACCTCGAGGCAGAGGAGGGGGCCTGCTAGCTCTTGTTCCTGCCTTCATCCATGACGTAAAACGACCCTCTAGAGGACCAGCAACCCTTGCTTCAACATCCGCCCTCCTTCTTGAGCACTCTTGCTTGTTATGCCCATATCTCCGGCAATAATAAAAGAGGGAATACAACTTCTCATACCGGAACCCAAGCCATTCCCTATCTCCGTTGGAGCAGAAATAGGAGCCTGGAGGAAGAGGCTTGGAAAGATCAACTTAGACACGTACACGGATGAACTCCATATATTTGTCCGGATTTAATCCCCTCATGTCAATGGAGTGGATTGATTTGAACATAGCCACTGCAGATTCAATATTGTTGATGGTTCTTCTATGATCTGGAATCCCATGAACATGGACCCAGAAATCCGCCAAGTCAAAATTGAGCTCCTGGGTCTTATTTTTTCTTCATACTGCTTCAGTTGCAGCATGCATCCCGACACTTGCCATGGCCTGCCTGCCCACGCCTTCTCCTTCTCCTCTGGGGTGTCAAAAACGAAGATGAACAAGTTTCTGGACCTCAGCAAGTCCCGAACCACCGGCTCGCAGAAATGGGACCATGCCCCATTGATCATACCTGAGATTGACTTTTTGTTGATCTCCCTTTCAGAAAACAGTTTACCGACTAGACGCAACCGAGACCCTCCCTGACACTCTAGAACTTCATCGGTGAAGATGACAGCAAGATCCTCATCATCCCATTCCTTGTATTGATTGGCAAGAGCGTCTCCAGTCTGGTTCTCCATTTTCCAAAAAGGTTGACTGATTTTAGAGGGAGCAGAGCTTTGTGAAGTTTTTAGATCTGTGAAGAGGTAAGCAAACCAGCTCTTGCTCAGCTTAGTTATAGGGCAGCAGCAGTTTCCAGTTTTCTCAGGGGGCTTAGTAAAGGGGAGGAGTTTAGGTGGGATGTGGATTGATGGAGTCGAATCATCATAACTCCATTGTAGACAACTATTTCCATTTCCCGTGGCTCGATGATTTCACTTGAGAGGGATACACTGTTCTTGGGTATTGGAGGTTTGAAAAGACTGGGATTAATGTTTTCCAGTTTAGCTTCTAGCAATAGGGGAGATATATATGGGTTGGGGCCAGAATGCATTGAAGAGGGGAAGAGGTTCTCTGGGTCTCGATTGTTGGGAGAAATGAATGAAGGATTGGGGCTTCATCATTTCCGAAACAGTTGGTGGTTGATAAGGTAGTAAATGTGGCAGGAAGAAGATCTGAGGAAGATTGAATCTGGCCATGGGAGCATTTACTCATGAAAAGATTTCCCAACTCCTTCATAGATGGCACAGGTGTAATCATAAACCTCTTCTCCACTAGGATCACTAAGGAGGCAGAAAAAGCACCTTCATAGAAGGATGCATCTGGAAACCCAGATCTAGAGTTTGAAAATTGAGAGAGAAAAGGATGATAGAGAAGTTTAGAGAGAGAGCCATTCTCCTAACATTATTTCCTTTCATAATGGTTTCGCTCCCACCAAAAAATAAAAAGAAAAATACTTCAAATATTTGAGAGGCATAATTTTGTGGTTTAAGATACTCACCAGTCACCACGTTACGCGTATATTTTAAAGATTGTAAAATGGTTTCGAAGGTCTTATTATTAGATAAGTTAGTGATAGAGTATTTTGTATTATGGTTGTAGTTCAATTATTTTATAAGATTAGTGTATGCCCACTCGTTAGTGGTATGAAATGATTGAATCAGAATTTCAGTATAAAATATTCTACCGCTGATTTTCTGGTACAATTTATAGTATTGTTTCACAATCCTGCTCAAAACCATAGTAGCGCCAACTGGAGGTGGCAACGCATGGATTGGATTCATGGATTGGCGGATTCATGGATAATATGGCTGATTGGATCCAATGGATTGGTGGATTTATGGTTTGGATCAAGTGGTTTGGTGGATTCATGGATTGGATCAAGTCGATTGGGGGATTATCCATGAATCCAAATAGGGGTGGGCATTGGTGCGGTACAAACCTCTCCGCCCCGTTCCAAATCGCTTGTGCGGTCAGCCCAAACCGCCCCTTTAAGATTGCGGTTTAATTATTAAGCGATTCGTGGTTTTGCGGTATGAGCCGACCAAAACCGCGCGGTTGCGGTTCAAAACCGCAAACCGCTAAATCCCTACATGGAAGGTCGCCCACCAACACTTTAGTGAGGCTTTTCACTTCCTCCTCCACCTGCCTCCTCCAACCGCAACCGCGTCTCCCCTCAAATCACCGACTCTTCTCTCCGTGACTCCCTCCCTCTCTTTACCTTCGCCTCCATCCACCGCCGCTCAGCCTCAGCTTCCTCCTCCTCGGGCGATTGCGCGGTCTGCCTCTCCAAATTCGAGCCAAACGACCAGCTCCGCCTCCTCCCACTGTGCTGCCACGCCTTCCACTCCGCCTGCATCGACACCTGGCTCCTCTCTAGCCAGACCTGCACTCTCTACCTCTCCCCCTTCATGCCTCCGATTCCGACATCTTCAAGGCTCTCTCCTCCTCTTCCGTCTCCGCCAGCTTCCGCCTCGAGATCGGCTCCGCCTCGAGATCGACTCCGTCAGTCGGGGCTGGGGGGACGACGTCGTCCACCAACACGTCAGCACTACCCAGTCGGCGCATTCCTCAGTCTCTACTACGACCGTCGTTGGTGGTGGAGGAAGCAGTAGTATCGCTTTCGAAGATTTCCATTTCCCATCTGATCTCATCTCCATTCAGGATCACAAGGACGAGACGGTGCTCGGTGTGTTTCTCAGATCTGGGTTCTATTTGCTACAATTCATGATCTGGGTATGCTTATTTCTGTCATGGGAACATTAGGTTGTGCTTCAATTTCTCGAATCTTTGAAAAACATCCAGTTGATATCAATATGTTATGGAGTCGCTGGTTTTCCCCTTCCGATGTCCAGTTCGTTAGCTTCTGAAGTGTTTGGTTGTGTGAGTTAGCTGTTGCAGAGACCGATAGTTAGCTATTAGTTAATTTGTATTGTTAGAGTCGATGGCTCCATCGTTTGAGCCTCTAGGCATTTGGTTGGTTTTGAGCAAGGAAGTCTTCAATGCCCTTCAAGGTGATTGATGTTGTTTGGGTTCTTGCAGCGTTGACGAAGTTCCTCCAAATCGAGCGTGTTCTTGTTCTGTTTGATTGGAATTTCCTTTTCTGTCTCTGCAGCGTTGGTGTTTTTGGCTGGCTTTTCTTTGGATAGTGCTCACGAAACCGATAGCTAAAGCTATTAGTCAATTTGTTCAAGAGTGCTAAAGTTGCTGCTATATGGTGGAGATGGTAGTCACTGCAGCAACTGTATTGTATGTGGAATTTAATGTGCGTTGTGGGTAAGATATACGGCTGAAAGGGAGGAAGGACGCGGTTTGGTGAATGCACTGATGGTGTCATTTTCATTTGGATCTCTCTCTCTCTCTCTGGCTCGCTTTGTCTGACAAATGTAGACGGAAAAACATGCATGCGAACACAGAGCAAATATATTCCCATTGCTTTGTTCGTCGATCATTAACTATTATTGTTTTTTGGGTTGCAGGTGGTATGTTCAAGGAGAAGAAGAAGAAGCTGCAGTCTTTTTTGTATTTTTTGTTTTTTGTTTTTTTGGAACTTAGTTAAGTGAGAGAACTGAAGGTCCAGTTACTTTGTGGAGTGCATAAACCAAAGTAGTTTTGTTGTCTGCAGTTTGATGTTCTTGCATTAGCTTTTGTAGTTAAAAAGTACTTTTGGTATTTCTCTTACACCCATATATAACTTTTGCGGTTTTATTTGCGGTTGTGGTCCAAACCGCACCAAGTCGCTAACTAATGCGGATCGGTTGGACCATACCAATTAACTTGCGGTCTTGTTTGTGGTGCGGTCCAATTACTTTGCGGTGCGATGCGGTTTTTATCAACACGGTGCGGTGCGGGTCGCACCAATGCCCACCCCTAAATCCAAATGACATCCTCAACCTTGAATCATTATATAAATTTTTAAAAGTTTAGGTACTACAATATCATAATAAAAAAATTTTAGGTACCAAAATATAATTTTCCAATGATATTTTTCGTATAAAAAAGGTTTTAGGCACCAAAATATAAAATATAAAAAAGTATAGATACTAAACCTTAATTTGTCATTTGGAATCCAATTAGATTTGAATAAAATGAATTGGATTTAAATAAACTGATAGATTGATTGGATTGGATTTTCATTTATCAGACCAAGAAGCAAATCAACCAAAACACTCAGACGTGAGATGAACGCGTCTGGACATTAAACGTCTTCTTGGTAAATGGTAATGAATGCTTGGGGTTGGAAGAAGCTTAACTTTCATCTTGGCTGGCCATTCTTGATCACCTAACCTTTCTTTGCATATTTAGTACATATATAAATAAAACCATGCATGTCACTATTTCTTTTTAAATATAAGATACTTTGGGTGCATATCAGCACTCTTTTACGTAACTGATAAACTGACAGAAACAACCAATAGTTATATTTGGATGGAAAGAGGTTTCCCACCCATAGATAACCTCAATCAGCTGGATTAGATCGACCACCGGCGAAGCAATTGAGTTGATATATCTCCGAGTCCAGCTTGGAGTGATGAAAGTGATCATCAAAACTGGTTAAAGAAATCGTGAATCTGTTTCGTAACTTCCTCCGGCTTCTCCTCGTTGAGAAAGTGACCCACGCCTTTCAGCACAACTATGTCCTCCAATAACGGCACATCCTTCTTGAATCCGCCATTGTTGATGTACGCCTCCGCTCCAGGGAACTTCAATGTCAGGTCCAGCTCCCCCACTATGAACTTCGCCGGCACCATCACTTTTGCCCCTGTCCATGGCCCCATCATCTCCCACGTTCTGCAACCACATCAAACACATTATGAATAGGCAATATTGTTGAAACTGGTTGCTGAATTAGTACGATAATGTTCGTTTGGGTAAAACTTGTACGGTTTTTACTTTTGGGTATCCTTTCCAAAATGTCTCGTACTAATAAGTTTGGTTGACACTAATGGACAAGGGTTTCTTTCTTAGTATTACCGCTAGGGCTAGCTATTTGGTCCGGATTGTTTGGTTTTACCCGAAACCGGACCGTATAACCCGGATCGGGACCGGACTGAGACTGGATAGCAAACAATCTAATCTCATATTCGGGTTTAGATTTGAGGTAAAAAAACAGGATAAAGACCGGATAAGAAACCCCAAACACCTAAAATCAAGATCAAATTGGAATCGGACCGGGTCAAGACCCGATTTGATCCATCCAATCTTTGGTCCTTATATTCCAAAAAAAAAATTGGACTGGGACCGGATCAATTTGGTCCAATTTAACCAGACGGTATAGCCACCCTAATTACCGATTGATACTCTCCTAAAAAATAAAAATAAAAAGGAAAGTAAAAAGGGTTAATGGGACAAACAAATCAATGGAGCGGTAGTAGTTCAATGGTCCAGTGAAGCCGCTCTCGTCGAACTTGGCAGCATAGTAATCAACATCCTCTTGCGAGAGCCAGGAAGGCAAAGTGGGCGGATCCGGAAAGCCCACGAACCCGGTTTCCTTGGGAATGCAAGGCGGTTTCGGGTCACGGTACCCGAGAAATTTCATCAACACTTTCCCCGTATCCATCCCGGCGAACTCAGCCTCCATTTCTCCGGCCTCCTGGAACCTGCACATATAGAAATCATCTCCCAGCACGGCTCTCGCTCCGGTCATCGGAGACACCTTCGACGAGGTCTTCGGGCTGAAGGGAACGCTGGTGTTGACCAGGGCCCGGACCCGATCGGGCCGAAGCAGGCAGAAGTGCCACGAGATGATGGCGCCCCAGTCGTGGCCCACTAAGAAGACTTGCTGGATCCCCAGCCCGTCCAGCAGGCCCACGAGATCGCCCACGACGTGGAAGGAGGTGTAGTGGGCCGCCGGGCCCGGGGAGTCGGTGTCGCCGTAGCCGCGGAGGTCCGGAGCGATGCAGCGGTAGCCGAGGGAGGAGAGGGAGAGGAGCTGGTGCCGCCACGTGTACCACAGCTCCGGGAAGCCGTGGACGAACAGGATGGCGCGTGGGCCGGCGCCGATGGAGGCGACGTGCATGTTGATCCCGTTTGTGGAGATCGTTGTGTGCTCTATCTTCTCCATGTTGATGGGAGTTTTTGGTTGGATTAATTGTTGTGATTGTTATGGCTCTGATGTTCCGGTTAATATAGGGAGGGGAATTTGGTGGGTTCTTACGTTGAGATGGAGAGTAGTACGCCGGCGGTAGCCGGCTGCAGATGGGTCCAAACCACAAAGTTGGCTTTACCCGTTCGTTAGAACTTGTAATTGAATCAGAGGTTTTGTAATATGGTACGTATCTTTGGATCAAAATAGAATGTACAAGGATGTGAAGTCAAGTAAGAGGGCAAGCTACCTTGTATAACGAAGAACGAGGGAGTTATTTATTTATTGAAAAGGAAAAGTAAGCTTTTGAAGCAAATTGTGTTTTACAAAATCAATGAGCAAAGAGATTAAACAGATGTTAAGGAGTCCCATAACAAAAGCTCAGCGGCAAGAAATGAGAGTAATCTTCCCAAAATTTAAAGGGGCAAGCCAAAACTTTATGCGGAGAAGAAGACAACGAGAATTTCTTATTAGTGTTCTATTTTTCATGGAGGAAACTCTACTAAAATCAGTGGCTTTGGAGTTACCAATTCATTTTTTTTTCTTTTCTCTATGTAATGGGCTAATTTACCGTACACATGCGAATTGAAACGTGCCACGAATTGTTGCGGCCCACAAAAACAGAACATGTTTCTTAAAGCCCTTTTATTTCTCAGTGTTGGTAAGATATATATGAAAGGGAAAAACAATACTCCTTTTTATTGTTAAAAAGAAAATTTTAACAATAAACTAATGCACGGATTCTAATGGGCTAACCGCCTACCATAAAATAAAAAAAATTGAATGGGCCTGATCTATACTGGATTTGGCCATGAAGTAAAACAAATGAACATCATGGGTTTGTCATTCTAAAATAAGCTATTTTCTCTAGCATAACATGTTATGCTATTTTTTATATCTTAGTGGCTAAAATATAATGTATTTTAAAGTTATTAAATGGTTCAACCTCGACCAACCCAATTAGTCCAATTTTTATTCATTTCAAATATATATTATATAATTATTTGATATCATAATGATTAAATTATAGTTTAATTTATAGGGAATCGTTTGGTATTTGTTAGTAAAAAACTAAACAGAAAGATCCATATGGTTATTTTTAATATTAAAATGAATAATTGGAGTTTGGCATGTGTCGGTCAAATATGCTGAATTTCAAGTTTTGAGCCGTTTTGATCAGACCTAATTTATAATCACATGGTTCCCTAATAGCCGATAAAAATCTCAATCCAAACAAGTTAGGCAGCTGAGTCCGTGTTTACCACCATTTTTTAGGGATACAGGAACGGTGGTTCCTATCCTAAATCGTGTTGTTCGTTCTTCATTTCTTTAAATTTTATCATGGCCTGGCAAAAACCAGAAAGCACAATGACGACAAGATGAAAGTTTTATAAAACAAATTAATCGGTCGACGGGCTGAGTAAAAGCTAGGATTGATTGTGAGATGCTCATTTCCTGAAGACCGGCGCGATAGGTGATTTTTTATTTGGTTTTTTGGAATTCTATTTTATAAAACTTACTCAACCTCATCATATTACGGAAAATAATACAAGGTAACAAGTACTTGATTTTGGCTCATAAGGCTGATTTTTGCTTCGTTGCATCATCCATGTCTCTTTCCTGCTAAAATTCAATATCTTTATCACGTATTTCCCAAAAAAAAAACAACAATAAGCTATACACCCCATTACATTCTCAAATTTCATACCTCACCTTCCTCCGGCCAATTGGCCGGGGCCCACACTAGTATAATATATAGCAGAGTAAGGATAATTCTTTCAGCATTTTGAATTCCTTGCAACGAGAGTGAAAATAGAAAGAGTAGAGTTGTATAGTTATATATTTATTATTCATAAAAAATAAATTAGTTCGAGATTTGAATCATGATCTCTTCAAACAGATACAAGAATCATCAATAATTATACTAAACCAACTTGTTGTATCTTTCTAAATTAAAAACATACTGAAACATAAAATCTAGAAGTCAGATGGCTTTGTCACAACGGTTATCCAGGACACTAATTTAGTTATTCTCCAATAAGTATTTATTTGGTGTTTGATATTTTGATTATTTTCATTTGTGTTGAATAATTAGTTTAATTTTTTTCTATATTATAAATGGATGATAGTTTTAAATACATAAACAACATATCATTAGTTCAAATAATGCATATTGAAGTGTAGTATTAAATGTGTTGAATCGATGTAGAATACTTAACTTAGTATTAGTTTTAGAACTATCATAAATCAATGATATATTTGTTGAAACTATTAATGACCAATTCTTTAAAAGTTTTAGTTCGGTTAACATCTAAAATTTCTTGATAATCCAACATGATTGAATCAATGGGTGATTTTAAAAGAAGAAAATTTCTAAAAAATAATTTTTTTGAATCATTTCACTTATATATTTTTCTATCTTATAGAGTAGTTAACCATATGAATCATTCAAAATTATTTGGTTAAATGAACTAACCACAGCAAAAGGTAAATTATTAAGTTGGTCATTTTCATGGACGCATTAATGTGCTTATATGCATTAGCAAGGTGGGTACCACATGAGAGGTACAATTTACTTATTGAGTGAATATGATTGTCCGTCAACTAGATTTCAAGTATGTTTATTGACAAACATTTTTTATGAGAAGAGAGTCATTTTTTATTGTGATAGTCACAAAAAGAATAGAGACACAAGATGTATGATGATATAGTTTGGATGAGGACTTTAAGGACTTTGAAAACTAAGAAGTACTTCAATTCCTCCACGAGAAAGAATGAGGCTCTTCCAGGCATCTCACATCTTTTCCACTCTTTGGTTGATGAAATAGAATGTTCCTTTCATTAAATTTCTCCACACAGTCGGAACCCCAGATATTTACAGTGGCAATTAGAGGTGGTAAAACTAATGTGAGCAATAAGGGTTAATATCTTATTTTGGTTCGAACTACACCCATATGATCAAGTTAGGCCCGTAGTTTCAAAAATTACTATCACGGCCTCAACTATTCATGATATAGACTCAATTGCCCAGACACGTGGTTTGAACGTTAGTCAACTAGCCAGCTCACTGCCATGTTAGCACCAAACAAAAGAAAATTCAAAATTATTTTATTATTTCCTTTATCTAATTGATAAATAATGAAAAAACCAAAAATTAATTTCGGCCAGCCATCGTAAGCTTATCCCCTCACCTCTTTCTGAAGATGTTGTCGCTTGCAAGATCTACTCCTTATCCAGAGGCCAGAACCCTCACCCGCTCTTCCCACTCGCCTCTGTTCGTTGTTTAGTCGTCAATATGGTATTATCTTCCCTTCACCACCCAACGCTCTCTGTCCATTTCTTTCTAGACCAAGCCTTCCCCACCCATCGCTCTCTATCCTATCATTTCCAGACTAGATCAGTCATTCCCCACCCATCGCTCTCTTCTGTAAAAGGCGAGCAAAGTGAACTTTGAGGGACCATAGTAGCAAGGGACCACTTCAAAAGAATTGTGTTTGCTATTCAGCTGAGCTAAACAATCACTATCTCTCTTAACAATCATAAAATTACGTCCAAGAAACAAGATTTAGCCATATGTAGAATGATGTGCAGTGGAGACTGGAGACTAAACAATAATAGTTGATTTGTCTTTGTCGGGTGAGTGAAGTGAGCTTAGAAAGATGTATTTTTGGATTTGTTTATGTGCAGGATGAAAGACCAAATTGAGCTCATTTTATGCCATGGAGGTTTTATGGATATGTCAAAGGTTATTCCAAAGGACGTTGGAGGTGATGAAGCTATGGTAAATCTGCTTGTCGATATACTATCATATTTTGAGATCATCAAGACACTAATTGAAGATTTGAGTATGTTTCTGTGGAAAAGATTTTGTACTTGACCCCGGGGGAAAGTATGGCCACTAGATTTCATGAAATACATTCGGACATGGAGATGAATAATGATGAATGGATTACTTTAAGATGCAGCTAAAGGAGATGTAAGGCTCTACATTGAAGCAACCAAAGACATTGGTGATGATGGATTTATGGGTGACAACTATGGCCATGATTGTGATGGATCATATGCGGAGGGTGAAAGGTCTTGGTGGTACTGAGTATGCAGATTTTATATATGGCTCAAGAACCGAAGCTCTTTTGTCGGATGTTCATGAAGACATTCTCCAAGAGTGACTCGGTGGAAAGCAACATATGTGAATCATTCAACAACTGGATATTGCGATTCTGGTCTCTTAGATCGATTTCAATGTTGGAGGGGATTCGAGTGTCTATTATGACTCGAATAGCGAAGAACAAAAGAATGATGAATCAGTGGAAGGATGTTTTCTCACCGGTGGTCAAAGGCAAACTGGTGAAGGCAAAGCATGAAGCGAGAATGTGTACTAGCCGTCCCTACTCATATACGATGCATGAGGTATCTATTGATGGCAAGGGCTTTGTGGTTGCTATTGGTGGGCACTCAATGGTATCCCTTGCTGCCATGCTTTTGCATCCATCATATACATGAGACATAAACAAGATAGCTAGGTCAATGATTACTTCAAGCTGGTGTTCGTCAAATTAGCATACAAGTATCCCATTCCTCCATCTGAAGGGCGGCAAGCATGGATGCCCACATTTGGGAACAAGGTTTACCCACCTAGGATTAGGCGCATGCCTGGTCATCCTAAAAATAATTAAGAAGGGAGGCTTAGGAGATCCGGAGCAGACCAACTAAAAATGGAATTAGGAAGGTTGCTAGTCGGGAGAACCTCATAGTTCATTGTGGGAAATGTGGTGGAGAAGGCCACAATGCGAGGACATGTAAGAACGAGCCTACTGCCCTAGAGACTACAACACCTACAAGGAAGAAGCTAGCACGACCGAATCATAGGCCACTCGTTCCTCAATCAAATGAGGAAGCCAGAAGAGAGAATCAGGTAACTTGAAAGTACCTCCCAAGCACCAGTAACAATATTGATTATGTTTGACATGTTGAATGTTATAGCAGCCACGAAAAAGGAAGAATGGGTGTTGCTCGAAGTGTTGGTCCGAGCACCATATTGTAAAACGTTATCCATTGATTGTAGCAATTAAGGTAACCATTTTTTTTAACTATGCGAGCATAGAGACCACAATGCATGGAATGAATGAATGCTAGTCCTCTATGAATGTGTAGGCTCCCCATGTGGGCTTGAATAGTAGAAAGGTAATTAATCATGAAATGAGAAGAGCTATGCAAGGCATTGGAACATATATTGAGATGGAGACTGGAAACATGTATTCAAGGGTATGTTCATCTCATTGTGTTTAGTGTTTGTAAAAACTTGTTGCTTTTTCTATTCCTAATATGAAGAAGCTCGTGTTTTGCATCTTAGTGACAGAGTTCTAGTACCTGGTGGTGTACTACCAACAAAACTGGACCTGCCTCCTGTTAATACCACACAGCCTCCGACTACTCAACCAGAGTCTCCTTAGGGATCCAGAAGAAGCTATGTTTGGAAGTAGATAACTATGTTTGGTAATAGATAGGACTCCAGTTTGTGTACATGCTATGTGCATGTTACAGATCCTAGTGATTCGTTGGAGTGTAGAAAGAAGTATGGTGTTGCATTTTGTACATTTGTAGGACATGAGATCGGATTTAAAGCAACTCCAGGGTTAGGATTTTCCCTTTTGTACATGGTCTGGACATGTTCTCAATCCTAAGCTAAGGTCCGAACTGGAGTCTAAGTTAAAGTATGTAATGAGAACATTAGCTCATGTGTAAGTATTCTCCCTTTTGTAAATGGTATGGACATGTTTGAATGTTCAATAAGTTTATGACTATGAATGAATTGTATATGTTCAATCCAGCGCAATAGAAATAAGTTCATTGCAGTCGTTGAAGATTACACATATTAGACATGAGGCTTTCAGTTAAACAAGCTTACAATTGAACAAGCACCAAAACAGAAAGGACTATGACTAAAAAGATTACACAAATGGTTAGTCATCTTTGTAGCGCAAATCGCTTTTCTCATACTTTGCAATTCAAGAAAACTAGTTGAACTGATATTTGTAACCTTCGTCAAGTCTTCAAGCATCGTCAACTTCTCATGTTTCCTCTTCTTTGCCTTCTCTTCTGCCCTACAAAGCTGCCATTGAAGTGCCGCCAATGTCGACTTCAGCTGATCATTCTCTTCCATTACTCCACCAACCATACAGTCGCTATCTGTCGCTCCATCAACGGGCAAGAATAAAACAAACTTTGAGATGAAGTTGTATCTGGGAACCTGCTCTTATAAATTGTTTGCTACTGTCAAAATGGGCGACATAGATGGTTCATGTTATTTCTTCCGTTTATGAAGTTCTTTTTGTTGTACATGTTCTGCAAATGCTTTATCCATCATAGTACAGACATGCATATTAATGATGCGAGGAAATTGATAAGTTTACAACTATATTAGATAAAGTTTCATAGATGTGCAATTTTCTATCTTTGCCCAAACTCAGATTCCTTGCTGTTTATGTATCATGTTATCAGTTTATCGAATATTTCTCTTTTTTGTATTCAATTGAATGAAACTTTGGTAGAAGAGGGTTCTTGCCAAACTCAGGGAGGACATCAAAGGGTGTTGCCTGGGAATCAGGCTATTGTGAATTTTATAAAAGTAAAAAAACTAAAAACTACTCTACTCCACTCTTCAGGCCAATGGTTTGGAGTACATCCAAGTCCAATGACAGTTGCCAAGTATGTCAATATTTATTACATGCATTCGTGTATTATTAGATCGCTCATTAACTCTCTATCTAGACACTAACCATTTTGGAAAAGAATATGATGTTACGTAGAAATGGCGTTATCGCAGGGGGGTAGTTTTGGGTCAAGTTGGTTATGCACCATTCGATAATTATATATGGATCTTTAGATTTAAGTGGGCTTAGAATATTCATATCTAAGTGTTGAGAATTAAAATTTTTTTATTTTCCCTAGTTTTCTTAATCGGCTATTAACTTCTTCGTTCTAAACTTGATTTTAATTTTGTTTTTGCACGGATGGAACGAGTTCGTTTTACTCTACAAAATGAGATTCATTTTCAATAATTTTTGAGAAAAAAAATTACATACATCTTGTCACTAACATCATACCATACAGTATCTGCTTCGTTTTAAGTTGTTTTTGAAAATTTTTGAACAAAAAGTACTAATTTATCATGATCTATTAGATCTACAAATTTCTAGGAGAAAAATTTAGGGGTAAAAAATACCACCTCATACCACCCGGTATGGGGGTGGTATCTTGTGGTACACAATGTTGAAAGCCGTAAATGACAGTATATTTTTACTATTATGTATTCAAACATCCTACAATATGATATATTCATACCACCATGGTATGTTTTCATACTATATGGTATGCTCTTATTTAATATCATTCAATACCATATGGTATAGACTGGTAATTAATGTCTCAATTTTTCATACAAAACTATACAAAAGTGGATATAATTTTGAAAAGCACAATTAATCTTATTTATCTGTGCAAAAAAAAATTACATTTCAACTTAAAACGAGAGAGAATTCGCCCGTTAAAAATTAAAGAGGAAAATTTTTATAGACTATAAATGGCAGGGATGCTGATGTGACGGCTGCTCGTTGGGTTATGCAAAATTATTGACGACAATGTTGAGATATCGGGTTTGTATGATAGGGCCTTTGGCCCATGGGGTGTCTCGACCCACAATGTATTGTCGAGATTAGGGATGGAAATGGGTCGAGTTTGGCCAAACCCAAACCCTAACCCATGGGTTTATCCGTGAAAAAAACCCGGGGTAAAATCCACTGGGTTTGAAAAACTCAAACCCAACCCAACCCGCTGGGTATCCGCGAGTTCATGGGTACCCGCAGGTTTTTGTAGTAAAAAATTTACTATAACAAGTTCCTATCAAAATTAAAGTCAAATATCAATCTCTCAATACAAATTATCCATATATAAAACACCATTCTAGAAAATTCAAGCAAATCACAAATTAACTATACAAATTGCTCAACACCAATCTAGAAAACTCCAGAAAACACTCTGTTTGGTCTCTGAGGAAATAAGAATAGAAACTTGATGTCATTTTTACTTCTGATCCAGATTTGACGGGAAGTTGATGTTGGAGAAACTGAGTGGTGCATTATAGCACCCATGGGCCTTGGTATCGCGTATTGGCTTAGTAATTAGGGATTTATTATTAGTTAATTGTTAGATTATTATAGTTATTTAAGATATTCGTATTAGTTTATTGTGTCTTGTTGAGGAAGTCATTGTTGTCTTGTTGGGTTAGGATTAGTTTACCTTGTTCGAGAGGGAAAGGGTTTGTGAGAGTAGTCTTATAAATATGTACGTTGTTCTTTGGTTTTCGTCAAGCAATGAATAAGAGTAAAGTAAATTAGAGTAATTTAGCTATCTTTATCGTGTTTCATTAGTTTCGTAGAAGAGTTCGAGTTCCACGATACGTGAGATTCCGCTATCACGCATCAATTGGTATCAGAGCCAGGTTAGGCATTGAATTCGCTATGTCGATTTTCACGCAACATCCAGGAGGAGAAGGTTACACACCTTGGGCACGGAGTTACGAGGAGACCCTTCCTCGTCGCGTCGTTGGCCGCCCTAGCTATCCGTCTCCGTTATGTCCGCCGTCGTCACATCCATCGTCTTCACATCATCCGCCATGGCTGAACCATTATTCTCATTCCTCTCGAGATCAACGCCAAGACCTTGAGAGCTTGGTCGCCAGAGTTAGAGTTGCGGAGGCTCCGAATTTGCAGTACGACGCCGTTAGTCGATACCAATTCCAAGGGTTCCCGACACGGCTGGAATATCCAGAGCTTCTTGTCCAATCCTCAGCTCGGCTGCCGCTGTGGAATTATACTCCGGTCGTTCAAGAGGTTTTCGATCAATCGGGAGATGATTATTGGGATTAATACTTCGCTGCACACGAGGCCGCCACGCTGCGGAGGGGAGACCATGACCAGTCCAACGTCAGGTCCTCATCGGATGACCCGTCGCCAGAGGAGTGCTTGTCGATGAACGTTGAAAGCTCACCAGTCAACGGGAACAAATTGATAGGACCGGATCAAGAGAATCTTGGAAAGGAGAGTAATTGCGACACGATGAGCACCGAATGGATCCACGGGGACGACCTCGATCGGATGATCAAACTCGCGGAAAGTGTCGTGGATTCCGGCCAAAGGCTCATCGCCATTGGTGACCGAGCTACCACACTCGCCGCCCTCACTACCACGTCGTTGGTAACTCCCACCTCCACCGTACCTACGCCACCGTCGCCAATATTGGGAGAAGTCGTCCCTGTCATTGAGGTTGAGATCACCCCAACTCGACACGAGAGCAACCAGCCAAAGATCGAGCTCGTCGGAATTAAGGGAGAGGCTGCCTCTCATGTCACAACCTGGAAGGATTGCTTGTCCAACCGCCAACAAGTCTTGGTGTTGTTGCGATCGAATCAAACCTTGATGATGTCGTAGCCATCCGCCTTAAAGGGGGGAGGCGACTCTATCGTAGGAAGAAGAGGAAGAAATGAGGTGAAGCTGCTGCTGGAACCACCTAGGAATCCCTGCCACCGAGAGAGAGCCCTAGTCGTGTTGGAGAAGGCCAAGGAGAAAGAAGTCCTTGATCTCAGCAAGGTAGCTCTACTACCGTCTCACGAATTTGCTGTCGTAGCCGCCGCTACGAGGCCAGTCGCAGTGAAGAAGCTCACCCTAGCTCCGGTTCAACTGCTCATTGAGGATGGCGAAAAAGACCAAGGCGTCGTGGGAATAAGAGGTCATGTTCACCGCTGTATCGGTCCAAGCACGGGAGGATTGATCGGAGTCTTGTTGTATGGAGTTGGGCAAAGTTTGTTGGGGAGAGGAAAGCAAATGGAATGGCTGCAACAAGCTTACACGTTTCATGAAGAGCATGGTATTAGTCTGAGTTCGTATGTGGGTGTGGAGATGGCAACCTTGCTCCATGGATTGGCGGACTACTCAAATTCCAATTGGGAGCAACTTAGTTACACCAACGTGGGAATGAGAGTTAGCTTTGGCAGGTTCAAATGCTTCGACCCAGGTGGATAGAATTTAGAATGGATTGAAGCTGCTAACCATGGAGGGATCGATTGGGTGCTGAAGCTAAATTAGAAGTATCGCAAGCGTGAGTGTCGTCATCCAAACCTCACCATCGTCCATCACAAGTTACGTGGAAGCTTCTTTTTCATCGATCCAGGTTGAAGATGACGCCTGAACTTCGGGGACGAAGTTCTTCAAGGGGGGAGGTTTGGTGCATTATAGCACCCATGGGCCTTGGTACTGCGTATAGGCTTAGTAATTAGGGATTTATTATTAGTTAATTGTTAGATTATTATAGTTATTTAAGATATTCGTATTAGTTTATTGTGTCTTGTTGAGGAAGTCATTGTTGTCTTGTTGGGTTAAGATTAGTTTACCTTGTTCGAGTGGAAAGGGTTTGTGAGAGTAGTCTTATAAATATGTACGTTGTTCTTTGGTTTTCGTCAAGCAATGAATAAGAGTAAAGTAAATTAGAGTAATTTAGCTATCTTTATCTTGTTTTATTAGTTTCGTAGAAGAGTTCGAGTTCCACAATACATATTTATAAGACTACTCTCACAAACCCTTTCCCTCTCGAACAAGGTAAACTAATCATAACCCAACAAGACAACAATGACTTCCTCAACAAGACACAATAAACTAATATGAATATCATAAATAACTATAATTATCTAAAAATTAACTAATAATAAATCCCTAATTACTAAGCCTATACGCGGCACCAAGGCCCATGGGTGCTATAATGCACCACTGAGGAACAAGCGGTTGGTGTTTGTTGGGGATTCGCTGGGGAGGAATCAGTGGGAATCCATGTTGTGCTTGTTATCCCCTGATGTTGCCAACACGAGCTCTGTATATGAAGTGAACGGGAATCCAATTAAGAAGCACAAAGGGTATTTGGCGTTCAAGTTCGAGGATTACAACTGCACGGTGGAGTATTACAGGGGCGAAGGTTCGATTGACGTTGAAACTGGGTTTGATGGATTGGTGCTCATCCCATTGGAGGAATGCTGATGTGCTGGTCCTTAATTCAGGGCATTGGTGGAATTATGGCAAGACAATACAGCAGTAAGTCTCATGAACAATGAAGGTTATGGTGGCTAATTAGTGACACTAACCATGTATCAGTAATTACTAATTGTGTGGGCGGGTACCCATAGGTCGGGTTTACCTAAAGCCAAACTCAACCCAACCCGGTGAATAGTGAATGGGTTTAAACCCAAACCCGACCAAAACCCGTCAACACGGATTTTACCCACGTTGACCGGGTTGGGTCGGATGGGTACCCGTGGGTTCGGGTTTTGTTGCCATCCCTAGCCGAGATTGACAGTAGCATGCGGCTAGGGTTAGGGTATGGCTCCAATTGTGTATAAATGCACCTCTGTGTATACGTATTGAAGCAAGGAAAATAGAAAAGTAGAAAGCTTCCCGTGGGCTAGTTTTGTTCACAACGAACAAGGAAACCACGTAAACTCGTCTCGAATCTCTTTGTTTACATTGTTATTACTAATCTTGTTTCCATTATTATGGTATCAGAGCCTACAACTATGGATTCCGAAAGCATCAACACTCGTCTTACTTCGAAGAACTTCTCACTATGGGAATTTCAGTTTTAAATGTTCATTGATGGCCAAGGTTTTTTTGGATTCTTGGATGGTACTATCGCGCGCCCTGCTGTTCCGCCATCAATGGCTCAACAACTCCCAAACTGGATGCAATCGGATGCTAGGGTACGTTCTTGGCTTCTCAAATCTGTGGATCCTTCTATTGTTCTTGGTTTGCGCCTTCTCCCAACAGCTGCCGCCATGTGGAAATCGCTGTGGGAAACATACGCCACCACGAGCGTCGCTCAACAGTTTGAAGTTGAGGTGGAGTTCGCGAACCTCCTGCAAGGCGATATGGACTTCACCACTTATTTTAATATTGCTCGCCTATTGTGGACATAGCAGGATTTGATTGCTATGGCACTCCTCCCCACTGATGTCTCGGTGGAAGTCAAGGCCGAACGGAGCAAGACTCGGCTGATGCAGTTCCTGGTTCGGCTACGCCCAGATTTTGAAGCCGTCAGGTCCACCCTTCTCAACCGTGAGGCGCTGGAATTTGAATAGGTCCTGGGAGCTCTCATCCGCGAGGAAACTCGCTGCGCACCCAATCCTCTCTCGACGCTCGACCTCGGCATGCTGAAGCTCCCGTTTTTGCCGCTGACAGAGATATACTTCATGCCCCAGTGTCTCCCGCTGCTCATTCATTTGGTCTAGGGGCCCCTGTTGCTGGCGGCGGACAGGAGGTTTCTAGAGGGCATGCTAAGTCTGCCTTTGCGGCGTATCGTGCTCACAACGCTACCGCACGTTGTGAGGTGGAATGCCACCACTGCCATGTGAAGGGACACACTAAGAAATATTGCCTCGTCCCAATATTTGCGTATATTGCAAACAGGCAGGGCACATCATCCCCGACTGCCCAGTTCTTCAGCAACGTACTACCGACAACTCCCAAGGCGGTCCGATCTCCTCTACGTCATCATCGGGTGGTGGTTCATTCCATGGCCCTCGACCTGCTTATGCTTCTCAGCTGGTCCAAGATGTTCCCGCCACCAACTCTCATGCAGCAGCTTCTCCCGTTGGCATTACCGTAACTCCAAAAGCCTTGGAGCTCCTCGTTAGTAAGGCTATTCAGTCCGCCTTTGCTAGCATGCAAGTTTTAGGTACATTTCCTTAATGGATTCTTGACTCAGCCTGCTTTAATCATATGACGAATAATGCATTAGTCCTTTCAAATATATGTTCGGTAAATAATTTGTCATTGCAAGTTGTGGATGGTACTCAATTATCGGTGAAAGGTAGGGGAACTGTTCATGATCATGGCTTGGAATTATTGGACACACTCTATGTTCCCCAGTTGGTTCCAAATCTTGTTTCTATTTTTCAGCTAACAGAACGTGGTTTTCGTGTGGTGTTTTCTCCTTCTGGTTGCTCGATACAGGATCTGATGACGGGGCAGGAGATAGGCAAAGGTTGCAAACACGGGAGTATTTTTCATCTCTAGCATCTTCACTTACTAGCATTGTCCTCCGTGTTTCGTGAGTCGTCATCCTCCTTGGTGTCTAGGGTGTCCTCGTTTCCTACTTTCTCGAGTCTTGGCAATCGGAATTTTCATTTATGGCATGCTAGATTGGGTCATCTCAATTCTACGAGACTTGGCATTATGTTATAACAGAAATTGTTTGGTAATAAGGATGCACATTCCTCGGATTTTTCGTGCACTAGTTGTGTTGAAACTAAGACTACTCGTATATCTTTTCCGTCTAGTCTAACCACTATTATCAACCCTTTCCATGTGATACATACTAATTTAGGGGGCTAGCTCGCCATGGTTTCAAGTATTTTTCCTTGTTCGTCGATCATGCCACTCGGTTTACTTGGGTGTATTTTCTAAAACTTAAGTCTGGTCTCCTCTCCATTGCTACAGAATTCCTTCATATGATTCAAACCCAATTTGGTAGGACCGTCCGTGTAGTCCGATATGGCCCCGGAGGTGAATTCAGTTCCACTCCTCTTCTGCAACTCTACAAGTCTCTCGGTATTCTGTATCAAAAGTCCTGTCCTGGTGTGTTTGGTTGCCTGTGCTTTGTTCTTCTTCCATGGTATGAACGAATGAAGTTAACTGCCAAAATTGTTCAGTGTGCGTTCTTGGGTTATAGTGACATTCACAAAGGCTATCTTTGTTATGATCCCACTCTTAGTCGCATACGTATCGCTTGTAATGTTGTATTCCGTGAAGATGTCATGTTCTATTCTCCTCCTTCCTCCCCGTCCACTCCCCTATTTGATACTATGTTGGGTCTACCTTCTTTTCAGGATGAGGACGATGATATGCTAGGTGATGGAATTCATGATGCTTCGACCTCACCACCTCCTAGTCCGCCTCACCTATCTCCTGGCCCCACGTCCCCAGCATCCCCACCGCCAGCTCCTCGATGTTCCTTGAAGGGTAACAAAAGGGCAGCCCCCTCCCCACTTTCGTGACTTTGTTTCTTTTCAGGTGGCTCCGGTGACGATTCCTACTCGATACTCTCAAGCTAAAGGTGATCCAAATTGGGATGGTGCTATGACGACTGAGATTTATTTCCTTAATGCTGCTCATACATGGGACCTTGTTCCCCAACCTCCACCAAAAATTCTAGTTATCGGCAGCAAATGGGTCTACAACATCAAAGTTCATCTGGATGGTTCGATAGAGCGGTTTAAAGCTCGCGTCGTGGCACAAGGTTTTACTCAAGAGTATGGGATTAACTTTGAGGACTCTTTTGCTCCTGTCGCAAAAATGGTAACCGTCCGCACTCTCCTTGCTATTGCTTCACTTCGAGGGTGGCCTCTTTACCAGCTTGATGTCAAAAATGCCTTTCTTCACGGTGATCTCAAGCAGACTGTCTACATGGAGCGCCCCCTGGGTATTCTCTTCGTTCCTCAGATCAGGTGTGTTTGCTCCATCGCTCCATCTATGGTTTGAAACAGACACCTCGGGCATGGTTTGATAAGTTTCATGCCACTATTTTGGATCTTGGATTTCATCAAAGTCTCAACGATCACTCATTGTTTATTTGTAAGACTTCTCCCGGCATTGTTCTCCTGCTCCTATACGTAGATGACATGATTGTCTCAGGTGATGATGAAGCTGGCATTCAAGCTTTGACTAAGGGCCTCCATGAATCTTTTCATCTTAAGGAGCTTGGCTCTCTCTCCTACTATTTGGGGCTCGAAGTTACTCTCTATCCGTCATGGATCTTGCTCAATCAACGAAAGTACATTGATGATTTACTTGACTCGGCCAGGTTCGGTGACTGTCTTCCCGTGGCCACACCCATGGAGCTAAACGTGAAGTTGAGTCATGACTCTGATGATCTTCTTCCTGACGGGGGAAGCAGTATCGCAGCATTGTGGGTTCCCTCATTTACTTGGCATCTAACCGCCCCGATATAGCCTTCGCAGTTTAGATAGTAAGTCAATTCATGGCCACTCCTCGTACTTCTCATCTTGCTGTTGTTCACCGGATACTGCGGTACATTCAAGGTACTCGCGAAGTCGGCCTATTTCTTCCATCTACAGGTTCTCCGGTCTTGCAAGCCTTCTCGGACTCTGGTTATGCTGGCTGTGTCGATACTAGAAAGTCTACTACAGGGTGGTGTATTCGCCTCGACAACTCATTCATATCTTGGCGGTGCAAGAAACAAGACCGGGTGTCTAAATCTTCTACAGAGGCCGCATACCGAGCTATGTCTGATATCACCTGCGAACTCGAATGGCTGCGTCGTCTTTTGGGCGATCTTGGAGTTGAGTGTGTGGCTCCCATGGAGCTCTATGTTGATAACACCAGTGCGATCCGGATTGCCACCAATCCCATTCTACACGATCGCACTAAACACATTGAAGTCCATATCCACTACATTCGAAACCTAGTCCGGGATGGCACAATTGGGATTTTCTACATTACTTCGGAAGACCAGATCGCGTGCATGCTCACTAAGTCATTCTCGGATGCTCGTCACTCCTTCTTAGCAGGCAAATTGATGATGCAGTCACCTCCCCATCAATTTAGGGGAGGGTGTTGAGATATCGGGTTTGTATGATAGGGCCTCTGGCCCATGGGGTTTCTCGGCCCACAATGTATTGCCGAGATTGACAGTAGCATGTGGCTAGGGTTAGGGTATGGCTCCAATTGTGTATAAATGCACCTCTGTGTGAACGTATTAAAGCAAGGAAAATAAGAAAAATAGAAAGCTTCTCGTGGACTAGTCTTGTTCACAACGAACAAGAAACCACGTAAACTCGTCTTGATTCTCTTTGTTTACGTTGTTATTACTAATCTTGTTTAGATTATCACACAAGATTGTGCATTTGTTCCGCTCATATTTTTGTGTAGCAGAATGCAGAAGTATGAGAACGGGGGAGGATAAAGGAAATAAAGGATCAACTACAGCTATGGTTCTTTGACGAAAGAGATGAGGGTATATAAGCTTTACTTGTATTTTAAGGCTACCATCGACACCTTTCTTATAAACACTCCGAGACATTGAAAAGAATTTCTTGTGCTCTCTTATTATAAGTGGCGCCACAAATCGTGGCAATCCCCAACAAAATCATGCCGAAGCCAATTTAATATCTCCATTTTTACATAATTGTATCATGGAATATATGATCTTTTGCAAAAGAATTAAGCATCGGATCCTATTTAATTGAAGAGCTGAGAATAGAGGGTATATTTGTGGTTGCCTGCCAACATTCTAATTCATATTTGCTGGAGAATATAGAGAAACCAATTGTTTAAGATAGGGCTGGAAAAAAAACTCAGATTGTTTGAAAACCATGACCCAAACTAGACTGCACAGTTTGGTCTGAACGATAGACAGTTAAATATGGTCTGGTCCATGGTCTGTATTTTATGATGTTTTGATCTCTTGGTCTGGTTTGGTTTAGAGCGTGGTTTATCGGACTTAACCGTGGACCTAGCCGACCACTTAATACATGTTTGCAGCCCACTCGACCAACTCCCACAATGATACCCAAGTCTCAATCTTAATTTTGGGAATCTCTTCCATTCCTTCATTCACAACCACATTTCACCAGAGAGTAGAGACGATCATGTCTCCATAAGACATTATGTAAATGTTTAGACTTTATGGTGCCAGTTAGAATGCTTTGACTTTGTATCTTTATTATTTATTGAGATTTATGGTGTCAAATTATTCCTTGTTGGAATTGTGTTTTAAGGCAAAACAAAAAAACAAAAAAGTTATGCTATTGGTTCAATTTTTTTGTGGTTAACTAGTCAAATTGTTTATTTTTTCGTTCAGTATAGTCTATCTTAAACAGACCGTACCGGATCAGACTGCAAAGATGTGATATGGTCTGAACCGTAGACCGTATATATGGTCGTGCTTTCTAGTCCTCGCTTCAAACCGTGTACGTACATTTTATGGGTCATCACTAATTTTGTTATAAGATCGAACATGATAAATGCATACTGAAACTCATTTTATCAACCCCATGATTGTAAACCTTACTATGTATTTATGTGCTTATTAAATTACCTACCAGGTTTTTACACAGGGGAGAATAAAGATTAAAGATCCCTTCTTTTTTTGTTGGTATGCAATGCTTTACGATTATTATAATGTGGGTTTCCTTAACTTTCATTTTTGTCAAAAGACCCATCCACATGGCCAATTCAATATTCTCCAAAATCATAAAGCTGCGAGGCAATGATTCACACAACACACAACCAAGAATCAAACAGCTTACAGTGCCAGTTAAGAACTAAAGAGGATGGAAATTTGGAATAGGTTAAAGTATAACACACCCACTATCCATTAAAATATAGCATTTTTGGAGATGAGAAGCTTCCAAGTTCCTCAGAGCACAAGTTTCCTCTACTGCTAAAGTGCAAATATGCATGTTAAGAACTTCCCAGTCCAGTAGTATATATGGATAGATGGATAGTCGTCTCTCTCTCTCTCTTACTCTGTCTCCGATCCCTATATATGCATTCTCGGTCCTCTAACACTACAGACAAGTAGCTTGGTTCCCAAAGAAACCCTGCTCACTTTATAATTTATGGAACTTATTTCCCAATAATTTCCTGTAAAATCCAACAATTGGCTTTTTGGCTCCCACAATTGCCATGGCCTTGCCGCCATCGATGCTGCAAACTATATGTTTCCTATACGCCGGCCTTCTCCTGCTCTCTTCATCTTCAGCTGACCCAATTCGCCAGGTTTTCAATCTCTTCTTGTTTATTCTTTTCTCACTCTGTTTTCTTGGGCTGAACGGGGAATCAATCATGTTATAAATTGTGATTAATTAATGTTTGTTGATCCATCATGAATGGCAGCAATATGTTGTTTACATGGGAAGTTCATCTTCATCGGCAAATGGCGGTGAGTTCGCGCCAGAATCTGCGTACTTGCAGATGTTATCCTCTGTTACTGAAAGGTAAGCAGAAGAACCAAATGATGGTTCAAATTCAAATCACTGTATGATGACAGGTATTGATTTGGGGAAATGGGTTTTGTTTACTGTAATTGTGGGTTAGCGATGACGGTTGGGAGATGGGGTTGGTCCGCCGCTACCAACACGCTTTCAGGGGCTTCTCCGCCATGCTTACAGAGGATCAAGCTTCTGCTCTGTCTGGTAAGTTCTTTCTTTCTTTTAGTTTTTCTTCATTCTTGGTATGAAATGAATTGCGTGTGAATGGGTTAAACAACGTACTGCAGGACAAGAAGGGGTGATATCAGTGTTCCCAGATCCAATCCTGAAACTTCACACGACGAGGTCTTGGGATTTTCTGGAGTCAATGTCAGGATTAAGTAATTTGATGAGCAGCATCAATTCTTCTTCTTCTTCTTCTTCTTCTTCTTCTTCTTCTTCTTCTTCTTCTTCTTCTTCTTCTTCTTCAGGGCATCGCATTTACGGCGTCCCTTCACCTCGACGCGATGTGATCATCGGAGTAATCGACACTGGTAATTTTCTTCCATTGGACCGACCGCTTGTTTTCACGTAGAAACAGGGGAGGAACAGCACATGAAAGAATGGTAGGCTAACCACATGACACGAAAGGAAGTCGTCAGCCATGTGCCTAACATCCCATGCTTCATTGTCACTCACAGTCACAGACAGTCGCACATTGTATTCATATACATCAATGCTGTCGATATGTTATGTGTTGTTCTCTTCTCTGTCTGTATAGAATAGAAGCCTCTGCCCAAAAAGCATTTGTTCAATTTGATTGGGTTTCAGGAATATGGCCAGAGTCGCCGAGTTTCAATGACGAGGGAATTGGTGAAATCCCTTCACGGTGGAAGGGAATCTGTATGGAAGGTTCTGATTTCAGAAAATCCAACTGTAATAGGTATGTTCATCTTTCACTTAATCAAATTCTGGTTGGCTTCAACTTTCACGTAAATAATTAATAAGTACATTTCAGATGATGAGGATGACAATAGAATATTTTTTACTTTTGTAAGTGCGAGTATAAATTAAAATTAAGTTGAATTAATATGTCACTGCTCTCCTTTTTTTTTTTTTGTGCTTCTTCGTTTTGAGCATTAATAAAAGTAACAATACACTGATGTACCAATTATGCTGACATTTCATAGCTTAGTTAATAACGAAGGAAATGATTGATTGTTGATGTTAACTATCACTCCAAAGTCGAACTATAGGTGGCAATTAATTGGAAATTTTTTTTATGATCATATTATTTAGGGTTATAGGTATATTATGCTCCTCGATTATGACGTTTTATAAAACATGCCCTTACTATTTTTTACATTCAACATGCCCCTGTGTTTTGAAAAATTTATCAAATATGCCCTTCTGTTAAACATTCCATTGAAAAAATCGTCAATCATGGTTGAACCGAGATTTAGACGACCCGACACATGCAAATGGGAGCGAAAATGTCAGTTTTTGTCTCCCGTTTTATTTCTCTGGGTCTCTTAAGTGAAATTATTTGAATTATTTGACTATAAAAAAATCAGATAATATATAGAAATGAATTTGAGAATTTTTTTTATATATAGGGTTTAGGATAGCATATATCTATTGTACGCTTTTTGAGTTTTACTATTTAAACAAATGAATTATTTGAAGTTTAAAATAAATACTATATTTTAATCTCTAGTGAATAAGCCCCGTATCATAATTTGCAAATATCAAATCATAAAACCAATTTAATCAAAGATAATAATTGATGGTTCTGGTTATCTACCTATATCTTAAATACATGGTTGTCGTATCGGTGAAATATCGGTCGGTTGAACCTGGTATAATCAGTACCAGTCATGAAACCCACAAGAATACCAGTGATATGACCCACATGATTGATTACTGACCTCTAAAAAATGAAGTCATTTTAGTTATTTAATTAACAAAAAATTAATTTTTAATTTATTTTATGAATTTGAAAGTTAAATATTGATGTTATTTTTTGGATTCAAGTATAAACATTTGACTATTTGAGTGTTGATGTTAAATTTATTTCAATATGAGTATTTTTAGTTTTGTTTGGAATGCTATATTTTATTTATATATGAATGGTGATTGTAAGTAGATTGTCTTCAGATATGCTTTACATATATTTAGATGTTAGTAGTTATTCAAATTTCTACATATTTTGTTAAATCCAAAACAACCGGTTGTATTCTGTCGAACTAAACCACTTGCTAAATGGTGCAACAATATAAACTTGTTTGATTCAAGATATATTGTACACTAGCCTATTTATATTATTTAAAAACGGATAATGGGTGCCAACCATACTCTTAACGAGGAATTTTACAATGCTATATAGTATTGGTGTTATAGGTTTTTGCCTTTATGGTACAACTTGAAATTGTACATTTATCGTTATGGTACAACTTTAGATTGTACTTATACTGTTTATACAAATTCTTTTATGATACAACTTGAACTTGTACCTTTATGTGATGGTACAACTTCAAGTTGTAAAGTTGTACCATAACATAAGGGAGTTGCTAAAGGTCGCCCTTAAAAGTATTAAAGTTACACTTATAACCCCCCTAGCTTCTTTACCTTTCCTTTATCAAACAAACACCACTTGGACTAAAAAAACACTATCTAAGGAGAGAAAAATCCATCATCGTCATTATGAAGCCGATATCGTCGGTAGGACGTCTGAATCATGAGTAGCGACTCCGACGAGGTAAATACATTAACTGAAAAACTAAAAAAAAATGGGCACCGCGGGTCACTTGCGGTTCAGCCATGGTCCAACCGCAGCTCACTTGCGGTTCAGCCATGTTCCAACCGCAGGTCACTTGCGATTCAGCAATTTATGGTTTTTTTCTTCAAATCAGTATTTTCTATTTTTTATATGATTTATGATTTGTTCCATGAGATAATTTGTTGGGTTTTGATTTATATAATTTTCTAGATTTATTTGCATAATTATTTTTGTAATCGAAGGATTTAGCATTAGAAATTAAGATTAGATTTGGACTTAAATTAAGATTAGATTTAATTTGGTCTTAATCTAGAAAATTAAGATTAGATTTTGCATAAATAATAGATTCGCATATGAAGTTATGATGATTATTAAATTTAATATAGTTATGAAATTTTAAATTTATCATATGGTACTCGTTAAATTGACGATATAGAATGTTAAGTTTTTTTTTTAAATTTGTGGGGTATCACTTATAAATTATTGTTATTAACATTTATTGAATAATAAAAAACAGAATTAAAAAAAACGGTCAAACCGCGGTCAACGCGCGGTTCAGAGGGTGGAAGGAAAGAGGGAAGAGTCGGGAAGGAGGATGAAGGGGTGAAAGGGCTGTTTGGCTGGTCCAATTTTTCAATTTTTATTAAGGGTATATAGTTAATTTGACTTTTAAATTAGGGCGACCTTTAGCAATTCTTAGGGCGACATTTAGCGATTCAGTAACATAATGGTACAAATTCTTTTATGTTACCATCTAAATTTATACATAGAACTCATGCATTGTACAATTTTCGCAGGAAGCTAATAGGCGCAAGATACTACGGCACTGAACGAACCTACAATGACAACAAAACCCACTCTTCAAAACCCAAGGGCTCGCCTCGGGACACCGTCGGCCATGGTACCCACACGGCCTCCATCGCCGCCGGCTCCCCTGTCGCCAACGCAAGCTACTATGGCCTCGCGCGTGGCACGGCCAAAGGCGGGGCGCCCTCGGCTAGGATCGCCGTGTACAAGGCCTGCTCGGAGGACGGATGCTCCGGTTCAACACTCCTGAAGGCGATGGATGATGCGATCGCCGACGGCGTCGATTTCATCTCCATCTCCATCGGAATGAGCTCGACTTTCCAGGCCGATTTCCTCGAAGATCCAATTGCAATTGGAGCTTTCCACGCGCAAGAAAAGGGTGTTACGGTGGTGTGCTCCGCTGGGAACGAAGGCCCTCAGCTGAACACCGTTGTTAACTCCGCACCGTGGATTTTCACTGCTGCGGCTTCTAATATTGATCGGGATTTTCATTCGACTCTGGTTCTCGGAGATGGGCGGACTTTCAAGGTCAGTATATAACATCGATTTCAGTTGAACCCTATCGTTTTAAGTCAATAGTAGCTTATTCTGAAATCGTGATTTCTAATTACAGGGGTCCGCCATTAATTTTTCAAACCTTCGCCGCTCGAGGACATACCCTCTCGTATTTGGAGCAGGAGCTGCTTCTAATTTCACCCCAATATCTGAATCAAGGTAAGGTGCAAGTATTTTCTTTTACTAATAAATTTGATGTTCAATGCCATGGAAATTAGGCTTAGGGCTTTGTTTCTTGGGAATTTGCCAGCAACTGCTATCCAGGATCACTTGATAGAAACAAAGTTGCTGGAAAGATTGTAGTTTGCGTTGCAAGTGATTTCAGTATCTCAAGGAGGATAAGAAAACTAGTAGTGGAAGATGCAAGAGGCAGAGGGATGATTCTGGTCAACCCGGAGGACACTGGTGTCCCATTTGATTCGGGCACTTTCCCCTTTATTGAAGTTGGGGGTCGCTATGGAAATTCGATTCTGAAGTATATGAACAAAACCAAGTGTGTATTTCTTTGCTCCCACGTCAACTAGTGCATTCTCTGAAGAGATAGAAGATTGCTACTTGATTATCATTGACTGTAATCCTGTCTTAGGAACCCCAAAGGGACTATCTTAGCAGCGGTTGATGTACCAGGATACAGACCAGCTCCATCCGTGGCGTATTTCTCTTCTAGAGGGCCGGGACCCCTGACAGAAAACATTCTCAAGGTTATATACCTAAACTAGCTCTCATATTAGTTTTTCTGCCAAATTTCCAATTCAATATCGAACTGAAATAGAAGGATTGATTAACTGTTAAAAACTGTTGGATATTGTGCAATGTTGGTTGTAGCCTGATGTAATGGCTCCCGGAGTTTCCATTTTAGCTGCCTTTCCTCCTAAGAATGTTACTGGGACCGTACCAGCTGGAGAGAAGCCGTCCTGGTATGCTTTGAAATCAGGAACTTCCATGGCTTGCCCTCATGTGACAGGTGCTGCTGCTTTCGTCAAATCTATGCATCCCAAGTGGAGCCCTTCCATGATAAAATCCGCGCTCATGACAACAGGTAACTTGTGTTGTTATACATTAATTAATAATTGTTATGATAAATCTCTCCAAATTGGAACCTATTTTCTAGATCTATTCGTAGTATTGGACTCTCCGAACAATTGGAAGTAACATTGCAGCAAACCAAATCTTTATATATTATACTTGATCTTTCGATAGTTGTATGATTCATTCACTTTCAGTTATATAATTTGGATAGTAAATTGACAGGTTTTAGCCCTACAGCTTGTGTTAGTGTTTTTAAAATTAACTTTCCAACTTTAAATTTAAGGAGTCTTTTGGTAACCAGGGAATGTCCCCTGTGAACCTGAGAATATATGATCTCCAACAATATATCTTATTTTCTTGTATGAACTGATACACCATATGTATTCCACTGAATTGCATGGGGTCCATTATAATTCCTACAAGCCATAATACATTCTTGCTATCTCATCCAAAAAAACTGATGATTTCTGAATATTTTACAGTGCATTGTAGCCCTAAGTTTCTAATGAAATGCCTTGTGTTGTGCCGCAGCCACTGTGTTCAACAACATGGGGAAACCAGTGATGAACAACTCAAGGCAATCGGCGAGCCCACACGAGACTGGAGCTGGAGAAATAAGTCCAATCAAAGCTCTCAATCCAGGACTGGTCTTCCACACAACAACGCTAGATTACCTCCGGTTCCTCTGTTACTATGGATTGTCCAACAAAGACATAAAATCTTTGTCTCCGCTCACCAACTTCACTTGCCCATCAAACTCTACAAACAATGACCGCCTCATGTCCAACATCAACTACCCATCAATCTCCATCGCTGGGCTTTCTCGACACCGCACTGGTCGAGCTGCCACTGCCACTGCCACTCAGACCATCACCAGAACAGCAACAAACGTTGGACATGTCAACTCCACCTACATTGCCACCGTCCATGCTCCTGGTGGGTTGAGAGTGGAGGTTCTGCCGCAGAAATTGGTTTTTACAGAACGGGTTGGGAGACTAACTTTCAGTGTTGTATTTAATGGGACGAAAGCTCCTCGAGGTTACAATTATGGGTCCTTGACATGGCGTGATGGTCGCCGCCATTTGGTGCGCTTAGTATTTGCAGTGAATGTTGAATGATGAATGTTAGGCCTTGTAGTTGTAGGGATCACAATTGTTACGAGATGAGATTTTATTTTATAATGATATGTATTGTTTAACACTTTGCATACCAGATTACCAGTGTTGCTTGTGGTTCGTTTTAAATTTCCTTGCTCTTTGGGGAAAAAGGATGCCACCTACACAAGGCTCTTACAAAGATAAATTATCCTCTTATTAGAACGGGGATAACCGAACTAAACGTTACTCATTGGATTCTATCACATATATCAACTGTTATTTGATCGGCTAGATAGGTTGTATTGATTTTATTTGAAGCAATGGGTAATTTTTTTTTAACTTCATACCATTTTTTAAATCGACTTGTATCTCCTTTATTTTAATTTAGATTTTGTCATTGTTTTACAGGAAGATTTATTTCCACACCATTGAACATTTCAGTATCACCATGATATAATCTTTTGTACTATCAACCTCTACTGTAATGGTATACTCTGGTAAAAATATCTCGAATAATGTTTTTTTTTTTCAAAATATATATAAAAAAGTATCATTTTGTAGAGCATAATTAATCTAACTTTTATGCAAAAAAAAATTCAAATTCCGAATAATGCATGCAGATTTGTACGGTTACATTTAAATGGGAGGAATAATACACTAGTCAATAGTAAGTAACATAAGTTACAGATCTGACATTGACCAAAAATAATCCCATTTTCCGGATAAGAAAAAACGATTTATATGCCTAACTACATTTCCTAGGATGCCTAATTCAACTAGGATTGATAGTCCCGTTAGAACAACTAGAGTTGCGCCCGCCCGCTCGTTGTCGGATGGATTGCATCAATAGTATAAATATACAAATCATTTATTTGTTACCATAATCGATAGTTTGTTCCTTCTTCTCATGTATTTCATTAAAAACCATTTTAATGGTAAAATGTTTGAAAATATGTAACGTTTTTTCACGATGCTAGAATTTCACCTCATATAAATTATAAATATTATCAACCATTCACTCTTTCCTCCTATCACAGACATTTTCTATATACACCATCAATAATCTCTTTCTTTATCTCAATAACGTCATTATCCCCTATCATTGAATTCACTACCTCTGATATTAGCATATTTTTCCTTCTTCTCCCGCATTTCAGAGAACGAAAATATTTAATGGCATTTTTTTTGGATTGTGAAAACTCTAGTTATCAAGATCCTAAATTTACCCAGTGGCCAATACATGTCATGAACTTTGTCTGAGATTGCTCTTCTTCATCGTTCGTTATCTTCAAAACTGTGACCCACTTAGGGGCTTCGCGACGCTATAATCAGTGAGCTTCTTATGAAAATTTAATTTCATGCTCTCGGTTTGTATGAGATGAGGAGGTGAATGATCTCTCATTTTGTCACTATCTTTGAGTAGTTTCTCAATCATCATTCCAAAAAAGCTAGCTTCCTCGAGATACATAACAATAAAGTTAGAATAAAGAAATATTGTCTACAACTCACAACTAATCCTGAATCTATAAAATAACAATAATTGAGATACATTATTTGGTTGAACACTTTATATTTTAGTGGGTACATTGTTTTCTCTCTAATGAATGAACTTGAAGTTAAAAATCATTAAATAATAGAGGTAGATTGTTACATAACTACTATTGTCTTTGATGTTGTTCTATAATTCGTATAAAATTGCTCATCATAGTCTTCTTCAACTTTTCTTTAGACAAGTACAATTAATACGGTTTTTCTAACCCATTTATAATAAGAGATGAAACGAACGAGATACAGTCCGCTAAATTTGAGAGAAATTGAAAATCTTTTAACTGTAGCTCTTGAGATTTGTGCCAGCTGTAACCAAATGAGGTTATGCACCAACATTTCGGCCCTTTTACTTGGCTTTTTGAAGATCATACTGGAACACTATATTGTTAATGAGACGATTCTCCAATGTGAATACATTTTCAATGCGTAGAATCAATAAATACACTACTCAATAATAGTATGAACTGACTTCAAAAGTCCAAATAACATACCGAAATAATATGTAACTGTCAAATCAATTTTTGATAAGAATTATCATCGCACTAATATAAACCAAGCAAAGTTATGAAAAAGGAAAGCAAACGAAGTTGTCAGTTTCCTGCTATGGTAAAAGAAAACTATACATCAAACCTAGATCTAATTGCACTAATAAAAAGGTAGTTTTCTTGCTACCGGTTTTAAACTTTGATGATCTAATTGCACTAATAAAAAGCTAGTTTTCTTGCTACCGGTTTTAAACTTTGACTTCTGGTCTTTAGATTCAGATTATGATCTACACTTCATCACTCCAAGAGAAAACCAATACTTAACTTCTTCTTTTTTTTACAATACTTAACTTAAGAATTGAAAAATAAAGGGTTAATACTTTATTTTGGCCTGAACTATGATCATATAATCAAATTTGGCCCGTGGTTTCAGATTTAACATCCTGACCTCAACTATGTAACATATAGAGTCAATTGGCCCGACACCTAGTTTGACAGTCAATTTGGATGGTCAACACCATCCATCATTAGTCAACACGCCATGTTATTGCCTCGTCAGCCTAAAAATCATTTAAAAAATTCAAATTCAAATTCAAACTATTTTTTTAATTTTTATTATTTATAATCAAATTAACAAAAAATCATTTATAAAAAACATAAAATAAATTATTTTTATTTTATTTTATGTGTAATTTGAAAATGATAAATTTTATAAATTAACCAAAAACTATCAAATTATGTTATATATTTAACATTACCCAAAAATAAAATATGTAATTTATATAATATTTTTTAAATTTATATAATATTTTTTAAATTTATAAAATTTAATTTAATAATTTTTTGTTAATTTATAAAATTTATCATTTTCAAATATCCAAAAAAATATAAATTTTATTTTATATTTTTTAAATTTTATTTATTGGTTAATTTGAAAATGATAAATAATAGAAATTAGTAAAATAATTTGATTTTGATTTTTTTAATAATTTTTAGACTGACGAGGCAATGACATGACGGGTTGACCAACGATCAACGGTGTTGACCATCCAAAATGATGGTCAAACCATGTATCGAGCCAATTGAGTCTATATGCTGCATAGTTGAAGCCATAATGTTAATTTCTGAAACCATTCAACAAAGTTGATTATATGTTCATAGTTCAGGCCAAAATAAGGTATTAACAAAAAATAAACTACTAATTAATTTGAAATCATTCATAATTATATTCATTAACCTCCTCATCATTGTCAATTCACACGCGTTGAATTTTTTATTTTGTATATGTTTTATGAAAAACCTCAAATCCAAAGTTATAATTGAAAGTATTTGATTTGTTTAGTTAAGTACTATAGAATTAGTTAATTAACAAAGTCACACATATAGGAATTTGTTTCAAAAACTTATTCTCATAATAATAAAAAAATAAACCACATATAGACACGTACAACCTTATAACAAAAGAAGTAGTTAATAATATAATAATTGGTTTTAAAACATTTTCCAACGAATTACGTTTTTAATTAGTATAATGAAGTATTTTGTTTGGGTATTTATAAATTAAAAGGACAAAAGTATAATTCACTCAGAAATCTAGAAATTTAGAATTAATCCTTTTTCATGGAGAACCTCTTTATATCAGTGTTATGATGATGATATGATCTCATTTTTAATATGTATTAAATATTTACTTATATTATATAAAAATGACACATCTAGTTTTGAAGTTATGGATCCGCCACTGCTAAATATATAGATCATATAAATGCGAAATTCATTTGGTTTAAGTTTGACATCTCACTCTTCTCCCTTATCAATAATCAATAACAAATTGAATATTTATTATTTTTTATCTGTTGGTTATATTAATTTAAGCACAATTAAATAAACTTGTTTTCAAATAAGGAATAAAAAACATAATTAAACACAACTTCAACATAATTAACTTACAATTACAACACATAATAAAATAGAATAGAAAAACGAAGAATATTTTTTATGTATGAATTCTCTTCTCCATTAGTGATAATTAACAAAGTCCTTCTTCCAATAGAGTACGGGTGTTTAAAATTGAAGGCCGGAGTTTTATCAAGTATTTGGACAAACATATCCTTCCTAAGGCTCGAATTTTAGAATTAAGCATGTTCTCACAAAGAACCTCTGTATATTAGTGTTAGGATTATGATTTTGATTAGGATAGTTGCTCCATCAAATAAACATATCCCTATTTGACTATAATATATAGATAATTCTTCGGTTCACTCACAAATATGAGCGTGTACAATGCAGCCTTTAAGGGATCGTTTGGATGCAATTATGTTTTGCGGGACTTGGTCTAAATTTGCATAGTTTGCAGTAATTGAGTTAAAATATTGTGTTTGGTCTTACCAAAAAAAAATATTGTGTTTGGATGGGCTAAGTAAGCAATGTAATTTGCCAACATTACCACTGAAGCGTGAAAGGGAAAACCGGCACCACTTGCATTTGACATTCCCACGTTTGAGGTTATTTTCCTCCCAATTTTGATCCTGGTAATTTATTGTAAACCCGAAATTGCCCTGGTTCTGTCTTCGTCATATGTGGTAGGTGAGAACTCGATCTACTTTAAAGATTCCTTTCTTTTCACCTGTTTTTTTTTTTTTTTTGTGCTTCTCACTCCGACTGAAATTGAGAAATCAAGGCGCAACTAAACATAGGGAAGGGTGATCTTGGCTCCACGTAACTGGTCTTCACATTGGGAGCATGGGTTTTTTCCTGTTCGTGGGTCAGAAGTTGGGGTTTTTAGCGCTTGAAACTGGGGGTTTCTATTCTTGCTAGTGTGCACTTTCGGGAATCTTGTTGTATGTATCCATGGCCTTTGTGGGGTTATTGATTTCTACTTATGTCCCATTACTTCTCCACATCACTTTCAAACTCTGTTATATTGAGAAATCTTGTGCAAAGTATTTCTACTGCATCCTAGTGTGACAAACTCTTCAACCGTTTGAACAACAGAAAGCATAAGAAGTTCAAAATGTCAAGAATGTCAATTTTGAACCCAAACTGTAGGCAACAAGTCATTGCAACAGCCTTCTAATAGTTTACGGCAACCTAGGACTGGAACTATCTCAGCTGCTTCAAGTAAGGATCTTAAATCATAGACTTGTTAGGCAGCCAATGGATAGCTACACCATGGGGCATTACTATAGGCAAAAACACCTTGATCGGTGGATAAGAAGGAATGATACTATATGCTTTTCTCTGGTTAGAATGGATGTGGTTTTATTCAATAGGTTTTTTGAGCTTCTTGTTGCTGAGGGTCGGTTGAGAAGGACTAGTGAAGTAGATGTATTTGAAATGGTGTATACCATTCCTGTGTACCATTTCACACAACGAGAAAAACAAAACATTGGCCATCAATTTGCTTCGATCTAGAGAGACAATATCAAGATCAATCCACCGGGTTTTGAGGGCTGTCATTAGACTCAATAACCTATTGATGAAGAAGCCCGTTCCCATCATTAAAAATTGCAATGATTCTAGATGGAAACATTTTAAGGTTAAAAATTGTAAAGTTTTAAATTTGTTTTAACTTTTTCTAGCTGAATGTTTCATGTTATAGATGTTAACAACTAATTCATATGTGTTAATTTAATGTTTTGGTAGAATTGTCTCAGTGCTTAAGATGGAACTCGTGCGGAGTATGCCCTAGGAGAGAGCATCAAGCTAGGTTCCAGGATAGAAACATAATTAATCTTTCAACGAAGACAAGAATATTTTGTAAAGCTTGTTTTAGACTAACCATTGTAAATAGCAAACTCCTATGACGGTTGTAAAGCTTGTTTGTGACTAATCTATGCATGTAATCCTATTATATTGAATTATTTTTACCTTAAGTAGCAGACTCCTACTGATAACATATACATAGGGACAACCAACTTCAATTACTCAACAAACATAAGCTCCATTTACCCGTAGTTAACCGTTAAAAACATAGTTGCAATCTTGCAACACATATCCAACAAGATAGCTACAATTACACAGACATGATAGCATTATGCATAAACAGTGACAACGTATGTTCTTCTTCGAAGTACATAATCTATAAGATACTTCATCACTTATTAATTTTCAACTCGAGACAATCTTCTTTCCACTGCCGCCAGAAATTTGGACTCCAATGGGAGGTTTGGTAATTGAGCTGCTTAAACAAGGTGGTGTGACCCCTGAATCGTGCTTTTCGCCAATTTTTACAATATCAACCTCTTCTCATCCTCTAGTTCAGCACCTTTAATCTTCAAATTGGCAATCATATACAAATCAAAATCATCGGCATCACACCATCCGAACAAGTCACAATATCCATGTAAGCCAAAGCATAACATAATTTTATGTCATTTTTTTCATAAACAACAACAATCACTACTAGCTGCTTTGTTCTGCATTAGTATGTACCCCCTTATATATTTAAATCGATCTACTAATTCGAACATATGCCAACCAACTCTTATAAAAACACAACTCATAAGTTTTTCTCTGTACATAATTAAACTCTTAACCGACTACTCACCTCTACTAGGTACAGCGGGCATGAATATAATTTCCTTTTGGGATTGGTTGAGGTATTGACTTTAGAAGTCCAAACATCCACTATTTTTACACAACCACATATCTTTCCTTTTGTATTGTTTGTGGCCGCAATCGACCTGGTGTCTTTGATGGGAGAATTGGAAGAACTCAACTTTGGGTTGTTGCTGTCTTTGTAAGAATCATATATGGATGGTAGTGCAATTTTTTCGTTTAGGATGAGCAAGAAAAGAGGGTCAGGGAAAGGAGCCCTTCTTATTATTCATTAATTTAGGACATTTTTGTACTTGTCCACTAAAATACAACACTTTCAATTTTCACACTCTATCTCCTACCCAAACATGAAATTTTTCTCAATTTCCATATGCCAATTACTAGGCTTTCATAAATGTGGAAATTATGATCAATTCCCACATTCCTACATTACTACATCCAAATGACCCCATCAAATTTTGGAATTTAATTGGTAGCATTAATGTGATATTATGAGATAACATAGGATCACAACTAATCAATTCATTACACTAATCCATAAACATTAAATCCTTCAAATCAAAGTAAATCTTGAATTTTTTGTTTACGAAAATTCATGTGTGTTCTTGTCAAAACATATCACAAGTGATGATTGACGTCATTTTGACATGATTCGCCTTCTAAGAAAATGGAATGCATAGAATACAAATCCATACATATATACACATGATAACAATGATAATGGAAGATCTTTCGATATTAGTTTATCGCTACACTCATCCATTGGTAAAGATTCAGAAATTTATTATTAAATGGAAATTCATTATGGAGTTTTGTATTAACCCAAAATATGAGATTACTATATCGGCAATTATTCTGACTAATTGTGTAAAAATGATATGAAGAAATATATTTATCATCTTGCAATAACTATATATGTTTTGTTTTTTATGAATTTGGTAATAAACGAAAATATGTCAGTAATTTGATAATGAGCCCAAGGATAAAAATCCTGAAGAGAAATGAAAGAAATTCAAGTGGCGGTGGAGTTGAAGTCCATGTGTACATAAATGGGATATGCGAGCAAAGTAGGATGACCAGTCGGTGGGAGAAGATAGAGTGCTAAGTCCATAGAGGATTAGCACCATGCTAACTAATTCCTTAACCGTCCACTTATATTTTAAATTTGATGGCTACAATTAAAATGGGGTATAATTGGAAACCAAGAGCCAAAAAGTTAGGGAGGTACTAATTAACGCCCTAACTTTTTAAAATTATCGCCCTAAATTAATTAAATAGACGATTCTACCCCATTTCCTAAAACGGTCACCACCAATGCCTAAACGCATCGTCAATCCATCGCCCTAATCTCTAATTCTGCTAAGCTCGTCGCCGACGGAAGGAAAACTCCCGCTCATGAAATTCACCGGAAGAGTTCTCCACCCACGCCCTAATTTTCCTTCGCCAATCCACCGGCGGAATACTCTGTCCAGCTGACGAAGTTCTCTACTCCACATCCGTTGTTGTGCCACTCAAGGACGAAGAAGAATGCACATCTTTGCCCCTAGCCCAATTGCAGATCGTGGCCAATAGGATGACTTGCCCGGCGACGGGATTGGTATTAGCAGGGATACGGTGATGGGATTCCTTCTTCCTCCTCAAGCTCGCCAGAAACAGAGGTTGGCCGTGACGAAGACAAAACTGAATCCGACGGATGCGACCTTCTCCTTCCTCCTCGGCTCGGCAGCAGAGTCTCGGCGGCAGAGGTTCGACCTTCGTTCTTCTCGCGGTGGCTGGGTGCGCCGTGGCGTCCGGTTTGGTTCTCTTGCCTCGGAGCCGCAGACTGGCTGGGCAGAGAATGGAATCGGAGGGCGGCGGCAGCTTTTCGTCGGAAGCAGAGCAAGGAGGCACGGAACTGATGGGGGTAAGGGCGGCGTTGATTGCCGGGGAAAGGGCGGCGGGGAAGCGAAAGAAGGAGGAGGGGCTGGCGGGTTAGGGCTGTGATTGTCAGGGGCAATATCGTCCGTTCAGAACAGCTTAGGGCGATAATTTTAAAAATTTAGGGCGTCGATTAGAAGTTCAGAAAAGTTAAAAGACCGAAATTAATATTGATTAATGGGAAATGGGACATGCGGATTTTGTGGGATTTTCGCTAGAGACAGTTAATATTCCTGAAAACAAAAAATCACTACTAGCCTACACATTCCTACAATAACGTAAACACTATTACACTATCTTGAAAGGATCTCAAACATTCATAAACACTCATAATCTTCATAATCAATAACAAAGAAACACTACTAATAAAAACATGAGAAAAACTAACAAGGAAAACACTACTAAAATTGAAAATCACTAACAAGGTAAACAATGAAAACATTACTAACAAAATGGAAATACTACTATTAAATCAGAAGGAATACGACAATAATGAATCACTACTAAATACTAATGTTCAAGAATCATTACCAAATAAGGTCTGAAGAACACAAGACGTCGTTGTTAAATGAAGGAACTATGTACGAATCTGATTAAACAAACAAGAAAGGGACTGGATCCGAAATTCTACACCCACCCGAAGGCTTCCATAGCAGATCTTCAACCCTATACCTCATACTTCATTGGACCTTTTTGTAAAGTTTTAAAAGTTTAGATACTAATTTGTAAAAATAAAAATATTTGGGTACCAAAACGTAATTTTACCATCAAAATTTATGGACTTATTTGTAAAAAAATAAAATTTAGCCACTAAATTGTAAGAAAAAATAATTTTGGGTACCAAAACGTAATTTATAAAAAAGTAGTGTGTTGATTAGGGTCTACCCACTGACCCGGCCCGTCCCGTCCCATCCCAACCCTTGAGAGTCAGACAGGGTCAAGAAGAAGACAGGGACGGTTATACATCTTGACCCTTCAGAGACGGGTCAGACAGGGACGGGACAGGGACGTGACAGACAAATTTTCAGCCCTAGCTCTGGGTCATTAAGGAGAGAAAGAAAGAGAGAGAAAGAAAGATTATTGACCGAAAGGAAGGAGCAATTTATCGATTTCTTCCCAACAAAAGTGCACATGTTTGTTAGGTTGGGATTACATGCATACTTACCGAAATTGCCCCTTCAGCAAAATCACTCTTAGATTGACAAAAATAGAAAGAAATGGAGATGAGAATAATTATTACTGGGTGGTTACTAAGGGCAAATTGGGTATGACAAAAATTATTAATTATTTTTTTTAACAAAATACATTTTAGGAAGTTACACAAATATATTAATTACAATTCCCTCTCTTTCTCTCACTTCCACAATCTCCAGCCAGATCTCTCTTCCTTTTTTCCAATCTTTTCCTTGTTTTCGTTCAGCTGAACTAATACCGCTGCAACAATAAAACAATACCAATCCATTAAAAGAACACTACCAATGCATAAAACACTAATATCATTCAAGAAATAAAAACACTACCATTTCACAAAACACCAATACCATTGCAGATTTATCAATGTCAAACAGGGACGGGACAGGGACGAGACAGACAAATTTTCAGCCCTAGCTCTGGGTCATTAAGAAGAGAAAGAAAGAGAGAGAAAGAAATATTATTGACTGAAAGGAAGGAGCAATTTATCGATTTCTCCCCAACAAAAGTGCACATGTTTGTTAGGTTGGGAGTACATGCATACTTACCGAAATCGCCCCTTCAGCAAAACCACTCTTAGATTGACAAAAATAGAAAGAAATGGAGATGAGAATAATTATCACCGGGTGGTTACTAAGGGCAAATTGGGTATGACAAAAATTATTAATTATTTTTTAACAAAATATATTTTAGGAAGTTACACAAATATATTAATTACAATTCTCTCTCTTTCTCTCACTACCACAATCTCCAGCCAGATCTCTCTTCCTTTTTTCCAATCTTTTCCTTGTTTTCGTTCAGCTGAACTAATACCGCTGCAACAATAAGACAATACCAATCCATTAAAAGAACACTACCAATGCATAAAACATCAATATCATTCAAGAAATAAAAATACTACCATTTCACAAAACACCAATACCATTGCAGATTTATCAATATCAATAAATGCAAATCTATACCATTACATGATAATCAATACCAATGCAAAAAAAAAAAACCAATGTGAAAACACTACCACTACAGGGAAAAAAACTACCATTCACTAAAAAGCAATACAGTTACATGATAATCAATACCAATGCGAAAAAATACTATCATTACAAAAAAATCACTACCAATGCGGAAAAAATAATACCAATGCGAAAAAACACTACCACTACGAAAATATCACTACCAATGCGAAAAAAACACTACCACTACGAAAAAATCACTACCAATGCGGGGAAAAATCAGATCTAGGGTTTTTATTCATCCCACCTTTTCTAGCCACAGCCATATCCCAAAGGGAGGGAGGGAGAGAGAGAGAGAGAGAGAGAGAGAAGTGGGCAAGGAAGAAGGGGTGGGCAAACGGTTCGGTAAACCCGAACCGAACCGAAACTGAATTAAACCGAACCGAAACCGAATTAATGCTATTTGGTTCGGAATTCAGAAGGAAAATATGGAGAGTTCGGAAATCAGGGCTATTTCAACCTAATTTCCGACCGAAAAACCGAAATACTATAATTGCAAGTTCCAAATGATGGATTTTTATGTTTGTAGTTGTTTTTAGAATTAAATATTTGAAATGTTTTAAGACTTATGTGTTGAAAAATTTGGTTTTATCATTGATGATGCATATAATTGATATTTATTGTTTATATTAGGGGTGAAAAATAATTTAAAAGTGAAAAAATACAAGTATCTTCACAAATTCGGTTTTGTGTGAAAAACCGAACCGAACCGAATTATAATTCGGTTTAAACCGACCGAACATAATTATAATTCTGTTCGAATTCGGTTTGAGGTTTGGGAGAATTCGGGGACCCGGTATTCATAATTTCGGTTCGGTTGAAACCGAACCGACCGAATGCCCACCCCTACAGGGAAGGAAGGAGGGGAGTGGGCGGTGTGGTGGCTGGTGGGCAAGGGAGGGGGAGGGTGGTTGGGTAGAGAGAGAGAGAGAGAGAGAGAGAGAGAGAGTTGGCGGTTGTGGGGAGGAGGAGGAGGGAGGGCAGGTGGGGGGAGGAGAAAGAGAGGGGGCTGGTAGCTGGCAGTTGGCTGTCGTCGTCTAGGCTTCGGCTGGAGGTGATGGTAGATTAGGGTTTGGGTAGAATAATAAGGTGTGGACTCTTTTTTGTTTCCAAAATTGCCCTGAAACAAAATTAATCGTGAGATTAAAAAAAGAGGAAAACAAGAAAAATGGACGGCAGATAGTGATGTAGCCACGGTTGTTACTAAAATTTTAGTTACCACCCTAACACATTCCATTATTACCGTGCTAACCTATTGGATGGTTAGCATCCCATCCCTCCGTCGGGCCGTGGGTATACCACATACTAAGCTGTTAGCAACAACCAGCAGCATATTGATATTATTGAAGTTAGTAGCGCAAGTTTGGTTTGCGATTTGTAGATAACTCACAAATCGTATTTGAAGTCCGAGTTCTAATAGATATACGTTTTAGGCATTAAAATTACAAATTATTATTTTATTTATATAGATTTAAAAATTGTATGTAACAAGTCAAACAGGTTGGACACTTATAAACTCATTTGACCTCAAATCAATGACTTATACTAATGTGACAACAACAACATACTATTCAAGTAGAGTTGGCAAATGGATTGATGGACCCATAGATCATACGATTTTTATCAAATGGATTGGTGGGTTGTTCCATGTATCCAAATGACATTCAAACTTAAAATTTGGAAAGGTTGGGTACTAATATGTCACAATAAAAAAATTTAGGTACCAAAACCAAATTTTCCAATGAAATTTTTTGCCTACAAATAATTTTAGGTACCAAAACTAAAACATAAAAACTATAGGAACTAAATTGTAATTGATCATCTGGATCTATGAATCAATTCATGAATGCACCAATCAAATTAGATTTGAATAAAATAAATTGAACTTAAACGTATTGAATAGAGATGACAAAAATATCCGCAATCGTGGATATCCGCCCGAATCCGACGTAATTAGGTAGAGTAAAACCCGAACCCTAAAGAATTTTAGTGTATCGGGTAAAACCCCAATCCGAATATTGTGGGTAATGGGTGGACACAGTTTTCACGCTATCCAACCCGAACTCGCCCGATTGTACACATTCATATGTATTTATCTAGAAATGATCATTATTTTTCTGAACATATTTTATATTTAGCTTACAAATATAATATTTTTATAAATTTGTTTGGTTTTCAATCAATTTTCTTCATTTTAGTGATTTATTGTCGTACTTTTTCACTTATATAATGTGATTATACGTGTGAATGTTAAGATGTTGGTAGGAGTTATAATGAGAAGTTATTACCAATGAATAACAGTGGATACTCGAAATCCGACCAGATATGTGCATGATTTTGATTTTCTACCTAATTGTTAACGAATATGCACTATTCGCTCATAGCCCGACCCATTGTCATCCCTAATATTAAATTAATTAAATATTTAAATAAATGGATTCAATCGCGTATCCGAAATTCTCATCTCAATATTTAAGCCATAGATTAGAGCGACGCCAATACCAAATTTCTCTCTCTTACCATTTTAACGCAAACGAAAGGGGAAAAGAGAAACCACTGTGGGCACTGGGCAGTTAAAAAAATAAAACTCTCCTCCTTCATCGTTTCTCACCTCCTCTTCGCACTCTGGTTTTCTCTGTTCTTCCTGCATGCCCTTTCATCTCTACGAAAGAGGTAATCCAATCTCAAGTCTCTCCATTTCTCCGACTTCGGAGTAACTTCTGTTTTCGGGCTCATTCACCAGTCTTTTTGCGCGCGGGAAGATCTCGCAGAAATTTAATTCATTTCCTTCATTTTCAGTGTAAAAAAAAAAAAAAATCCTTTCTTGGGGGTTCTCTGGAGGGATTGAATGAAAAATTCTTTTGTCTTGTCGCAGGAAGGGTGGGTAGGGAAAAAGGAAGAATTGCTTGTTGCTCACCAATAGTTTGTGAAAAAGCCCAGGTGGGTTCTCCCTGTCGCTAATCTCGGTTTTTTTCCCCTTCTTTTTTCGATCTGCGAATTTGGGGTTGTTTAGTTGGCGGTTCCTTAATTGTTTCTGTTTTGTATTAGCAATGGAAGGAGGGTCAGGGGCCTTCAATTCTACTCCCTCTTCAGGTTCCTTTGACAAATCAAGGGTTTTTGATGTGAAACCCCTTCGTACTTTGACCCCCGTGTTTCCGTCCAATCCTCAAGGTCCTCCATTTGTATGTTCACCTCCCTTTGGTCCTTACCCGCCCGGGTTTGCTCCATTTTACCCCTTTTCTCCACAACAAGGAGGCGGTCCTGACCCCAGCCCGCCACCCCAACCTCCAGCAGTGCCACTTCGCTCATTCCGAGCTCCAGAACCAAGTTCCCATGAGAATGGAACAGGTGGTGGCTCTTACTCTGAGCCTCCTAAGCGCGCGGGCCGTCGACCTGCTGTCCGGACTATCCCTATTGCCAAAAGGGCAAAGAGGGGACCAGATGACTTTTTGCTGCCTGCTCCTAATGACAGTGTTGTTTTGGGGATCACTCAGGCTCAAAAGGAAGATGGTGATAGGGGTACCGTTCTTAGTATTCTGATGAGGTTTGATGCTCTAAGGAGAAAAGTTGGCCAACTAGAGGATGCGAAGGACTCACAGCATAATGGAAACGCCAAGCGTGCTGATTTAAAAGCTAGTGCTATCTTAATGAGCAACAGTATAAGGACCAACACTAAAAAGAGAACTGGACATGTCCCTGGAGTGGAGATTGGTGACATCTTCTTCTTCCGGATGGAGATGTGTTTGGTGGGATTGCATGCTCAGTCTATGGCTGGCATAGATTATTTGATCGTAAGGGGTGATAGAGAGGAAGAGCCACTAGCTACTAGCATTGTTTCATCTGGTTACTATGATAATGCTGCAGATGATACAGATATCCTTATCTACAGTGGGCATGGTGGAAGCTCCAACAAGAATAAGGAAGCATCCGATCAGAAGCTGGTGAGGGGTAATCTTGCATTGGAGAGGAGTCTGCAGAAGGGGAACGAAGTCCGGGTCATTCGGGGCCTGAAAGATGCTAATAGTCCAACCACAAAGATTTATGTTTATGATGGACTTTATACAATCCAGGAATCATGGGTGGAGAAGGCGAAAACGGGTTGCAATATATTCAAGTATAAGATTGTTAGGATGTCTGGTCAACCTGGTGCATTTTCTGTCTGGAAATCTGTGGCCCAATGGAAAGAGTCAGTCTCTTCCAGAGTGGGACTGATTTTGCATGACCTCACTTTGGCAGCTGAAACTATACCTGTTGCGCTTGTGAATGATGTTGATGGAGAGAGAGGGCCTACTTCCTTCACATATCTTGCTTCTGTGAGGTATTCCAAGTCATTTAAAATATCTCATCAGCCTTCTTTTGGCTGCAACTGCCGTAACGCATGCCAATCAGGTGATGAAAACTGTGCTTGCATGACAAAAAATGGGGGGCAAACCCCATATATTGGTAATGGTGTTCTCGTTTGTAGGAAGCCCTTAGTTTATGAATGTGGTCCTACATGTCCTTGCACAGCTAACTGCAAAAACCGTGTGTCTCAGACTGGTCTGAAAGTTCACTTGGAAGTTTTCAAAACGAAGGATAGGGGTTGGGGTCTAAGGTCATGGGATCCTATTCGTGCCGGTACTTTTATATGTATATATGCCGGTGAAGCGACAAATAAGGCTATTAGTGGAGAAGTAGGCGACAGTGGTGATTATGTCTTTGATACAACCCGGGTTTATGATTCATTCAGGTGGAATTGTGAACCTGGGTTCATAGAGGAGGATCTTATTGACACTAATGAGGAGTATGATATGCCATACCCCCTCGTCATAAGTGCAAAAAATGTTGGAAATGTGGCCCGGTTCATGAATCACAGTTGTGAGCCGAACACATTCTGGCAACCCGTGGTGTATGAGAACAATAGTGAAACCTATCTGAATGTTGCTTTCTTTGCCATGAGACATATTCCACCTATGACTGAGTTGACTTATGATTATGGGACTCCCCGTGCTGATGTTCCTGGGGGTAGCAATGGACATGGAAGGATGAGATGCTTATGTGGATCGACGAGGTGCAAAGGTTATTTTGTCTGATGATATCCATTTTGATCCGAAATGCACTGCGTTGTCAGTCCTTCCAGTAATAAGGTTAGTTACATCTTGTCATATGTCCATTTTTAATCCTTTGTTTGTCGATGCTTGAAGACCACACACTCTACTTGATGTTTGTCATCTTGGCACTAGGCTGAAGCCACACACAACCACTCGCATATGTTTTAGCAGTTACCAGATGGTAATGGTAACAGTTCTTACTACTTTCTCTATTTTGACTCAAGAGCATTGATTATCTGATGAAATAGGGCAGGCATGGTTGCGCAGGCAATCACTTGGATGAGATATTCCTAGATGCGTTGGTACCTGACAGTAGCCCAGATAGTCAATCTGACTTGAATGTTTGGTGATTTTGTTCTTTGAAGAAAATTATTAAATTAGTGTTCAGTCCTCACAAACCCTCACCCCTCGAACTTCCAGTGTCTTAGCTATCAACCCTTTTCCCTTTAGAATGTTCCGAGTTTATGCCTTGCTGTGGTCTCAGTATGCGTGTTTTAATGTTTTAACATTGTCGGTCAGTTAATTTCTGGTGTTCCTCTACTCTGGCAATGCAGGATAACTTGCCCAGGATGTGATATCTTTTAGGGCAAACCAACTGCTGTGGCTGTTATGGGTGAACCAGCGAGCGATGCAGCGTTGATTCACGCACCATGAATACCTTCGGTAGGAGCACTGTGATGTCTTTTTTCGGTTCTAGTAATTCCTGCCTGCTAACTCAAACAAGAGGTGTTTTGCTTGTAATCTTATGCTTAGGATTGAAGGTAGTAGGGAAGTGTGCACCAACTTCGGTGAAACTTGTGCAGCTAGAAATTTTAGTATCGGTGTAAAACCTGTATCAATCTTTTTCCCCTCTCGAACTTTAGTGATAAGTGAAGCTACTAGAGGCTGCTGTGATTAGACCAGAGGATGCAATGCCATCTTGTTTCAGGTTAATCCTCCTTTGCCATATCATGTTTTGGATACAGTACTACAGTAGTCAAAGAGTTATGCGTTCTGGCCTTTGGAACATATTGAAACATGGCAGCAAAGCTTCATTTTCACCCCACACAAACACATCAATTACTAACACAAACATAGAACGAGACCTCCATATCTACTATACCTATACACACATTCTTACAACTCCAACCTTTTGAGCAACTGCAGGTTCACAAGCTCATCCACGAACTCCTCAATGTTCTTGTCTGAACTCCCACCGTCAGCCACAGCAGCTCGAGCCAGAGTCTTCCATTTCTCCGCATTCTTTCGAATGCCTTTGGCCCTCTCTCCTTCCATCACTTCCACCACACCCCACTCGATCTCTTCCCTCCTCGCCATTGCTTTCTCTTCCCCATCTCTCTTCCGCACCATCACTCTCACCCCGACTCCCCACACGTCCTCCACGAACTTGGCGTTGGTCGGCTGGTCGGCGAACTGCGGCACCGCCACCATCGGCACACCCATGCTCAGCGCCTCGATCGTCGAGTTCCACCCGCAGTGAGTCACGAAGCAACCCGTCGACGTGTGGGCCAGCACCTCCAACTGGCAGCACCACGTCACCACCAGGCCCCTGTCCGACGTGTCCTCCACGAACCCGGGAGGGATCTTGTCCTGTTCGGATTTCCTGACCACCCACAGGAACGGCCGGTCCAGTTTCTCGAGCGCGGCGGCTACTTCCTCGGTCTGTTTGTCGGACAGGCTGGCCACGCTACCGAACGACACGTAGACGACCGATTTGGGCTGCTGGGAGTCCAGCCACTGCTTCAGGTAAGTTGTGGAGTGCTGGGGCTTGAAGAGGCTGAGGCCGTACTCGTGACACGTGTCGTCGTCGGACGACAGCTGCTTCCCAAGGTAGATCGATGGGATTGTGGGTCCCACCGCCTTGAATCGGAACTTGTTGCACATCCAGTGTACTATCTGATGAGATTGGATAATCCATTAGAGGCAAAACATACATATAAACGTATCTATGTAACACATGCATAGATGTGCAATCCAACAACGACAACGCGGTTACGTCCAAGTCATGTATGCACAATAAGCAAATTGCCAAGTTAAACTTTCGTTAGTGCTGAATTTTCCAACTGAAAAATGATTAAATGAATGAGCTGTAAAGTTGAAAGAATAGTGTCGTATTGAGTCGTCCATAGTGTAAGATATGGAAGTGGTTAATTTAGTGTGGTTAGGCGGTAGTGCGTCCACAAGATTGGGATATGAAACAAACAAAACCGAAGCACATGAAACCAAACTTACATGTCGCTGTCGTATGCTCGACCAAATAGTTACAGTCACCATGATCCTTTTCATTTAGTTTTCTTAGCTGAAAACGAACAATTCTCACTCAGATTGGTATTTTTTTAATTACTTTCGTCTCTTTCCCCCGTAACAGGAAGGGGACATCAACTTTCAAATTAAAAAATATATATATATATATATATATATATATATGTCAATTTAAAATTAATTGGGGTGTTTTTGTTATTAACCCTGACCACCACTCTTGTAACGAGCAGACTCATCGATTCTTAGTTGATAATAATGAAAAGTAAAAGCTTATTTATAAGTTATTATCCGTCTGGAAAAATTTCACCGTACAAAAAAAAAAAAAATCCCAGATAGGCAAAAGAAACGGCTGATAGATGCAATAATACTTAAGATGGAAAATGTTGTGTTGTCTCTAGAGGTTTCAACAACACATTTTGTGCTTATTAATGCCACATTGGTATTTATTCATCGAATATTGATATTATTCACGCAAACAATAATGGTTACTCACTTATTCACACAATCTAGTGTTATTCAACCAAGTTGTTATTTATTTATATCATTATGATCAACACAACTCATTTTTAAAGGAAAAAAGAAAATCTATATTTACCTCCACAAAATATAGCAAATACAAACTATTAGGGGAAAAAAAAATTTTTTTTTGATGAGTGATGAAATTTTTATTTGGTACTTACTAATCAACGAGCACAAAAAAAAAATAATTACGAACGTCATAAAATAAAAGATAGCAAAGGGTCAAATCTCAAATGTGATGTCTTATCTCGATGGTGAATACTCAATAACCATATATAACTCTTAAATAAATAAGCACCGACATATATGAATAATTACCAAATTACCCGTATTTTTTTTATTACCAGATGACCAATAACTCGTCAAGGCAGGGGTCGGTCGGATGGGTTAATTGTCAATGTGGTATTTGTAGAGTCAAATAACTAATCTATTGTTCATCTGGTATTTTAGTGTTATTTCAGTGGTAATTGAAATAAAGTATCTCGTTTGGTTGAACCATGCAAATGTGGTATTTGACATGTGGTATTTGGTAAAAGCAGATTGATAAAACGAGTTATTTCGAAATAACACATGAGTATAAGTTATTTCAAATAACTCGTTTTGAGTTATTTGTAAATAACTCACTGTTCAAATAACTCATTTCAGTAAAACGTTGTCAAACGGGTTATTTGCGTCCAAATAACTCATTTTGAATTATTTGAATCCAAATAACTCATACAAATACTCCATCCAAACGACCCCTGAATTAACCTTATTTTTTACTACGCACCTTTTCCTCAAGGGCAGTGAAAGTGTTGCAGAAGACCCAATCCGCACCCGCCACGTTGGAGAACTGGGCAGCCAAAAGGGCCAGACACTCGGGCGCGTTTTCGTCATCTTCATCACGAAGATAAGAAGGCAGGTCATGGACCGCCAGCGACACCTCCGCCATACCTTCAACCCGAAACTTCTCCTCCTTGTCGGTAATCGGAGCTTTGATCCTGCCCTCGTGATAGCCGCAGATGATGGCGTCGACGGCGCAAGGCTGGGTGAAGAAGGAAGCACACGGGATGTTCATCTCCCTCGCGACCTCCAGAGCCCAGGGAGCCACCGAGTCGTAGACGAGGCAGGCCGCGCCGGATCCGGTCTCCCTCTCGATCTCGTCAGCCACACGTGGCAGTTCCTTCTTCACCGTTCTGGCGAACCTGTCGAGGAAGCCGAACCCGCCCTCTTGTTGTACGGCCGCCGGTTCGTGGGTACTGGAGAGGAGGTGGACGCCGAGGGAGCCGAGTTGGCCCTGGGTCAACTCGGTGGTTTCTGCGTAGATGATGAGGGTGACCCGGATTCCTCCTTTGGAGTTGAGGAGGCGGGAGAATTGGAGGGCTGGGTTTATGTGGCCTTGGAATGGGAATGGCAGGACCAGAACGTGGGGAGGATTTGGAGGAGTTTTCATGTTGCTAATTTGCTGCTGCTCCACCTTCATTTTCTATTGCTCTAGGTTGATGATGAAATGCTACTTTAATCTGATGAGTTTTTTGCTCGATCTCCCTTTGCTTTGAACGAGTGGTCCTGGTGGAGATATATATAGTAGAGTAGGAGTGGCAGAAATGAGCGAGTTTACGTAATTAATTCGGTAAGTGTCGATGTATGAGGTATTTCTTGGCTGAAATTAGGAACGCACAAGTTATAGGGGGAAAAGGGAAGTATTTATAGTCCTACATGAAATTAATTAAAAAAGTGTTTCAATTTCCGACGGTACTCTAATATGTGTGAGGGTTATGTTTGTTGGCACAAGGTTAGTGTCAAAGAAGATCGGCACGCCATTCACGTAGGCATTTTGTTTTAAAAATTATTTACGCATATTAACTCGTATTCACGCAATTCCGTTAACTAATTAGTCAACTAATCTCATTTATTGATCATAATATCCCATAAGCGTTTTATTAATATAATATAATAAGATATCTATAATTCAATGTAAAAAATGAACAAGATAATCACAAGATAATAGTTTTTTAGAACCGACATACATAAATATATATATTTTCAATTATATAACTATAGAGTTGAAAACATACAAATCGTAAGAAAAATATATAATTTAAACAGGAAAAATACAATTTCAACCAATAGGTGTACTCCGACAATTCTCTTAAAATTGTTTGATGTAGTTCCTTTACTAACTGTCAAATAGAAAGTATGGTCAAACCACTCCATCAAATCATTTTGGGTACAGAGGGTGATCTCTTATACATACATTCTTCCACATTGTTGCAATCCATACAATGATATGTTCAATTTAATTGAAAAGTTTTCGACAAAGTGAATTATTCAGGGAGTTTCATGTAGATATAATGGATCCATTCAAATAAGTTGTCACAACATCTATTAGACAACGAAACATCATCAATGATTACTTCACTTCCATTTTATTGTCTTGCACTATGTGACTTTGTTACTCTTTTGTGTTAGTAAAGACTAGAGTGTTTTCGCTGGTTTTCTAAGCTTTAAGAATACATTATTTTATTTTTAACTTTATGATCACATTGCTAAGTATGGGGATCAAAGTAAGATATAATGATAATTTATTCTTATTAATATCTTTTCACAACTATTTGTTCTCACTTAGTAGTTAGTACGGTTGGAAAAACCACTCATATCACAATGACAATGGGCAGAACATGCATTGAATAAATCTCTACTTGATGATTCTAACTATTTTATCATTGACGGAGACTCATCTCATCATATAATTTTTACCCTCTTTTGAGGATCAATCTTAACACCGTACGGTGAACCAATTGAGATGTTTATATTTAAAGTACACCTAAATATATTTAAATAATAAATGTTATTTTCCGACAAAAAAAAATGTAAGACGAAAATTCATAATAATTTTTTGGCTTGAAGCGACTTCTGTTGCCGCATGTAATATAAAACATGCCCCCAACAGGAAATCGATAAACAAATTTCCTTGGTAAAAAAAACACATACATACCCCACCCATTATTACTAGAAGGATTATACGTATAATATACCACTCTACTATGATGTTTTATCAAATATGCTCCTTTACTATATTTTACATCAAATATACCCCTGTATTTTGGAAAAATTAGCAAACATGACATTCTGTTAAAATTTTCATCCAAAAACCATTAATCATGGTCAAATTTTGGTTCGGGCTGTACAAATGTCTAACATATCCCTAATAATTTCACTTTAGAATTTTTTGGTTCTTTTTTATATAGCCAAATATTCTAATAATTTCACTTTGAGGAGACCTAGGGGAAATAAAACAGGGGACAAAACTGAATTTGTTTCTCTCATTTGTCGATGTCGGGTTGTCTAAATCTCGGTTCAACCATGTTTGATGATTTTTTCAATGTAAATTTTAACAAAAGCGCATGTTTGATAATTTTCCCAAAGTATAGAGGCATGTTTGATGTAAGAAATAATAAAGCGAAACATTTGATAAAACGTCATAGTAGAGTGGCATATTATACCTCTAAGTCTTACTGCAACTATCATTTGTGTTATAGCTTTAGCTAGGGCACTATCGTGTACAATTTCTTCCACTTGCACTGAAGTTCCACCACCTATTTTCTATACATAAATAATTAAACGGGGTAAAAACTACAATAATCAACTGTGATATAGTTTTAAAGCAATATCGTGAATAACTCTTCCACTTGCACTTGGATTGAAATCAACTCAACAATTTCTCTGACGAGCCAATAGCGCATTGCAATTTGCAATGATGTACCTATGTATATGGGAAGTGGATCAGATCAACCAGAGATAGATTTCGATTGTACTTTGAATTCCTTTTCCTACTATATACTATTTATCTTGCATTGCCATTCAAATATAAGAGGCATTCTCACTGTGAATCCAACATAGAAATTCGACACAGCATTCGCCATACATTATTTATGCAAATTTATCAATTATTCACACTGTTTAAAATCAATACTATCTACAATCACTAAAAACAGCGAAAGGATTCCTAGCTCCCTCATGGGCCACCCGGTTGTTTAGCCTGCCAACAAACGAAATATCAAAGCAACAATATTGTTGTCGTAGATTTATGATGTCTTCAAGAATTCGCCCTCCGCCCCTCCCCAAGCCTCAGGCATCTCCGATCTCCTAATTGATACTCTCTGTGCATCACCACGAAATGTGACCTCGGTATTCTCTTCGTGGATCACCACTGAATGACATCTCAAAAAGCCACCAACTCCACCAAGAACGGATCCTGCAATCCTGCATAAGAAAAAAAAACACTCGACATATATAATAGAACCATCAACAGCCTGCACTACTAATCCCCCTACACCATAAGAACTAGGGGTGGCTATACGGTCCGATCCGGTTAAATTGTCCCAAATTGATCCGTTCCAATCCAGTCTTTTTGAAAATATAAGGATCAAAGATTGGATTGGATACAGTCCGGTCTTGATCCAGTTCGGTCTTGACCCGATCCGGTCCCAATTCGGTCATGATTTTATATTGAGCTTGTGGGGATTTGAGTGGCCTAAGGCCTGAAAGGGTGAGGAGTTGGTTAAGTTTTGTACTAAGTGCAAAGGCTTGCGACCATTTATGCAAATTACCCTTAAGTTTTGGGTGTTGAGCTCTCTTATCCGGTCCTTGATCCGGTCCCAAACGGTTTTTTACCTCAAATCTAAGCCCAAAGATTGGATTGGATTGTTTACTATCCGGTCTCGATCCGGATTATACGGTCCGATTTCGGATAAAACCAAAAAACCCGGACCAAATAGCCAACCCTAATAAAAAACTGTCACCACCGCACCATCCACATAGCAACAGGCACCGCGGGAAGCCCACCCTGAGTCACCCCTCGTGCACCTCCATCTCCCATCCGTGGACCCTGTACAAGTCGCTGTAAAGCCAACCACTCAAATATGTACTTGCAGATCATACTGCATATGGTTGAAACACCATCCAATTCCGACTCTTCCAAATCCTGTAGAGCATATAAGGATTTGGTCCAGTGATAATATCAATGGTCATGAAACTTAAGATTTTTGCTAGATTCGAATCTCTTTAGTAGCATCTAACTACAAAAACAAAACATACATCACCCTTATCAAAAAAAAAAAATTATCTTTCAATTATTAGTAGTCACCTAACAAAAATATATAACAACGGTACGAGGTGATGAGAGACTGAAAAAAACCCATTAATTAATGCTTACATCCAAAACAATTATCTTAATCTCTTCATAGTTATGAGAGACTGAAAACCCCTTTATTTAATGTTTTCATAAAACACAATATTGTATGCACTTGATCTTAACTAGGATTCCTATTTTGTTGTCTACATTCTATAAGAATAAATAAAACATAGGAATATTTGCGAGGTTTACTTTTGTATGGGTTCAAAAGTTAGGAACAATATACTCTTTAGTGGTTGCGTAATTTATTAAGTGTGAGGCGTATAATATATTAGATGTATTGATTAATTGGTTTGATTGGTAAGTAGTGTGCGAATCAAACTAACCAAGTTAAAATTTTTAATCAAACCAAACTAATTATCCAAATCAATCAAACTAAATTATTCAAATACTATCTATTAAAATAATTACCACCGTACGTAACAACTAAATATCAACACTTTACTATTGTTCTTCTTGGGTAGAAACGACGACGTCTGTCTCTCTTACATGTTGCCTTAACTTTCAGGCTTACAGATGGAACAAGGAACACAAATTTTGTGGGTCTAACTAACACTATAATAATAATTGAAAGGAACCGATGCCATTATCAGAAGCATAGAAAGACGACTGTGACCAAAATTATTGGAAGTGAGTAGACCTTGTCTTCTTTATCAAGATCGATCGATCGATTGATTAGGACCTTCCAATGGGGAAGAAAAAAAGAGCACGACTACTTCTTATCATAAACTGACACTCCAGGATTCTCTATCATGCACCACTAGATATATTTGGTTGTTTGTGTGATGATCTGTAGTAAGAAGTTGAAGTTTTCTAGAAGGGGATTTGCCTTCTGTCGAGATTCAATTTATTTCAATAATTTAAATTGTTAAGAAAGATTTGAATAGATCTTAATTAAATTGATTGCTAATATTGAAAAGTCACGTAAATTCGAACACAAATTTTGTTTGTCGTTAAATACTATAAAATTAGGTGAAAATTCAAGTTGTTGAAAGATGATAGATCGATCATGCCTATATAACATGAAACGTGAACCTTCATCTTTAAGGGGGAAAAGAAACAAGAATAGGGATGGCAGTTCAACCCGGACCCGCGGGTACCCGACCCGACCCAACCCGGTCAAACCGGGTAATATCCGTGTTGACCGAGTTCGGGCCGGGTTCGGGTTTAAACCCGGTGGCTGGTTGGGCGGGTTGGGGCGGGTTCGGGTTTGGGGGAACCCGACCCGTGGGTACCCGGACATACATCTGTCTAACCCTACCCCCAAATTACCAAGTCGAATGCGACCTCCCACTCCCAGCTAGGGATGGCAGTTCAACCCGGACCCGCGGGTACCCGACCCAACCCGGTCAAACCGGGTAAAATCCGTGTTGACCGGGTTCGGGCCGGGTTCGGGTTTAAACTCGGTGGCTGGTTGGGCGGGTTGGGGCGGGTTCGGGTTTGGGGGAACCCGACCCGTGGGTACCCGGACATACATCTCTGTCTAACCCTACCCCCAAATTACCAAGTCGAATGCGACCTCCCACTCCCAGCCCACTTCCTTCCCTCTTCTTCCCAGAGACGATTCTCATTTCCCAGTCCCACTTCCCATCGCCGCCGCCACGCCAATCTCTCCACCACTCCTCATCTCCACTTCCCATCAAACTCCCGACTCGGCGACTCCCAATCTGCCTGGCGACGGCCGCCCCGCCACCACCAAAACCCTCTGCTGAGGCGAGCTTCCGCCTCCATTCCTGAATCCCGCCAGCCCACTTCCTTCCCTCTTCTTCCCAGAGACATTTCTCATTTCCCAGTCCCACTTCCCATCGCCGCCGCCACGCCAATCTCTCCGCCACTCCTCATCTCCACTTCCCATCCCAACTCCCGACCCCCAATCCGCCTGGCGACGGCCGCCCCGCCACCACCAAAACCCTCTGCCGAGCCGAGCTTCCGCCTCCATTCCTGAATCCCGCCACCACCAAAACCCTCTGCCGAGCATCCGCCTCTCCGACTCCATTACAGGTAATCATCACGAACTGATTAATAGCAGAAGCACACCATGAATTCATGATCCTTTTGAATGGTGAATATCAATTTCAAGATTGTAATTGATTGATTACTGTATATGGGTTATCAAGGTTAGAAATTTCGGTTTTAAAAGGCTTCAACATCAGGTTCTGGACTGGGTTTTTTTTATCCCAATAGATATCGTGGATTAAAATCTTGTCCACCTCTTAGTGGGATGGCAGCCATGGTTCCTTAGATGAATGTTAGGCTAAAGTTGCTTCCTTTATCTATCCCAGGAAGTCTGCTGGGAAGAGGAAGGCAGTGGGGAAGGTTTCAGAGAGTAGGAATAGCAGTAGTAGTAGCAAGAGAAGGATTGGGAGTGTTAATAACGTTGAGAAACAGGCTTCCGTTGAGTCGTGATGATTACCTGTAATCAGTTCGTGATTTTTCTTTGTGTAGGTGCTTGATATGGCTTCAAATGCCTCCGAAGCCGGAACTCCAATTGTTAGTGGAGGTGATGAGACTATTGGTACTACTTCTACACCTACTACGGGATCTCAGTCCCAACTTCCTAATCCCACTAGTGAGAGTGGTAATGGTGCTGCTGCAGCTGCAGCACCTACTGGTGTAATGGAAGGTGGACAACCAACAAGATCTGATGAGGTTAATGTTCTTGATACAAGTGGGCTTAAAAGTGATGTTTGGCCGCATTTCAACAGAATTTTGAAGAATGGGGTTATTAGAGCCGAATGCATACGATGTAAGAAGCTCTTATCTGCTTCTACTGTAGACACCACATTTTGTCCGGAACAATCATCATGCTAATAATATATACATAAAAGGGAGACTTAATTGTATCACAATTATATTTGGAAAGGTAACTTAAGTGAATTGGTTGAGACTAGCAGTAGCAAGTCGATATGAACCAATGATTACCATTTTCTGCTCATATACAATCCAAGAATCAATTCGAATGGACACGAGGATAAGTACTTTTTTGAAGCTTAATACGCTTTAGGTTTGGGTTTGAATTTGAGCATTGGTTTACAATGCATAGAAGAAAAGAACAAATCAATAAATACAAAAAAACATACTTCGCCATTTTATTTCTTCCATGATACATTTGATCGAGAATTACATAGATAACAAAGGAAAGATAGTAATTAAATATATGCAATTAAAAGACCACTCCTTTATAAACCATGGACCTGCAATAGAAGAGAAGAACTAGTCAGTTCTCAAACCCATACACCAGGTCCACAATTTAAGCCCAAACCAAAGTAGTTCAAGTCCAAGAAGTATAAAGCCAGTTTCTTTTCAAGCCCAAACACAAATCAGATCGGACCCAACTCGGCCCAAACCCGACAGGCCCAGCTCAGCCAACTGGTTCGATCCAGAGACCAGCCCAACGATCCGACCCAGACCAATTTGGTCTAACCAAATCCTATCTACAACCGACCAGGCACACTCTTCAAAGTCATATTAAAAAATTGGACGAATCAAATAGTGACAAGTGGCGGTTTGGTTTGCTATAAATGAGCTCTTCAGGCTCTTTGTTTTGGGGGGGGGGGGAACGAAAAAAAAGACAGAAGTAGAAATTCCTAACACACTGATTTCTTCATTACAACAGCAAACTCAGTCAAGAAATCTCAGGGGAGCAGCAATCAACGAAGTGTTCTTCGAGCAGAAATCCCAACAAGGTTGGTGCTTTTAACTCCACTTCCATGATTCGCGATTAATTTCATCTCATTTAGCATCGCTTTTACTCTATCGTTGTACCGTTATAATCGTCCATCAACTTGCCTACTCATATTAAAACGATTTACTTCGTGCAAACCCCTTTTCATTCAAGCGCTCTATTTACTCATACCAAGTTCACTCATGTAATTTCTTTTCGGATTAAGATGAGTTCAATTAAGCGCCTCCATGCTATTACATCAATTTCTTATTTAAGTTTTGTCGATTGATTAGAATACTGACTATAACAACTAACAGTAGAAAGTAAAGTAGACAAACTTTAAAGAACCAAAACCTTCTTCTCTTTTGTATATTGGGGGTTATGATAGGTGTGATCTGGATCCAATAGGATCACCCTACATAATTATATTTCATATTTCGAACTCCACTTTGGCAAAGTCACAAGCAGAGGCAGTGATTTTTAGTTGCCAAAATTATCTATTTTAGAGCATATTAATTACTTCCCAGTTATAGAAAATTCATTTTTTTCTTTTCTTTATCATTTTTAGAAAAATCTAGCATCCCACCAGTTACTTCTAAAACTATCCATCAAACCACCAAGCATGAAAACATTCGAGATCATCAAACGCACATACAACATATTTTCGAACCACAGATCTGTAGACTAAATCTAAACCGCAACACAATCCTTTCCATTTATTTTTTTTTTTTTAGTTTAACCTCCCCAGTCATACTAAGCTGAGTTTAGAAACCTTACTCAGATCTCTCAAACTCGAGAATCTGCACAGAACAAAACATCAGAGTCAAAACCTATAGTAACCCAAAAAATCAATAAAGAGAAATAACAAAACAAAAAAAACTACCTGTGTCATCGTCGGCCTATCGCCGCCGGTGCCACGCCGCCGGGGATCCTCGACGCCTGACCTTCTCGTCGACCAAAGCCCTCGCATAATACCAAAACCCAAAAAAAAAAACAGAAATTCATATCTTTCGAGAAAAATCCAATAAAATTCCACATGCAAATCAAAACCTCACCCAGATCTACTCGTCATTGACGAAATCAATCCACCGCCGATGACTCCTGTCCCTTTTCATCTTTCCTCGACAGAACAAAAACCCAGAAGCCCAAAAATTAGAAGAGTCCGAAGTAAAAATCAAAAGTAGAAAACAAAACCATGCATGTCTCGATTTTACCTAGAATCGGAATTCTCTCGGTTGATTTAGTTCGACTCGAGGCGGTCTCCTTGGCTAGCATAGATGAGAGAGAGAGAGTTCTTTAGGTTGGTTGGAGACGAGGAGAGGAAGAAGAAGGTGGCAACGGAGTCATCGAGGAAGGGAGAAGAATCGAGAATTGAGAGAGAGCAGAGTGGGCGGCGTTTTGCTTTGACTAGGGGCAGCTAGGGTTTTTGTTTCTCTGAAGAATTGAGAGAGAGAGGGAGAGGAAGAATCGAGAGAACGAGAGGGAGAGGAAGAGGGCGGCCGCCGCTGGCCTTAGATTAGGATTAGTTTTTTTTTGTCTCAAGAGATTGATTTTATATACATATGCAAACGACGATTTTGCCCTTAGGTATTCTAACTAATTACGTACCCGTGCCACCGTCCTTTTGTGAGCTTACCAAATTGCCCTGCCCCCTTCTCTGCTCTAAAACGAGATAAACAAAAAAATTTGTAGTTAGCGCGTTTCGAACCCTTGTTCCCTCGGTCAAACGCGAATTTGGTCTGGCGTTTTAGCCAGTTGGGCTGCTGGCCCTCATGCGTTAATATTATAATCCCGTATAGTTTTATTCATTTAAAATCCTTAATACGAAATGTAGAATTGCGGATTAAGTATATCTCGTTTCTTTTCCAATACGTCAAAACACTTCCTAATAACTTAAATTCTTATATTCTATTTTCATAATTTCAGAATAATCAACTTAAAATTTATTAACAAAAATTGTAATACGAGAATTACGTTCAGTGGAACGTGATGAAAAGTCATATAATTAAATTATCAAAGTTAGAGCGAACTACGTGGACTTTGATCCCGTCTTACGGGTACGTAGGCAACCGATAAGGTTCGAGTCCAATTAATCAACTAACTTTATCTTTAAATTTTTACGTCAGTAGGCGTATAATTAAATTACAACTAATATGATTAAATCATTAAATGGTCCAGTGGGACCCCTAAAATTACAAATTATTACTAAAATACACCCAACTCGTATAAAACTTATCGACTTAAGTAGTACCGATTTAGGGCGTTGTGGGGGTGTTGCTTAACTTCCCCACACGTAACCGTACTCCCGGACCCAGAACTTCATTTTCGCAGACCAGATCTCGGTTCTGACCCTAAGGTTAGAGCCGATCCTAAGAGTGTTCGATCCACTCCAACTAAGATCGATGGCGACTCCCAAAAATGCCGACGCGACGACATCCGGACCCCCGGACGGGACGGTTGCGACATCTACAAATAACGGGACCAGTCATTTGCGCCAGCATATTCTACATACATGTCCGAGGAAAAAATGCAAAGATCTTAAACAAATGCTTTTGACAAAGAATTTGAAAGGAGATGTTAGCAAAGCAAGTGGCAACAGATTTGATGAGGAAAAAGGGAGGCGTGCTTTAGCTTCCATGATTATATTACATGAGTACCCTCTCTCTATTGTTGAGCATATTGGTTTTAGAAAATTTCTCTTCATCATTCAACCTTTATTCAAGTGCCCTTGTCGAAATACATTGAAGAGTGACATTTTCAAGATCTTTGAGGTTGAGAAGAAGATGCTTATGAGTATGATAGAGGAGAATTCGAGTAGGATAGCAATTACTAGCGATATGTGGACTACTACTAATCAAAAGAAGGGATTTATGGTGGTGACTGCCCATTTCATTGATGCTTCTTGGACAATGCGGAGCTACATTCTTAGGTATTTAATACTCTTTAATCATTGCTTATTAATTTGTGATTTTTGGACTGTTTTGTGTGATTTTGGGACTGTTTTATGTGATTTTAGTGTGCTGGCAGCACCTATTTTTGGCCTTTTCATGCTTGTTTTTTTGTTCTTGCAGCATCTAACCTTTAGTTTGTTGTTATATTTTGATTGTAGGTTCATATATGTACCTTGCCCGCATACTAGTGAAGCACTTGCTCAGGTTCTTATCGAAACTTTGTATGAGTGGAATGTTGATACGAAGTTGTCTGCAATTACTCTAGATAACTGTAGTACGAATGATGCATTGATTGACTTGGTCAAGTATAAGTTGAATTCTGAGCGTTTGATGTGGTCTGGGGCTAAAATTCACATGCGTTGCTGTGCTCATATTCTTAACTTGATTGTCAAGGATGGATTGGATGTGATAAAGCGAAGTGTAGAGCGCATCCGTGATAGTGTGCAATTCTGGACAGCAACTCCTAAAAGGAAAGAGAAGTTTGAAATAGTTGCAAAACAATTGAAAATTTCTTATGGGAAAAGTTTGTCCTTGGATTGCCCAACTAGGTGGAACTCTACCTTTTTGATGCTTCATTCTGCTTTGAAGTATAAGATTGTATTTCCTCGTCTAAAGCAAATGGATAAGGATTACAAGACTTTACCTAGTGAGTCTGATTGTGAGTTTGCAAGGAAAGTTTGTGACAAGTTGGAGTTGTTTTATGATGTGACTGAGCTGTTTTCAGGGGCTAAATACCCAACTTCGAATTTGTTCTTTGAAAAGGTGTGCGACATAAAGGTGGGCATATCTAATTGGATGTTGGATGATGATGCTTTCATTAGAGATATGGCCAAAAGCATGATGACAAAATTTGAGAAGTATTGGAGTACTATTCATGATGTTTTAGCTATTGCTGCTGTATTTGATCCAAGGTATAAGTTTACCTTGTTGGAGTGTTATTTTCCAGATATCTATGGCATTGAATCAAGGGCATGTATTGAGAGTGTTCGACAATTGTTGGTTGAATTGGAGAAGGATTATAAGAAGTTAAATGTGGATGGGAGTCATGAAGGAAATTCGTCTCATGATGGGAGTTCTATTAGTCAAGGTGGAGGAAGAATGACAGCATATGATAGGTATGTAGCATCGTTGACTACTAGCAGTGTAGATGTTGAAACTGAGTTGGATGGCTACCTCAAGGAGAAAGTCTTGCCCAAAACAGCTGGATTTGACATTTTATTGTGGTGGAAGGCAAATGAGTCAAAGTATCCGACTTTAGCATTGATTGCTAGAGATATACTTGCAATTCCAGTGACTACTGTGGCTTCTGAGTCTGCTTTTAGTGCCGGTGGAAGACTAGTTAGCCCTAGTCGCAGTAGACTTCTCTCAGAAACTGTTGAGGTTCTAATGTGTGCTCAAAACTGGTTGCTCAATTCAACCATTCCAGGTAGCTTGATAACCTTTGATTGTTTGATTTCACATATGAACCTTAATACATGTTTTGAGTTATGATATTGTTGGTTACATTATTTGCTAACTTGCTATCCTATTTGCAGATGGCTTGGAAACAATTGATAAGCTCATGACTTATGCCACTGTTAATGATGACCTAGATCCAGATTGTGCTTCATGTGTTACCGGTATATTTAATATTATAACTATCTTCTTTAAAACATCCATCTTTCTTATGTTTGTGGAGACATTTCTAATTTTGGTCTACCTAATTCTGTAGAATGAAGTCGATGTTATGGAGTTGAGAATGAAGCTAAGATGACAATGTTCAAGTTCTCAAGGAGGAGGAAACTTTAATTAATCATGTTGTGTATTGATAATTTGTGACTTTGAATTTTCTAGATTGGAGTTGAACAATTTGTATGGATAGTGTGTGATTTGCTTGAATTTTCTAGAACGATGTTTTATGTATGGATAGTTTGTATGATGAGATTTATGCTTGATTTTTATTTTAATAGTTTCTTGTTAATTATTATTTTATAAATATTTTACCAAAAAAACCCGCGGGTAACCCATCAACCCGCGGATACCCAGCGGGTTGGGTTTGAGTTTTTCAAACCCAGCGGGTTTTACCCCGGGTTTTTTTGACGGACAAACCCATGGGTTTGGGTTCGGGTTTGGCAAAACCCGCCCCAACCCGACCCATTGCCATCCCTAAACAAGAATGATATAACTGTACAAGATATTGTACCGGAAAAGACGGTGAAATTCCCTTCGTTTCGTTCTGTAGCATTTGTCAGTTTAGGAAAAGAAGCCGGCGAGCATTGGCCACAATTATATTAATCTTTGCTGTTTAATTATATAGGGGAATATAATCCAGCTAAGCCGCCATGCATATATAGGTATCAACCTTAACCACACAATATAACCCCAACGGTACTGCTGTCTGCTGCTGTTGATGTTCAATTTGTGTGGTCAATGGCCTGGCCCATAGGTGTCTCCGAAGGATAGAAAAATGAGGAACAAAACAATTTGGGTGCCATCCAAAGTGACACCATTGATGGTTCTCAATTAATTTGATTTAGATATCTAGTCAAAAGGGAACATATAGTTTGTGACAAAATGTACCAATTTTCAACTTTCTGGTAATTGTATGATAGGCGATTACAAGCAATGGTTAGGGATTTGAAATATGTAGCTTTGATATATATATATATATATATGGTGCCTTCTACGATACCCCGGGTGAAATCTGGGGTACCACATACCTTGACTATGGAAACGGTATCTAGACCTCGAATTAGCAGGATTTTTGGGTCTGATACTATACCCTAACCCTTAATGAGTGAACCATAGGTCCTAATTATCTAAATCATAATCTATAAACCCTAAGATGGTGCATTCCTCTTTGTGCCTATATTTGGACGAATCATAACAGTCGATTATTTTTTCTAATCAAATTGATCTTGGAGTATAAGATTGGGAGAATTAAGGCATAGATTTTGATCTTTAAGGGTTATAGTATAGTATCATGTCCGAAAGATCGGTCAATTCAAGGTCTAGATAGTGTTTTCATACTCAAGATATGCGGTACCCCGGATTTTACCCGGGGTACCGTAGAACTCGCCATATATATATATGGTGCCGAATTCGGTGCACCCACTTTTTGGGGTGCACTCAGTGCAGTGCACCCCACTCATAATTGTCATTCTGACCATGCGATTCATGTCAAAACGGTATCAATTGTTGCTTATGATATTATGAACAAGAAACACATGAATTAGAAAAATATTCATTCAAAATTTACTTTAATTCGAAGGATTTAGGATTTAGGGATTTAGGGTTAGGGTTTAGGTTTACAATTTGGGATTTTGGTTTGGGATTCAAAATTGAATGTTAAGGGGTTAGGGCAATGGATTGATTTGTTATGATTCTATGTCATATCATCATATTATATTGAGAGTACTAATTAAAGTTCAAAATTTGATGTATTATGGATGCTTTTAGAGTTGGGTGCACTGAGTGCACCCAAAAAAGTGAGTGCACCGAAATAGCCACTATATATAATATACATCTAGATTATCATAATTTTGCACATTATGAAAATAATAGCCGATTCTTGAAAACTACACAAATATAATAAGATTTTAGAAGTATGTTTGACAAATTTAGTAATTTGTGTTAAAATATTTAACATCATTAGAGACGTCATCGATAACAACTAAACACTAATATGGATATCATCTCATATCTACCTCGCAACGTTATGCCACCTAGTGATAACGTTCAAATTATAGTGTTTAGCAGTCTCTATATTTTATACATTTTTCTTTCTTTCAATGGAACTTTAGTTGTTTTCATAATTTTTATATGAATTTCGTAACTATGTAATCGATAAGCTTATTTTAGACATAGATTGTGTTCAAGTATTCATTTACAGTATTATTTTGTGATTTTCAAGAAAAAAATGCAATCAATCAATGATGATGTGGATCACCTATTGGATCAAGTTGGAGGGCCATCTTCTTGATCCAATAGGTGTTGGTAGCTTTTGTAACAGTTATAAGTGCATATTGGGTGGAACATCTTTCTTAACAATCTTGGACGGATTCCAAGTTGTCAAATCGATTTCAGTCGTTGAGCCGGTCAAACAAGTGGTTTGAGGCTCAATGGTCTGATCGGAGTCCAATTTGTTTGAGCCATTTTTTAAATTTTCTAAATATATATACAAATAAGATATTAATTTAAAATTTGAATTAATTGAAATTAAATTTACCTTACATGTATCTATTAGAAACCCACATCCACTAAAAATACTTACCTAATCCCCATGGACCAACCACCATCCCCTCCTCGTCCCTCCCCTCTGCTTCTCCCCCTCACTCTCTCTAGTGATCAGACCACTGGCTTTCTGGAGAAAGTTTTGAAGCCCAACTCTGATCGGACCTGGTCCTACTGGTCGATTGGTAGAGTCTTAAGAACATTTAGTCCAATTTGTCGATTCCTCCTTATTCATAAGCTCCTTTAGGGGTGGCTATACGGTCTGGTCCGGTTAAATTTTTCTGAATTGATCCGGCCCCAGTCCGGTATTTTCGGGAATATAAGGACCAAAGATTGGATTGGATACAATTCGGTCCCAATTTGGTTTTGATTTTAGATTGAACTTGTGGAGATTTGAGTGGCCTGAGGACTCAAATGGTGAGGAGTTGGTTAAGTTTTGGATGTTGGGCTCTCTTATACGGTTTTCGATCCGGTCCCAAACGGTTTTTTACCTCAAATCTGAGTCCGAAGATTAGATTGGATTGTTTGCTTTCCAGTTTCGATCTGGTCCCATTCCGGGTTATACGGTCGAATTTCGGGTAAAACTAAATAGCCCAGACCAAATAGGCAGCCCTAAGCTCCTTCATAGTCTGAGCTGGGGCGGATCCACCTTATGGATAGGTGTGACAAACGACACATCTCCTTCCGAAATTTGTGTGAGAGATCCATATATATATATATATTGTGAAGGTATAAAAATTCAAATACGGGACTTCCGACACATCTTTATTATGTCACAAAAAAATTGTTGTCTTAAAGTTATTAAAATATGTAAATATAGGAGGTATTAGGTTTCAAATTAGGCAGTTCATTAGTTGGTTTTACAAGAGTAAACAAGTAAATGGCTACTTAGTACATAATGCATATTTAGAGAGATAACTATCACCTTAGAGATAATCCAGGTCATTTGAATGATAATTAAATTGATTAATAAACGGGTTGAGTCAAGTAATGAGATAATAAATTTCAAGTCGTCTTTTCCCATAGCTTCTTTCGTCAATTTTTCTTATACTTAATTTCCAACTTGCTTTATAGTTTAGTTATTGTGTTACATTTCATTTATCCAAAATCACATTTTTCTTTTCAGTTCCTTAATTTTATTGATTAAATCTATAGTTGTGTGGTCCATGTGACGCGATAATATACTTATCTTTACTCGATCGATAATTTGCATACATACAAAAATGTTTGATTTGTAACACAACCACAAATGTAATTAAGAAACCTTAAAATTCGTTGTAGTACATTATAAAAAACAATGAAATTGTTAAGTTTATGAATAAAATTTTTGTGTTAATTTTTAGTTAATTAATTTTCCTTATTTTTAATTAATTTTTATCTGCCGACACCTATTTAATAATTCTCGGTCCGCCATTGAGTCGGAGTAAGATTAGGCGTACTCTTGATGACTTCCAGAATAGGAATGACAAGTTTCGTCACCTATAACCTCTAAAAGCTCCTTAGAAATCAAGAGAATATGTCACTCTAAATGAGTTATATGAGTTCAATTTCAAAAGGAAACTCATTTTTTAGATAAAGTAGTGCATATCACATATGAACTAGCAATATTTTTTTTTAATTATAGATGTGATGATGACCTAAGAACGAAATGTCAAGCAGTTATCCCTTTCCTTCTTAAATATGAGAGTGTCTTGCAATGATTTTTTTTATTTGGAATTTGTCTTAATAACTAGTTTCTTGTAACCTTGGACTTGGGCATATGAGTTTTTTTCTTCTTTCTTTCTTTTGACATGCTATTGAAGGGGTTCTATAAGGGCAGTCCAAAAATATAGTTCGAATACGGAATCTCCTTATTAAAAATCAATGATAGTATTCCAAGGTCAAACGGATGTTCATATGTGAGATTTTCTTTAACAAACAATTAAAAGAGTGAAGTTGACAATCAACTATAAAGGGGGTCAAAGTTGTCTATTATTTAGAAAAGTGATATATTTTTATCAGTTTGAAAGTTGAAAAAAGAGTCCATTTGTACGGGTCATATGGGATTATTAACCATGCATTTTAACTAAATATAGTTGTGTAGTGTAACTGTATGAAAAAGTAAACTAAATATAGTTGTGTATTTTCATAACGGTAAGGTTTAATACATTTGTACAGTCAAAATTTTTGTGTTTATGAAAATAATAGCTAATTTAGGAGAAAAATCACTTATAGCAAAATTTTGCAGTTGTTTTAACGATTTTAGTAACATCGTCAACTTCTTTGACGGTTCGCTGACTAGGCTCCCAATCAAATAAGCCAAAAGTGACACATCATATATTAAATTTATTTAATAATTTCACATTAAAAATTACTTTGCCTAAAAAAGATTCCCTTTTACACAACCAATGAAAATTTTCAATGAATAACAAAGTATCTCATAAATTGATTGATCAATTTATTTTTATTAGAAAAATCAAATGTATATATTTGTTATGGTGTTTTTTTTAAACCAACGAAACTTATTTCCTTGTAACTTTCGGCCATTTGATTGTTATTTAAAGACAAATATATTAAAATTTTGGAAAGTTCGTCCATTTCAACCAAAAGCAAAAGTATCTCCAAAATTGTTCAAAATCTTGAAAATTTTGTTGAACGAAGCTCACTTCGTCTAACTTTCGTCTATTTCAACTATAAAAAAAATATCTAAGAAATTGCTTAAACTCTGTTAGAATATTTGTATCGAATTATCATTAATGAAGATTTAAATTTTAAATAAAAAATACAAGTTTAACTATTCATAAGTTAGGATTACAAAATATGAAACTGAAAATTATAGCCTCAGGGTTGCATCAGTTTCTTTTTTCGAGGGGGCAAGGTCATTTTAGCCTCTAGTGTTGGAATTAATCTTTAGCCTATGTATTTCTTTGGAATTTATCTTGTCAGATTATCAAAGCTGAATAGAAATACCTGTATTTGTATGGTTGATCATCAAAGTCTTGATGCGAAATATGAACGATTATCTTAAACTGGACGATACTCTTAGAGCACGATCTAGGAGGTTTCGTGACCTTCCTCAACCAAGCCTCCTCCATTCCTTTACGGGAGAGCTCTAATCTTCTCGAGGGGGAGAAGAAGAGAGTATGTCGATCTTGGTGTGTTGGGCACCACAACCTCAAACTTCTTTATATACTAGTCACCATGGGCTCCCATACAACCCAATGTGAACAAGTATTGGGTTTTCCTCATTGGACTCATATTGGACTTAAGTAATCATGGACTCCATTCATTGACCACTCATAGTTAGCCCATTATAGCCCACTTAAGTTAGGAAATGAAATTCCTAACATTTTAGACCCCTATTTTTTGCCTCCAAGTTGTGGTTAACCTAACTAGTATTTCTTTCAAAATCACTACTATTGTCACAAACGCGAAAACATGCGTCCCAATAATCTAACCACCGTCACAAGCTCACCAAACCTCTCCTACTGTAATTTTTCTCACCATATAGCGCTGGCTATTACGAGCAAAGTACAAAACAACGGACAATTTGGAGCTTAACAAAAATATATTCAAAAGTAAATGAAAACTAACTCACTTACATCAAAACTTAAATGCAAGGTATCAAATCTGCAATCATTACCATGTTCCGCGATCGAGTACGAAAGAGGATAATCAAGGGACTTGGATCAGAAGTTCAGAACAAGAATAGATGAAAATTGAAACAAGAGTCGGAGACCCAAAGGAAAACATCAAATTACTTATATTGTTTGCATTTTTTATTTTACAAAATACAATCTTATATTGATTCAAATAATAGATAGTTACATCCTGGCATTAAGCCAGGCCTGAAAATCAAAGAAACAACTCATAGTCGGGTACAACGAGAGGGCTTTACGAGTCACCATATGAGCTACCCTATTACTACGCCGACCTACAAATCGAACACGAAACCCAGTATAGTTGTTAAAAAATATTGCAGAAGTTCCTCCAGAACAACTCCGACTCGGTTATCTCTGGCATCCGCCTGATTGATTTTATCAATGAGCACCTTAGCATCCCCTTCAAACTTCACTTCCAAGAGGCCAATCGACAAGCACCACAAAACAACCTCACGGAGGACAAGCAAGGGTCATCCATGCAAGGAAACTGAACCCCTCTTACCAGCCAAACACCCCCCGTCGGAGTCAGAAGAACCATCCCGCCAGCCGAATGTGAACCCCTCCTCACCGCCCCATCCCACATACAAACGACACTGTCCTCCCCAGCAAGACCTACTTGATGTGTCCCGGGAGGAACTGCCGCAGGGGGAACAGTCCTGGGGATCCTATCCCTAGGCAGACGGACCCACTCCTCATACTGCTGATGGAAATGACGCATCAAGGCAGGGAACCCGAACTGCTTGCCTTGAAAGACAACCCAGTTCCGCGAACTCCAAATCCGCCAAAGGATGGCTACCACAGCCATGAAAAGATCAGGCTGGTGAATCAGAGCCATTAGTCTCTTCAGGAACATAGGGAAGGTATGTTGAGGGAGCCCCTCCCCCAGATACCCCAAGCTAGAATAATCCCAAAGGACACGAGCCACTGGATAGTCCAAGAAAAAATGCTCCATTGTTTCTGCGCTAGCCCAACAAACCGGACATCTGGGATGCACCGGGATATGTTTATCAATAAGGGCCTCCGTGGTAGGCAAGATGTGATTGAGGATCTGCCAAACAAAGACTTTGAGCTTCGGAGTGATATTCGCACCCCACAAGCGAACCATGACTCCTTATCCATCCAACCAACCGTTGATCGCCAGGCACCCCTCCTCCTATCAATGTCAACAGCTAAATGTTAAGCGGATTTGACCGTGAAGACCACATCCGCCGTAACATGCCTGATCAACCTATCTGCTACATTCTGCCTCGGAAGGGGGATAGCTTTAATGGCATTACAGGTAGGTGGATCAAACCATTGACTTAACTTGCGATCATCCCAGCACCCCTCACCTGGATACATAACCTCCGCAACAGGTGGGTCCCCCCCTCTGGAAGGATCCGAGGGTTATAGCAAAGGGGATTCGTCTGGAGTAGAGGGATCCAGTTAGAGTTAAGTAAAGACGTAGTCTGGCCATTTCCAATTTTCCACCTTAAACCCTGTATCAGTAACTTCCTACCAAAGAGGATTCTTTGCCAACCCCACGAAGGACGGGACCGAGCCGAGGCATTAAGAAAAGACCCAGTAGGGAAATACTTGCCCTTGTAAACCTATGCCAAAAGTGATTGAGGTTCCATAAGGATACGCCACCCAATCTTAGCAAGCAAAGCCTGATTGAATTGTTCGAATCGACGAAACCCCAACCCCCCATCATGTTTGCTACGGCACAGATTCCGCCACGACACCCACCGAAGCCGAAAATGATCCTCAGCATCACCCCACCAAAACCGGACCACATGCCTATCCAAGAGCCGGCATAGAGAAAGAGGAAACTTAAAACAAGACATCACATGCAACTGTAACGCCAGAGCAACCGATTTAATCAAGGTCTCTTTAGGAGCCCACGACAAGGTCCTCTGTTTCCAACCTTGGAGGCGCTTTAGCAGCTTCTCTTCCATATACCGGAAAGTGACCATCTTGGACCGAACAATAAGTATCGGCAGACCAAGATACTTATCATGAACCCCTACCGCGCCAACTCCCAACACCGAGGCCAAGAACTCCTGGTGTGCGAGGCCAGAGCAACGGACATATATTGTTTTCATAATCTCTTTTGAGAGTCGCAAATTAGCTAGTAAATTACATCAATTCTTGCTAATAATATTCTTACATCTTATTTCATTGTTCTCCCCCCTCTTTTCCCACATGTGTTTTTTCCTTTCACTTCAGAGTCAACAAACTGACAATGAAAAGTCAAATGAACAACGCTTTGTCCTGCTCCGAACATTTTCCTCTAAACCATGCATCTTCATGTATCCCTAACAACATCAAACTTGTTACTATGCGTTGTATACCTTAAGCTCAGCAACAAACTCCTCAATGTTCTTGTCGGAGCTGCCTCCGTCGGCAGCAGCAGCTCGAGCTATCCCCTTCCACTTCTCCACATTCCTCCGAATGCTCTTCCCCATCTCCCCTTCCATCACTTCAATCACCGCCGCTCCGATCTCTTCCCTCTCCACCACGCTCTTCTCCGCCGCCACCTTCTGGCCCCTTCTCTTCACTCTGACCCCCACCTTCCAAACGTCGGTGATGAACTTGGCGTTGGTGGTCTGGTCCGACACCTGCGGCACCCCGACCATCGGCACTCCCAGGCTCATCGCTTCCATCGTCGAGTTCCACCCGCAGTGCGTCAGAAAACAACCCGTTGACCTGTGGGCCAGCACTTCCAGCTGGCTGCACCACCTCACAACGACGCCGTTTTGGGACGTCTCGCTGAGAAACTCTCGGGGAAGTTTGCACTCTTCCGATTCCCTGACCACCCAGAGGAAAGGGTAGCCGATCGTTTTTAGGGCGGCGGCTACTTCTTCGATTTGTTCCCCTGACACGGTGATCAGGCTGCCGAATGAAACGTAGACCACCGAGCCCTGTTCCTTGGAGTCGAGCCATTCTTCCACGTAGCTATTGGCCTCGGGTTTGGGTTTGAAGTAGCTGAGGCCGTAGTCGTGGGCAGTGTCGCCGGCTAGTTGCTTGCCCAGATAGATTGATGGGATTGTTGGTCCGACCGGCTTGAATTTGAACCGGCTGCCCATGTACTCTAGTACCTACAAGAAAATAATAATCCATTAATTGATTAGATTAAAGAAAAGGGAAAGTCACATCTCAAATGGTGTCAAAATTGAATAGACTTTTCAACCACCCTTGGTTAGGACAAAGACCTCCCGACTTGATTGGCTCATGAACTTTGATTAATCTAATTATTTTGCTCAGTAGCCGGTTCATCCAAAATCTTAATCGAAACCAGACTCCAGAGTTAGTGACCCGTAACCCAACCAAACTAATCCATTTGACCACTAACACAATTAGCTGGCAACTTAGCAATTCATTTTCAGTTGACGCATAAACGCAATCAAGTCGTATGATCAATCCGATTCTTTATTTGTTGATCTGTTCAAATAACTCGTAGCCCAAATCTCTCTTAATTGTCTAATCTAAATCAAAACCATTCAGATCGTTTTAACTCCAAATTGGAAAAAAATAATAATCAAAATCCATCTTAATTTTTCGACTTTAAATAACTAAATTCGATATCTAGTAGAAAATTAATCAGTAAAGCGGATCGTTAGATTTTACTATCATCGTATAGTAGTTATTGTTGCTATGAATTGAAAACTAGTTTGAATATATGGTGCAATCTATATGTTCTTTTGTTGGTTGGCGAACTCAGTAATCCGTTGATTCTTCCCAGACAAAAATGATCAAAGCTCAAAAAGGGGTTTTAGTTACCTCTTCTTCCAAGGTAGTGAAGGTGTTGCAGAAAACCCAATCAGCCAACCCGACATTGGTAAACTGGGCAGAAAGCAAGTCGAACGAACCGGGCGGGTCATCCGGTTCAAAGAAGAAGGAAGGCAAGTCATGGAGCTGAAGCATCCGCCCCATCCCCTCCACAAAAACCTCATTCCTCTCATCCACGGCCACCGGAATCCTGACCCGACCTTCCCGAAACCCGCAGAAGATGGCGTCCACACTGCACGACTGCGTGAAGAAAGCAGCCCCGACCAGGTTCAGCTTCCTGGCAACGCCTAAACACCACCAAAGCAACGAGTCATAGACCAAGCACACCACTCGGTCGCCGCCGGCCTCTACTTCGGAAACTACCCCGGGGAGTTTCATCTTCAGGGTCTTTCTGTATTGCTTCAACAGGTCGCAATTGCCATATCCGTCTTGTTCTTCATCTTCCTCTGCTTCACAATTGTCGGTGGAGTCGGAGTAGGAGAGCTGCTTCACCTGCACTGAGCCGAGTTGGCTGGAGTTCAACTCGGTGGCAGTGACGATGACCAGAGTTACGTTGAGGCCTTTGGAGGCGAGGAGCTTGGAGAATTGGAGGGCTGGGTTTAGGTGTCCCTGTGCTGGGCATGGTAGCACTAGGACGTGTGGGTTTCCTGCTCTGGCTCCTTGTTCATGCTCCAGCTTCATCTTAAGGTGTTTTTAATTCTGAAACAAAATATGTATGGATCGGTTATATTTACTCGTACCAAAAGCTTGTTTACTTATAGCGATGATAAAGACAAAAAAATAAGGCAGTCAAGCATCTGACGAAAATTATTGATGGGAGGAAATTATTCAAGTTCCCTAATAGGCACAATTATGAAGAGGCTTTCACTTTCTCCTGTCCTGTGGTCTTTTGAGAAGGCTTCAAGAATTGTCGGAGATGCTCAGCGGATCTCAATACGGCAATATTCATGCGACTGATTGTTATTCGTTGCACAGCTGGTTGTGGACTTGCGATGATCGACATGTTTGGATATTCTTCTTCAACAATTTGTTCGTTGTTTCGAAGTTGTTGGATGGACGAAGCGACAAGACTATTGTTGTGTTTGGCGCGAAGGAATCATCTGCATCCAGCGACCATTTGCGACTTGTAATGTAGGAGCTCAAGCCGTCAATGGACCCCATGCACTATCCTCATAAGCAGCATCGTATATTCGCCTTGCGACTGACATTTGAGCAACGCATCCGCAACTAAAGCTACCGTCTAAATTAGACTCATACTTGACAAGTTGGTTCGGTTGATCACTTCGTTCCATGGCAAAGAGACTGTAAGCCAAGTAGAAGTATGTTCGCTAACCAGACCAACTGAACAACACTATTTCGCTTCATCGAACATAAATAGAAGGATAGCATCATCATAACGTAAGTTATACATCCGTAGACTAAGATAAGCTCACTCTGGACTACTTCATTTTTTTAAGTCGTAATCGAAAACAATCAGCCTTCAATCTTCCTTTTGCTACATAGACCCGCATATTAACCAAACCGACCAAGGACAAGAGAGCCCTTTTCGCCATCAAAGAGAATCAATCCATCCATACAGGTGTTCTGCTGTACCCCTCAAAGGAGAAAAGCATAAATTCATAAAACGGGGCCTACATCTTAGCAATGTTGAGATTTCGCCCAAACAGCATGCAATAATCTCAAGTTAACTGCACGCAGGCTGGTTCTTTTCTTCAAACACACTCAAGCTTTGGCTTCCTCCGAGGCAGATTTACTGGCTCCTTCTTCCACCTTGGCTTCTGGTTTCTTGACTTCATCTTCATCATCATCCTCATCGTCATCTGCTCTCATAACGAATGGAAAATCAGAACCCCCAAAACTCAAATGGGCGGAAATGGACGAAGAAAATAATCACCAATAGAACATAGAATTCTTACCATCAGGCATGTCTCCTTCTGGCATGCTGAAATCTCCCATGCCCGGCATCCCACCCATTCCTCCCATGCCAGCCATCATGGCACTCATATCAGGCATGCCTCCCATGCCTCCCATGCCCGGCATGCCTCCCATGCCACCCATGCCCGGCATGCCTCCCATTCCACCCATGCCCCCAAGTTTCTGTAAGCAACAAAAAATTTGCAGTCAGCAGAAAAAATGAACCCAGAATTGTTATTTTCAAAGGCCTAAATACCAGGCAAGGTTTAAACAGATGACCAAATACTGCGACTCGACTTCAACTCAGTATATATACCAATAGGGCTTTTCTTCCGTATGGTCTACAACTTCATTTCTGAGGATGATACCCTGACCCCAAAACTAATCAGTAATTCAAACAACCCTAGCTTAAAAAATTGCAACCCAGAATCCCACCAACTTCAGAGCAGTAACTGGCAGGACAATTTCGCATCAAAAGCTTTTCACTCGTAAATATGGAACTTAGACCCGTCTCACACTGTTGCATAACCTTCCAACTTACCGAGAAATCCATGCCATCAAAGTCCATGCCACCTGGAGCGCCGCCACCTACAACCTCTGAACACTCGAAAGAGCAGGAAGACATCAGTAAAATGAAACCTAGCAGATTAAAAAAACATAAATGGTTCGAGATCAAGGTACCAATTTGGTTTACCATTTTCCTCATCTTCGTCAACCCATTTATCCCAATCAGCTTTCAGGAATGCAGGCGTCTTTCCTTCTTGCTTAATCAACCTAGGCCACCAATTGCTCTCAGCTTTGATTATGATATATGAAATGTTTCTCGGGCCGACAACATATTTGCTCTCCTGTTAAAATATACCAAGTCAGTACATGCTATCTAACCGAAAGCTTAACATACTACTAGTCACCCTAGGTTCAAGTACCTCAACGTTGACTTTGTCAAACAGTTCAAGATCTACGGCAAAGTCGCACCCATCTTTAACGGCTGAAAATATAAACTTTCCATCAGGTTCAAGCTTGAGTTTGACATCTTTTGCATCTGCCAAGTCCACAGTGAGGTAGATTTTATCACTTCTCTGTGCCCATTTCAAAATTGGGTGCCGGCTGCAACGAGGAAAAGATTATGAGATAAGCAAACACAATAAGATTACTATCCATTTAATGTAATATATTTTCACTTGCACCAACACCATGCAAGTTTCACAGAGATTTGTACCCTTAAACATAATTGTAAGAAGAGTGAACGCAATTTAAAGGAACATATATTTCAGAAATAAGCATCCTATCTACTCAGCTGCTTGCTTGGAACCTGAAAAGAGAAGGCAGCAATACAGATCTAAATGCCATAAGTCTAGACAGGAACTCAGACAACAAAGCTTTACACGAGTAATCACAAAGATCACTACATATTATTTTCTCCTATTACAGAGGTATTGAATTTAGAATATAGCGTCTCATATTACTACAGCTTTGGTTGTCTGCATATGGCAAACCTCTGGGCACACTTAAAATTTCTCATTGATTGTTTATCCACAATATAATTGAGAGAGGATACATAAAACATCTACTTCATTAATTTTATCTGTAGCTTAGTAAATCAGTCTGCTAGGATTTTGGAGAACAATCAAAAAAATGGACGACTAACATCTCCAAGCTACTTTTTAGGTTCCAGATTCTTCTTAATAAAAAACTTGATGCTGCCCCACAAGTTTCGTCCCAGGTGCGTTGAATGCTTTCATTACAGCTTACAGCTAGACCATACTCTATGACCATCCTCTAAGCTACTTGATCTAACCCCTGGATAGAATCCAAACCACGGCCCCTTAAACCCAGTCATAATAAACACTAATCAGCTAATCCTAAACCCTAAAACCAAATCAGCAGCAATTATTGCAAGGTTCACCGCAACCAATCCAGAGCAACTCCCAAACAGAAACCTGGATCCTACGCTCCAAATGTCCAAACCCGAAAACAATAGACACCAAAAGAGCCAATAACAATAATCTACAAGGTATTATAACGAAACACTAACCTAGAAATCTTTTTGAGCTGCAATACGAACATATTGATATCCCACCAACGGACCTGCTCACGGAAAACACCGGAAAACCTAAAACACCTCCTTTCATTGACTATCTAACCTATAAATCTTTTTGAGCAGCGATCATACTGATATCCCAGTCCCACCAACGGAACTGCTCACACAAAACTCCGGAAATCCTAAAACCCTTTCATTGACTATCTAACCTAGAAATCTTTTCGAGCAGCGACACGATCATACTGATATCCCACCAACGGAACTGCTCACACAAAACTCCAGGTAACCTAAAACCCTTTAATTGACTATCTAAATGCGGAAACCCTTTGATCTAACCAGCTTAAATTATTGAACTTTCGATATGGGTTTGCATATGGAACCGATGCGACCAACTCCCCGATACATTAAAGGGTTACAGCTATACAGTTGGAGTCCATCAACATGAGCGATTAAAACAGAGAATGGTTGGCACAATAGAGCAAAAGTAGGAAGCTATTACCTCATCCTGAGAATGATTAAACTAAAGGTTGCGGTTGGAAAAGAGAGAAATCGCGAACGGAAGGGCTGCTTGGAGTGTGGATATGGGATCTGACCGCGGTTCTGTGCGGTAGCGGCAGGTCTTTCCTCTTAGCTTTATACTCTGCAGGAAAGGAACCGAACACTGGGGCTAAGGATTGACGATGTGCGCGAAGGGCAAGGAGCTCGAGGCCGACCTGGAATATTCCAGAAAGAAACTCCCCGCTTTGCCTGAAATGCTGCGTTTCGATTTCTTGTAGCGTCCAAGTGTCCAAGTCCAACTAGGGTTGGGGATGAGTAGGGATGGCAATTGGGGTGTGTGGTTACCTGTTCCACATTTTGAGGTTAATTACACTTTTTTTTTTGTCAAAACATATCATGTATTGATCAAAAAATAGATAGTTACACCCTGGAAACCAGTCAGGAGTGGAAATCAAAAAAGCGACTCATAGTCGGAAACAAAGAAAGGGCTTTCCTAGCTACCAAATGAGCTACCCTATTGTTCTCTCGACCTACAAAACGCACACTAAAACCAGATTGAGTACGAAAGTAATGACCAATCTCTTCCAGAACAGCACCCAACCGGCTATCTCTCGTGTTGGCTTGATTAATTTTGTCAATAACCACCTTCGCATCGCCTTCAAAGTGGACCGCCGACAAGGCTTGCTCCATACACCAAATAATAGCTTCCCTAAGCACAATCAATTACACCATTATCGGGTCATCCATTTGAGAAAACTGAACCCCTCTAGCCAGAAGAATCGTCCGCGCTGGGTCAAGGAGAACCATCCCACCAGCCGAATGCGATCCACACTTAGTAGCCCCGTCCCACATGCAAACCAAACGGGAACCATCCACCTGCATTGTTGGTTGCATTATCGGGGTAATTATTCTCGGAGTCTGATCCGTTGGTAGACCCACTCATTCCTCATACTGTTGGTGAAACTGTCGCATGAGTGCCGGGATCCCAAATTGTTTGCACTCAAAGACAACCCAATTCCGAGAACGCCAGATCCTCCAAAGGACGGCAACAACAGCCATAACCAACGACGGTTGATGACTTAGCGCCAACAAACGATTGAGAAACAAAGGAAAAGTGTGTCGAGGCAACCCCTCCCCCAAATATTCCAGCCCTGCATAGTCCCAGAGAGCCCGCGCAAGCGGATAGTAAAGGAATAAGTGTTCCATCATCTCCGGGCCACCCCAGCAAATTGGGCACCTAGGGAGAACCTAAACCTTTTTCTCAATAAGCGCCTCCATAGTTGGTAGAGCCCGATTAAGGATTTGCCATACAAAGACCTTCAACTTCGGAGGGATCTTCGCTTCCCACACTCTTATCCAACTCGGTTTATCCATCCAGCTTACCGAGGAACGCCACCCACCCCTCCTCCTATCCAAATCGACAACCAAATGATAAGCCGACTTCACCGAGAAAACCCCGTCAGCTGTAAAATGCCATATAAGCTTATCCGCCACATCCCATCTAGGAAGAGGAATGGCTTTGATAGCCCTACAGGTGGGCGGGTCAAACCACTGACGGAGCTTCTCATCAGACCACCTCCCATCCCCTTGACAAATAACCTCGGCCACCAAGGGATCCCGCCCTCAAGCAAAATCCGCGGATTATAGCATGGGGGATCTAGTTGGTACCTAGGAATCCAGTTAGAATGAAGGAGAGAGACCGACTGACCATTACCAACCTGCCATCTTAATCCCCTTTCCAATAACTGACGCCCATGAAGGATACTTTGCCACCCCCAAGAGGGACGAGACCTCGCAGCCGCAGTCAGGAACGACCCTTGAGGGAAATACTTGCCTTTATAAATATGGGCAATAAGCAACTGAGGTTCATTAAGAATACGCCAGCCTATCTTTTCCAGAAGAGCTTGATTAAAATGCTCAAACTGGCGAAATCCCATCCCCCCATCATGCTTACTCCTGCACATGTTTCGCCAGGACACCCATCTAATCTTGGGACTACCCTCCTCAGCACCCCACCAAAAGCGGACCACATGTTTATCAAGAAGCCGACAAAGGGCTAGGGGAAGACGGAAGCAGGAAATAACATGAAGGAGAAGAGCCATCGCTATGGATTTAATCAAAGTTTCCTTCGCAGCCCACGATAATGTCCTTTGCTTCCACCTCTGAAGCCGCTCTAGGAGTTTCTCCTCCAAATATCTGAACGTAGCCAACTTGGATCGAGCAACCAGCGTGGGAAGCCCCAGATATTTATCGTGGACCCCCACTGCACCCACCACTATTGATCGTGGCCAAGAACTCTTGATCTGGCATGGAAATATTCTTGCTAAAACACAACGCTGATTTTTCCAAATTAATGCGCTGGCCACTCAATTCCTCATATTCATTCAGCACTTCAATTAAATTCTCGCACTCCTGTAGAGAACCTCGCAAGAATAAGTAAGAATCATCCGCGAAAAACAGGTGCGAGACTCTTGGAGCCCGAGGAGCTACTTTCACCCCCTCTAATTTTTTCTCTATGATCGCCTTCCGGAGGAGGGCTGCAAAACCCTCTGTGCAGAGCACAAACAAAAGAGGAGAGAGTGGATCCCCCTGGCGAAGGCCCCTAGAGGCAGTGAAATAACCCGAGGGCGTACCATTCATCAGAACCGAGAAAGAAGAGGATCGAACACATTCATGAATCCATCCTTGCCAGACTGAATTAAAGCCCATCTTGTCCAAAACAGCAAGAAGGCAGGGCCATTCGACTCTATCATAGGCCTTTTCCATGTCAACCTTCAGAGCCATGTACCCCTTCTTCCCTTGCTTTTTTATTTTCAGATAATGCATTAGTTCATGCCCTATAAGGATGTTATCAATAATCTGTCGGTCTTTGATAAACCCATTTTGGCCCTCCGACACGATCTCAGGGAGCAAACTAGCCAACCGTGTAGCCATGATTTTAGTAATCACCTTGTAAAAAAACTGATAGAGGCTAATCGGCCGCAGTTGTCTCATTGTTTCCACCGAGTCCACCTTAGGGATCAAAGTGAGCCAGGTATGGTTAAAACTCCCCAGCATCCGGCTCGAGGCAAAGAAGGAAATTACTGCTTCAACCACCGAAGTGCACACAATGTCCCAGAAAGCTTTAAAAAACTTTCCCGTGAAGACATCCGATCCCGGGGCCTGCTTTGAGCTCATGGAAAAGACCGTTGTCGCAACCGTCCCTCCGGGGGGGTCCGTACGTCGTCGCGTCGGCATTTTTGGGAGTCGCCATCGATCTTACTTGAGTGGATCGCACACTCTTTGATCGGCTCTAGCCTTAGGGTCAGAACCGAGATATGATCTGCGGTTAAGAGATATGGGTTCGAGAGTACGGTTACGTGTGGGGAAGTGAAATCACACCCCACAATGCCCTAAATTGGTACTACTTAAGTTGATAAGTTTTATATGTGTTGGGTGTATTTTAGTAATATTTTTGTAATTTTAGGGTCCCGCTGGACCATTAAAGAAATAAAATTGTATTAATTGTAATTTAATTGTACGCCCACTGACGTAAAATTAAAGGATGGAATTAATTGGTTAGTTGGACTCGAACCTTTCGGTTTCCTACGTACCCGTTAGACGGGATCAAAGTCCACGTAGTTCGTTAGGACTTTGATAGTTTAATTATGACGTTTTTTGCTACGTTCCGCTGAACGTAATTCTCGTATTATAATTTTTGGTTAATGAAATTTAAGTTGATTATTATGAAATTATGAAAATAGAATATAATAATTTAATTTATTAGGAAGTGTTTTGACGTATTGGAAAAGAAACGAAATAAACTAAATCCGCATGTAACATTTCGTATTAAGGATTTTAAATAAATAAAAGTATACGGGATGATTACATTAACGCATGATGGGCCAGCAGCCCAACTGGCTAAATTGCCAGACCTTGACCGCGTTCCACGCCGAGAACGACAGTTCGAAACGTGTTAACCACAATTATTTTGTTTATCTCGTTTTAATGCAAAGAAGGGGGAAGGGTATTTTAGTAATAACACAAAAGGACGGTGGCAATGCCACGTAATTTTAGGGAAACCCTAAGGGTAGTTAAGACATTTTAATCAATGGGGGTATATATTCGTTTCTAGAAAACCGTAAACCTATCCTAATGCCGAGCGGCCGCCTCACCACTCTCATATCTCGGTCCTCTCTCTATTTTCCTCTTCTATTCTAGAGATCGAAAACCCTAACTCCCTCTCGTAAAAAAAAACGCCGTCCATTCCTAAAATCTCTCACTTCTCGATTCGTCTCCTCTTCTCCTCCAGAGAAGAAAAAAAATCGACACCCTAGCCACCGAGAAGTTCTTTCCTGCCCATCTCTCCCGAAGAGCAAGCGAAAACCCAAACCTCCTCGTCACCTCAAACCGCGAATCTCTCATTCTCTTTCTCAGATTTACTAGGTGACGACTTGAGTTAATCCGACCAGGAGGATCCCAATCTAGGTAAGACAATGACATGCATGGCTTAATCTTCTATTTTAGGTGATTTTTTTTGGATTCGACTAATTTCCTTTCATTTTTTTTGTATTTTGGATTTGGTTGGCGGCGAGGCTTTGCCGAGGAGGACATTCAGTTCCAAAAAAAAAGGTTAGGACTTCGACTCCTAAATTTATGTTAATCTAACATTTTTATTTATTAACAAAAAAACTTAGGCTAATTCGTTCTTTTTTATAGGTTTGAAAGAGAGGCCAGATCTGGGTAAGGTTCTTCTAACCTCGGTTTTGGTATGACTAGGGATGATTTAACTAAGTAAATGGATTATTATTGTTAATTTGGGATTGATTAGCAGATCTGAGTATTAGAAAGTAAGTTTTGTGATTAAGTTTTGAAAAAAATGGGATTTTGGTGTTTTGATGGGTTTGATGAATGGATTCGGATGTAGTATTTGATATATTAGAAGTTGCTAAAATGATTTTTAATCTAATTAACATAGACTAAACTGCTTATTTTGTCTATTATAAATCACCGCCACTGCCTGTGATTTTGCGAAATTGGTATGGGTTTTAAACTCTATAACTTATGGAGCTTGAGTGATTTTTGTTGGGTTTGGATCCAGGTTGATCCAAGGAATTCGAAAAAGTTTGTTTTGATTGTTATATAAAAAAAATATGTGCTATATCTAGTTTTACTTTAATCTGTACATGTATATGTATGTTTGGCTACGAATGAGGAAAATCTAAACATGGCAAAAAGAGTTTAAAACAAAACATCCAACTCTAGTCATAGTTAAGTTAATCAGCATAATAGTAATCGCATAGCCAAAACTATTAATAAGAGAAGGGAAAATAAAAACTTTAATGATAGAGCTTAATGAAATTGATAAGAGCAGATCTTGACAATAATATTTGACCATCACATAGCTTGTATTGGAAAATACTCGAGTATAAATATGCAAATAGATGGATGATTGTATAACGTCATAATGATTGTATAAATTTGATAAAAATGAAAGATGAAGTTGATACAAGTACCAACCTGGATCAAGGCCTAAGAATGGCCTTTTCCTACAACGATCTTCAAATCTGCTCCTTCAATCTCACAGCTTACCCACTGAACTTCGACTAAAGGCAAGAACAAAAGGATGATCCCTTTGCAATTTGGATGTTTCTATTTTTTTCTGTGTTTTTTTTTCTCCCCCCCCCCCCCAATCAAGAGCTGAAGTGCTCTACTTATAGCTAAATCGCATGCCACGGGTTGTTTCGCCATTAGTCTTTGTTGAGACTTGAAATGCAGTGTTTCTTTCTGATAGGTCGAATTTTGAGGCTGCCCCAATAGCCTCCACCTTGCTTGGTCGGTTCTGACTGATCAGGGTCTGTTCAGGATAGGCTTGGCACTCAATTTTAGGTTGTCTGGGCTTGGTTTGGGATGGACTTCGTTGGGCCGAGTTGGGCCCGATTTGGTTTCTTCACATTTGGGCTCGAACTATGGGCTAAAATTAGCCTGTCTTTAACCTTGGGCCAGACTTTGAATCTGAGTTTGGGCTTGTATTTGAACTTTTGTTGATCCTCTACTAACCGATCTATTTTTATTTTGTAGTTTGCTAATCTCGTTTGGGCTCAGAGGCAGGAGAGAAAGTGACCTCAATTAAAGGTCTCAATCAAAATAGGCTAATCTGATTCGTTGTAATGAGTTTCTCTTTTTTTTTTAATGGGATTGTAATGAGCTTGAAATCATCTTTTGTTCAGCATCATTATCCTTGTGTTGTATAGTGAAATAAATCTAATAATAAAACTCTTTTTTTCCTTTGGGATTTTGAGTAGAATGCTTGTCCGGACAAAATGTGGTGTCTACAGTTGCCCCCCTTTGTATATCTCTTTGTATAAAGAGTTATACAAAGTTTCTATAAAGACACTACATTTCGAAATGTGAAAATCTTAGAAGTAGAAATTGAGTTGATGCTTGTTAATAATGACGTATCCATATTGTTAAGATGATGGTAACCAAATTATATAAGAAAATGGCAGTGATGAAATCAAACTGGCCATTCGGTAACGACGAACATCGATATACTCAAGTTGTTCGTGATAGAAAAAAAATCGATTGATTTTGAAACATGTTAGCGATGAAATCAAGCTAACCATTTTGTAACAATGATATAATCAGGTCGTCTGTGATAGAAATTTAGATGAACATCGAAATAAGTGCTAGCGATAAACAAGCTAACTGTGTTGCAACAGCGATGTACTCAAGTTGTCCGTGGTAAAAATCAAACTAATCAATGGTAGAATGACAGCGATAGCGTCAAGCTAATCATTTTATAAGGACGATGTACTCAAATTGTTTGTGACAAAAATCAAATCAAACAATGAGGAAGATGTCAATAATAAAGATCAAACTAACAATTTTGTAAGGGACGTTGTACTCAAATTGCTTGCGATAGGAATCGAATCAAGCAATGAGAAGATGTTAGTGATAAAGATCAAACTAACAATTTCGTAATGAGATTTACTCAAATAGCACAATAAGGAAAGTGTTAGCGATAAAGATCAAGCTAACGATTTGGTAAAGGATATTGTACTCAAATTGTCTATGATAGAAGTCAAATAGAACAATGAGGAATATGTTAGTGATGAAGATCAAACTAACAATTTTGTAAGAGACATTGTACTCAAATTGTCTATGATAGAAATCAAATAGAACAATGAGGAATATGTTAGTGATAAAGATCAAACTAACAATTTTTGTAAAGGATATTGTACTCAAATTGTCTATGATAGAACTCAAATAGAACAATGAGAAGATGTTAGTGATAAAGATCAAACTAACAATTTTGTAAAAGATATTGTACTCAAATTGTCTATGATAGAAATCAAATAGAACAATGAGAAATGTTAGTGATAAAGATCAGACTAACAATTTTGTAAATGATATTGTACTCAAATTGCTCGCGATAGGAATCGAATCAAGCAATGAGAAGATGTTAGCGATAAAGATCAAGCTAACGATTTGGTAAAGGATATTGTACTCAAATTGTCTATGATAGAAATCAAATAGAACAATGAGAAATGTTAGTGATAAAGATCAGACTAACAATTTTGTAAATGATATTGTACTCAAATTGTCTATGATAGAAATCAAATAGAACAATGAGAAAGTGATAAAGATCAAACTAACAATTTTGTAAAGGATATTGTACTCAAATTGTCTATGATAGAAGTCAAATAGAACAATGAGAAATATGTTAGTGATGAAATCAAACTAACAATTTTGTAAAGGATATTGTACTCAAATTGTCTATGATAGAAATCAAATAGAACAATGAGAAAATGTTAGTGATAAAGATCAGACTAACAATTTTGTAAAGGACATTGTACTCAAATTGTTTATGATAGAAATCAAATAGAACAATGAGAAAATGTTAGTGATAAAAATTAAACTAATAATTTGGTAAATGCGTAGTGGTATTTCGCATAAAAAGTTTTCACATACTATTTATATGGATATTTTAGAAATTTAGGAAATGATTGTGATGCATAGCAAGTCACTTTAATGTATAATGATGGTATGACGTGATTATCAAAATGATTTGAACATGATTTTGTGATACGTCATGCTGATGAAGTCGTGAATGTTGAGTGACATGATCCTTTTGAAATTAGGTATGCCAATATGTTGTTTTGTTTTGTTGGTTATTTTGTTTTTACTCGGGGTTCCTTTAAATTGCTCATCCTCCAGGAACTATCATTTCTTTTTGATCAACTCGATCCATAGGTCATGCTTATGTTGGAGAGACTTTGAATTTGTTGTCTTGAGGTGTATCTTTTTGGTGATAGTTGCGTAAAGATATGCTTTGTAAGTTGAAATGATGATGTATGTCGCCTTAATCCTCTTGTTGGTCAGGCTTGGAGCGACTTTCGACTTGTTGTCTCAGGATA